CCGCCTCCCCCAGCCGTCGATGGTTCGGATGTCGCCGTCCTCAAGCGCGTTGCGGTCCCTGACAAAGCCGCGCTGGCCAACATGAGGACCGAGGTGGAAACAATGAAGAAGCTGAAGGGCCACCGGCACATCGTCACCTACATTGACTCCCATGCCTCCCAGCTCAAGGGCGGCGGCTACGAGGTCTTCCTCCTCATGGAATACTGCGCCGGGGGTGGTCTCATCGACTTCATGAACACGCGGCTGCAGAACCGGTTGACGGAGCCTGAGATCCTGACCATCTTCGCGGATGTCGCCGAAGGTGTAGCGTGCATGCACTATCTCAAGCCGCCCCTGTTGCACCGGGACCTCAAGGTCGAAAATGTCCTGATCTCCCTGTCCGGCAGTTCCCCTGTCTACAAGCTGTGCGATTTTGGATCCGCGGCGCCTCCACGACCGGCGGCCACGTCGGCTGCTGAGGGCCGTCTCATCGAGGATGACATTCAGCGACATACGACGTTGCAGTATCGAAGTCCCGAAATGATCGACGTCTATCGAAAGCAGCCGATCGACGAGAAGAGTGATATATGGGCCTTGGGGGTGTTGCTCTACAAGCTGTGCTACTACACGACCCCATTCGAAGAGGTCGGCCAGATGGCCATCCTCAATGCGAGCTACAAATTTCCCGCCTATCCCCCGTTTTCTGATCGCTTAAAGAGGCTGATCGGTGCGGACCATCCTTATCTTGGTGTCTGTTTCCTGGACTAACTGGTGTCGGCAGCGTCTATGTTAATGGAAAACCCGCAGAAGCGACCCACGATTTATGAAGTCTTGCGGGAAGCTTGCAGCATGCAAGGAAAGGAGGTTCCAATCCACGATGTATGTGACATTGTCCGTGGTATGTTGCAGATGGGTTAACTAACGTGTGCCAGATTTACTCCCAACGCACCCAATCGGAAACTCGTAGTTACCAGGAACTTCCTCCGTCGACCACTGAAGCGCCCAAGGTCGGTGCGATCTTCTCACCTCCGATACAAGAGACTCAGATCATCCCCGATATTGCTCCGATGCGACGAGGTCGTCCGTCGAAGCCAACTTCGCAACAGAATTCTGCGAACCCCAGCCCGTCTCCATTCCGGGGAGGAAATTCCAATTCCAACGACCCTTTTGCTGCCCTGGATGGCGCAAGGCCGAAACTCGAAAATACGGACGAACTGTCAGCCCGGTTCCCGACACTTGACCAGTTCTCGCTGCTGCACGAGAAGAATGGTAAATTCGAATTCGAGCCTACTGTGACCGAGACGAAACTCGATGCTGCCGAGGACTTGTCCCAAAGGATCACGAACGCGTTGGCTGACGAGGCGTTCGTAAAACGTTCCTCTCCGTCGAGGATACCAAGCCAGGAACCCACTGGGAATAATCACCAGCAGGGGTCGTCGTCTACCGAGAAGAGACAAAACGAGTCTCTCGACCAGCGCGGAGAATCAGCCAGAACCCAGACACCGCTGCACCAGCCCGTCCCGCAGAAACCCAAGATGGTCGACGCCGGTACCATGACGGACCCTCCCCCTCCAGGGCCGGAGATCACGTCCTATTCAAACCGCCCCATCTATCGATTCCCACCACCAGGGCATGAGCGGCGACCTTCGAGTCAACCATGGTCTGTTGAATTGGAGAGATCACACTCTGGTCTCGGCAGCGGCGTCCCTTCACAGACGACGACTATCCACAAAGTGGAACCGAAGCCAAAAACATCGTCTGAGAAGATTTCCAATGCACCAACCTCTTCGCGACCGTCGCTGGAGGTTACCAGACCTGCCCTCATCGATCTTGACGATGCCGTCTCTCGACCCAAGTCAGCCAATTCCCGGGCTCGCCCTGCAAGTGTTTTTGCGGGTTCGAAAGTCGATTATGCGAAAGAGCCTGATGTCCGTGGCTCATCGTTCGATCAGCACAGACCCCAGTACGAAGACGGAGAACCGCTCCGGCACATGCGGACCGATGGGGATCGGGACCTTGACCGTGCGAACATCACATCGGATGTCGACTTCCTGCGCGCACGAGAGGAGGAAGAGATGAATCGCAAGAAGGAGAAACGGCACAGCAGTGGTTCGAAGCATGTCAAACGGTCCAGCCTGTCCTTTCTATCTGGGCGATTTGGAGATGCGTTCCGCCGTTTCGAGCAGAATGCTCAGGACAAGGATGCCGGTAGCCAGCCGCCATCCCCGGACGACGCAAATAAGCCTCTGACTCCGATCGCTGGGTCTGAAATGACGGACACCAGTGATGACGGCTCCGGTGACAACGATCCTACCGATATTTCCCCAGAGATGCGGCGAGAGCTGGAGCGCAGGCGCCTTTCTCAGGAAGAGAGACGCGTGGCGAACGCTGCTGCTGAGTATCGACTCCGTGTCGCTGGAAAGGGGGTCGGCGGTCGTGATGGCACAAAATCGCCCGTTATCCAAAGCAAAGTCCAGTCCCTTCTCCAGAACAGCAACCAACCTCCTCCCCCCAAAACGGCCTCGGGCTATGGACGGTATACCGACGCGAATCCTCCTCTGCCGGCAAGGCCGTCTGAGTCCCAAGCGGAGAAGGAGTACGCGCCGCCGCTGCCGGTGCGGCCGAAGCCACCACCGAAGGAGATCAAGGTTCCTTCGAGTGGGTCAGAGGGGCTTGTGAGAGATCAAACCGCCACCGACGCGTCGCAGCGTTCAGTTCAACGGCCCGCGGCGCCTCCCAAACCGAAGAACCTGAGACCGGGCGGTGCGGCTGAGACACCCACGAATGAGGCAGGACCAGTCAGCCCTACGTCTGACGACTGGGAGGCGAATTTCAGCCGGCGCTATCCGAGTCTGTCCGGCCTAGAGCTGGTGGAGACGGAGATCGAAGTGCCGAAAATGTCGACGATCCGGACGCGGGAGGTGTAGTCGACAGCATTGTCGTTTCGTCTGTTAAATTTGTGTCACTTTTGTCTCCCAGTGCCATTTTGAGTGTGCTGCTACATGCGTGTAGTATTTTCCACGGAGCATTCGACGAATCTGATCGGTTCCATTCAACGCCATTCCATGCCATTCGATGCATACATATATCCAATTTCCGATTCTCTGCTGGACGGACTTTGTTGTTGTTGTTGTCGTCGTCGTCGTTGTCATTATCGCGGAGTGATGATGTCCTAATAGCCATCTACAAACTGATACTACCTACCCATTATTATAAGCTTTGTTTGCTACTTACTTTTGAGTTGGAAGATGCAGACACGGGTACTGTATGTATTGTACTGTACATCGGTGCTTGAAACGAACGTTCTCTTTCTTTTTCTTGGGATAAATTTTTTTTTTATAGACAGAAGATATAATTGAAGAATATCATTGAGCTTGCATAATAATAATCTGGAGTGGAAATCATGTCAGGAGTCATTATTATATTATCAAGCGGGCAGAGCCATCATGGCATCGGATATATGCTTGTCGAGAAGGGCGAAACCAGCGCCGTCTCTTACCGGCTGTGTGCGAACACTGTGCGATCTAGAAAGCAACTCCGGAGAAACAGCAGGACGCTATGAGATTCTCTGCATTTGCAATAGATGCTGTACACTGTCGAAGTGCTATATAATGCTGACACGGCCAATGATATTGATCCTGATAGGCTTGTGGTCTAACCACGATAGGCTAGCGCCGATCACCTTCTTGCGGCAGCCGGAGGTCCAACTCCGCGCTCAGCGATCCATCCAAGCTATAGACCATGGACAACGGGGCATGAATATATGCCCAGATATGTCTTCTTCATCACCTTCTGATGCCATTCTGTCTTAACGAAGCATTTACTAAATCATAGACTTGAGAGCCGGGATGGCGCCCATCACGTTAAGCACAGTCGATAGTGAGTATCCATCCATCAGAGCAATCAAGCTTTGACGAATCTTAGCTATCCTTCGATGATGTGCCCTCGCGCTGACCTTTCCGGTTCTGCTTAGACGACCTGAAAGAGGTCATTCAGCATCTTTATGAGATCCAGTCCGCTGTCCATGGCTACCTTGGTCCTGAGACCCAGACGGAGCTGGTGCGGAAGTTGTATGTCTGCCATCCATCCATTATATACCTTTTGTTTGTTCTGAAGAAATCATACCCTTTCTGACTAAAAATTTACAGACAAAACCTCACTCTCGCATTATCGACGCTGTCCACGCACACCCGTCCCGATCCGACCTACAACCAGTCTCTGCCCCCCGACCGCGACTCGTATTCTCGCGACGACCCTCCGCTCGCCAGCATCCAGCTCCCGCCCGAGATCATCGACTACGTCGACGCGGCGCGCAACCCGGACATCTATACGCGCGAGTTCGTGGAACTGGTGCAGCGCGGCAACCAGGATCTCAAGGGCAAGAAGGAGGCGTTTGCGGGGTTCCGGGACGTGCTGGCGCGGGAGATGAGGAGCGCGATGCCCGAGTGTCGTCGCGAGGTGGATCGCGCGGTCGCGGCGACGGGCGGGATAGTCACGCCGCCTGAGGCGGAGGAGGAGGAGGGAAAGTCATGACGGATCTGATCTGAAGAAGAAAAGATGATATGATCTGCGCATTTCTAAGATAAAACTGGGTGAGAGCGTTCTATCTTTTTTTTTCCGTTCGTCTGATGATACCGAATAAGTTATAACGAGGTTTTGTCCAAGGCGTTCTGGGAAGGAATATGTTTTATATTGTCAGGTTGATGTTGTCGAATACTCAGGGCAGTTGATTTGTGTGCATTGGTTCGACTATACATTTTCCTCGAACGAGGTGAATTCTGGTCGTTGCTTCATGTCGACAAAGAGTTCCTGGCCCTATTTTTCGCCGTTCTTTGTTAAAGTTCTTAACGACAGTCGTGGAACGATGCCATTGGACTCTGCTCCTGGGATGCTGTGCCCCGACGGTGAATCCTGCTAAGAATAACAGGCAAACTGGAAGCGGGGCCCTTAGCTGCTGCATTCTTACTGCTGATTGGCCCGGCTGTCTTCTTTGTCAGCATCCGCCCCAAGCTTGGCGCCTGCCGTATTTGGCGGCTGCAACCTTCCGATCGCGCCTTCCCGTTTCCGTCCGCGATCCTCGCCTCACCTGCTGGGCGTTTGGTTTTTGGCTTTTTCCTTGACACTGTTAGTGTTGGTCCCAATGTCGGCCGCAAAATGATCAGCGATGGCCACCAATGAGTCCTGTCGCCGCGTTCCTAGGGCTTATTTCACGCATGCGCTCCCTCCAGCACACAGTCCGTTCTCACGCTGCTAGTCCTCGCTGGTTGGCGAATCCGGGCGAGGATTCGCAGACTGGGGGCTTTCTCCGCAGAGGCCTGTCTGACGATGCTTCCTTCGGCGGTACAGGCTAGCGCACTCCGCTAATGGCCTCAGTTCAGTGGGGAGTGCGTCCTGGTGCGCCCAGCCGGCCGGTTTCCTTTTTGTCTGACTCGTGGGGGAAGAGCCAAGGCTGTCGGCCTAATCATGACTCTGTCAAATGCGAAAAAGGACGCTTGCTCTGCTCTGAGCCTCATTACCTCTCTCAATCGCTCTCCATGCGTGTCATGTCGAATCGTCCAAAGCTATCTCCACTGGCGGACGCTTTCCTGACAACCACCGCGGCCATGACCGCGGCGACCATGTCCGCCTGATAATTCTGCTTCTGACGTGGGGGCGGTACGGCATCTTGTGATCTGACCAGGATGGCTTCGAGCGCGGCCGCCTCGCCCAGCGATGGCATCTCCGGTGGTTACACGGGCGACAGTTTGGGGCTCAAGATCACCATGGCCATGTTCATTGGGATCGGCTGGTACAACGCCATGGAACTGCTCATCCTCATCTTCGTGACCTTCAAGCAGTTTCGCGGCCTGTACTTCTGGTGTTTACTGGTCTCCGCGGTCGGCATCATCCCATATGCGCTGGGCTTCCTCCTCAAGTACTTCCAGTTGACCTCGGCCACCTGGCTCTCCGTCACGTTGCTGACCATTGGCTGGTATGCCATGGTCACCGGGCAGTCCATGGTCCTCTACTCGCGGCTGCATCTGGTCGTGCAGAACCCCAAGATCCTCCGGCGGGTGCTCTACATGATCCTGATCGACGCCGTGCTGCTGCACATCCCGACGACCGTCTTGACCTACGGGTCAAACTTTGACCCGGACAACGACCACTTCATCAACGGCTACAACATCATGGAGAGGATCCAGATGACCGGATTCTGTCTCCAAGAGTTTATCATCTCCGGCGTCTACATCCGCGAGACCGTGGGACTGTTGAAGGTGGATCCCGAACCGGGCAGCCGCTTGATCATGTACCAGCTTCTTGTCATCAATCTTCTGATCATCCTGATGGACGTCGGCCTCCTCGTGACCGAGTACTTGAGCTTCTACATCGTGGAAACGACCCTCAAAGGCACGATCTACAGCATCAAGTTGAAGCTGGAATTTGCGGTGCTCGGGAAACTCGTCAACCTTGTCCGCAACCACAGCTGGAAGCCGGAGCCGGTCAATGCCAATGATGATGGCCATTGTTCCGTCGAGCTCCCCGATTTTGTGGACGCCACCCGGGTCACGTCCGATGTCACCCATGCCACTTCGCCCTTGCAACACCGAGCTCGGCAGCCTCCGTGGATGGATCCGTATGAAGTCTTGATTGCCGAGTTTGAGCATTCGAATTGGGGTTCGGATCGGGGGACAGGGCCGTCGACGGCGTCGGGCAAAGGGAGCAGAGATAGCCGTGCTACTGGCCTGGACGGGCTGGAAGCGCTAGATTCTATCGACGTGACGAGTATCAGTCGGACGAATATGGATCACCACCCGGGGTGAATGGTGATTACTTGGGAAATTTGCAATTTACAATCCTCATCTGATGGAGCAGGTTCAGCCGTCTCTGATAAGATGTGGGCGACTGAGATATGTACTGTACATGCTCATGAAACACCGATCTGCGCCTCCAATCAGCCACGAAATGGCGGTTGCTCAGAGCCCGCCTCAGACGATCCCAGCGTCGTTAATCGACATGGGACAAGGACAGCTACTCGACTAGAACACGCTCGACGACATGAAAAGAGAAGAAAATTCTCCACAGCTCGCCGTTCTGCGGTCGAGATGGAATACGAGCCGGAAGATTCTCGAACCCCACTCAATTGGCGTCGACAAAATTAAAATTAAGCAGGTAGCTGTTTTGCGGCTTGTGCGGACTTCGGACATTAATCTAGATGAAGATCTAGGAGGAACCACGATCAACTCGCCTCTTGGTGAATGGTTTATGGTACTTTTACGATGCATGATCTGATGATATCTATGATAGGAGCAGGTTATGGAACAACTGGGTGAATGTGGTATAAACTGCATAACGGCGTGCACATATTACAGTACAGTATGTATGTACAGTGCAGTGCATTTCATCCTACCGTCCTTCCAGACTAATACGAATACTAATAAAATAAGCTATTCTTGTCTCAGCCACAACCAGCGCAACTTGTGTGTAGAATATTCTTCGTCGTCATGATACTTATGAACAAACATTGTGCCAGCCGACTAATTAGGTTCAATTTCTCCGCGCCTTTTTCCCGCGGGGTCTCCACGCGGCTTTTGTCTGTGAGCCAGACTAAAACAAACGCAGTTAACAAGACTCCATCTGTCTGCTCAACTGCCCAGTCATGATTCATCGTGGATGTTTGTCCTCCACGAATGCCGATATTTCGCCGTCCACTATTACCGGCTACACGCGGATACTGTCCAATTACGCCGCTGGAATGGGGAGTGATTGCGTCACAACCTCTGGAAAGGGAAAGCTCTGACAGCTCCCCAGGTACAGTACCTACCTACCTAGCTAGACTGCTAGAGGTCCATGCTCGATTTCTACGAGCTTGTCCCAGAATTCAAGCTTGAAGCAAAACACCTGCCCGTTTGGGGAATCAGTGTTTCTACAACATGTGGGGAGCTTCATTTCCTCCGTACCCACGTGCGCGGATATTTGAGAGCTCTGCTTCCCTCGTCAATTCAATTCCCTTTATCTGTGGGATGACATTCGTTTGTTCGCTTTTCTTTTTGTGAACGTTTCACCATGACCCGGTGGTATAACAATCTTGCGCTGGGCCTGGGGTTGTTGAGCCTGGGAACAGGCGCGAGCGCTGCAGCGCCCGCGTGCTCTTCCGCTCCTGCAACGCTCCATCTCCCGGATCCGCCGTATGACAACTACTTCTACTCGGACTGCAATGTCGCCGCGCAGGTCGTCGTGACCAGCCCGCTTCCGGACAGCAATCTGACGCTCATCAGCCCGCGGCTCATCGTCGCCTGGCCGGCCGGAAACAGCGGCGTGTGCGCGTTCTTCGCGCCGCAGAATGGCATCAATGGCACGCTGGGCATCGAGGTGGTGAATTCGACGGTGGGCAACCCGCTGGCCGCGACGTACCAGCCTGCGTCCTCGAATGCGTCTTATCCCAGCGTGGGTGTCACAGGCGTGATCCGCTTCAACTCGTCAGCTGTCCTGACGATTCCGATCCTGGGGAGCATCCGGACGATTCGCGACTTTACTGAGGGCCCCAGTCTCCTGCGGCCCGAGATCCAGGATGCCATCCAGTTCACGGCCACGCCGGGCGGGGGCGCCTCTCTTTCGCGGCTGTGGCTGGACAACGTGACGACGACGCATCTGAACTTTACGCCCGTGGCCAACACCAGCGCGGTCGAGATCGACGGCAAGACGCTGAAATTTGCTGCCGGCGACTACATCTTCGCGGCGGACCTCAACTACCCGCAAATGACACAGTTGACGCCAGCGCAGGTGCTGAACGCCGAGTCGTCGGGCCTGATCACGCAGGATCCGGGCGACACGACGGCGCTGTCCTTCCTGTCGTACTCGACCAAGCTGCTTGCAGGGGCATGGCGGTTCCTGACCTACTTCGGGCGCGACTCGATGATTGCCGCGCTTCTGCTGGAGCCGGTACTCAGCTTGGGAGAGAACGGTGCGATGGAGGCGGTTATCGGGTCTGTTCTGGAGCGGTTGAACAAGACTGATGGGAGTGTCTGTCATGAAGAAGTCATTGGGTGAGTACACCACAAAAATGAAATCAAATCTGTCGACGAAAAGCAGGCTGACCGTCAAAGTGACTACGCCACGTTTTTGAACCTGCAAGACAACATCACCAGTACTGCTGCGTCGTGCACCTACCAGATGGTATGCCACCGGGCATGGTTCATTCTAACGGATACCAACTAACAACGATTGCAGGTTGACCCGGACTACTACCTCCCTGTCTTGATGAAGAAGTACTTTATCGACAATCCGGTCGGTCATTCCCGGACGGCCGCTTTCCTGAAGTAAGTGCCCTTTTTCCCGCAGTATTATTACACCGTTACCAGGCATTCAGCTAACAACTGCTAGCACCACCGCAGGATCCTTCAGTCCCGCAAACAAGGGCCTGACCTACGGCCAACTGGCGACGATCAACGCCGAGCGAGTGATGCGGCTAGCAGCGCCTTTTGCAGGGAAGAACAACCAGACCAAGGAGAATCTGGTGCACTTGAAGCCGGGACAGATCGTTGGTGACTGGAGAGATAGTACTTACGGTGGGTTATAACCCCCTGCATGGATTAAATTACTACTCCCGGGCATGCAGCTGATAGTGATTGATGCCAGGCATCGGCGGAGGGCGCATTCCCTACGACGTAAACACAGCCCTGATGCCAGCAGCCCTGCGAGCAATCGCCACCCTCTCCCGACAGGGATTCTACTCATCGCACCCAGAATGGGGCGTCCTCGCAGACGAATACGCACAAGTCTGGGAAGACGAGACACTACAATTCTTCGAAGTGACAATCCCCCAAAAGCAAGCTAAGCAGCTAGTCTCTTCCTACGCCAACACAATCGGCTTCTCGGGGCCCAACCAGACAGACACGATCGACTCGGACGTACACTTCTACGGCCTGGCGCTGGACGGCTATGACAATCTCAGCCAAGTGGCAGTCATGAACACGGACGACTGCTTCCGGCATTTCCTCCTTAACACGACGGGGAGACAGGACCAGCTGACTTCCTTCGTCAACCAGACAGCCAACAACATCCGTCGCGTCTTCCCTGCTGGACTGACGACGAGCGCGGGCTTACTAGTCGCCAACCCAGCGTACGGCGACAATCCAGTGTACGCGCAGAACTGGACGTCAGGCGCCTACCACGGAACGGTAGTATGGTCATGGCCAATGGCAATGATGGCGAAAGGACTGGAGCAGCAGCTGGGACGGTGCCAACCTCACGGGGATATCCCGCAATTCTGCCACGACCACTCCGTCTACGACAACCTCAAACAAGCATACAACCTCCTCTGGGACACCATCGAGGCCAACACGGCGCAGCTCTCGCAGGAGGTGTGGAGCTGGGTGTACAGCAACGGTAATTTCCAGGTCATGCCGTTGGGTGAGATGCCTCCGCCGCCGGGGCAGGCTTTTCAGACGGGTACGTTACCCTACAACCTACTAATCTACAAACAGTATCTACAGTATCGAAGACGTGAAGGTTACTAACAGATGGTTTCTTCTCTTACAGAGTCTGATATCCGCCAGCTGTGGTCATTGACCTTTTTGGCTGTGAAGAGGAATCCTTCTTTCAAATAAACTAATGAAGAAGGAAATGAGTAGGTGTTGATTTCAATACTTAGCTAGCTAGGACAGAAATCTACTGTATATACATGCGTTGTACAGTATATAAAATACCTTCTTTCTTTCTATGCTGCCTAGGACAGACAGGTACTAGCATAGCATACCTAGCATAGCATAGCATAGGCAGAGGAACAGACTAGGAGTGAAGGACCATTGGGTACCTACCTACCTAGGTATGTAACTACATACATACATGTTTGTACAACATACATGCATTCATGATACTCGACTTGAACTGAGACAGGACAGTACAACATACATACATACACATCGAGCGCGTTACAAGACCATCACATATTTGTCGTCGTTTGTTCTCATGTTGTATTGTACTGATGGTTAAGGACAATAGAACCAAAAACAACAAAACAAAAATCAAATCATGAGCATAACAAGCATAACGCATCACAAGCATGGCATACGCAACAAGCATCATAACACAAGCAAACACACGCAAGCTCATATCTTGAAAAATCGACTCCCCTCAACCAGCCCACTGGCCAGCTTCGACACGGCCACCCAGTCCGGACTGTACTGACGGATCTCGTCCAGAGCCGGAATCACACCAGGCGAGTTGTCGTCGCTCCACAGGCAAGTCGCCTTGCCGCTCAGCTCGCTGCTGTCACCCTCCCACTCGACATCAACTGTCCATGTATTCTCCCACGTGCGGCTCCACAGTCGGATCTCCCTCAATCCTGCAGGAGAGGTCGTGGGGAACCGCTGCTCGTCGACCGCCGATCCGGCAACTTGGAATCGCGAAATCGGCAAATCGAACTTCAGCACGCACGCGCGCGTGTTCAGGCCCGTGATCTGGAATCGAGCCTGATGTCTGTTCTTGCTGTTACTAATATCGTCCGTGCGAGTCACATTATACGACACCCAATCTTGCAGCGGCGGTTCCTGGCCCTCGGTGCCAATAACATGCGGCGCGAGCCCGTCCCACGAGCATTTCAGACGATCTGTCTGCCATGCACACGTCACATTCTGGTCCGCGGCACTTGGGATCCACTTAATCGCGTCGTTCACATAAGGAGGAATGCCTGTCAGAGAAGCGCGATTGACGCCCGTGTCGAGGTCCACCTCTTGCAGGAAGAACAGCTTGAGTCGGTTGCTGGCCGAGAACGGGAAGGCAACCAGATTGTAGATCAGGGTCGCGATGAAGACAAGGAACAAGAACGTCGGAATATGATACGTGTACCGATGGATGAACGGCAGAACAGGCGTGAAGAGCAGCGTTGTGAAAGCAGCAATGGACAGGTAGGCCACCAACACCGGACTGCCGTCCTGACCGGTCTGATGGACAGCAGCCGTGACCAGCAACGCCAATTGTCCGATGAGAATAATAACGATTGGAGCGATCAGAAGGAGCTGCAGCACCCATGTCCATTTAGGCAATCTGGCACTCCATGGCTGCTCGTAGCCGTATACATTGGGATCCCGACCCCGCTCCTGACCCGCGTCCTCAGGAGTGACAATGTCGTCTTCTTCGACCTCGACTCGGGTGTAGTTTGCAAACGTAGTCCGCTGCCCGCCTCGCAACAGAGACGTCGATTCCGATGGCTCCTCTTCCTCATTCGGGACAGCACCCCCGACCTCGTCGGCAGACGGCGACAAGAGACGGCTGCCGAGACTGCTGGCTCGTCTCGATCCGCGCCGGAACTGGCTGGCATACTCTCTCTTCCGTGGCAGCGCAAACAGCTCGAGATAAGACACCCATGTCGCCAGGAACGTCCCGAACGTGTAGAAAAGAATGAAATATCCAGCAGCTAACCCATCCCGGTTCTCGTATACGGTCGCGACGACAAGAAGAACCCACGTCAGCACGAACATCCAGGTCAACGTGTGGATGCGATGCAGAGCCGTTGGTCGGGCAAAATTCGCAACGCGGGCTAGAAACCATGCAGTGAAGACCCAGGCTGAGACCATCATGCTCCACACCGCATACTGGCTGCTATGAATGATCAGAGGGTTGACCTTGGTCAACAGAAAAGCCAGCGCGACGGTGACACCAGCAGAACAACCGAACAAGAAGGGGAATCGAAAGAAACCTCTCACACCACGCAGCGAGACCTTCTCATCGCTGTCGTCGATCGTAACCTTCATGCTAAACAGGTACATGCGGTCCACGTTGGACAGGATGATGCTGGTGATGAGCAACGTGAGCGGAGCCACGATCAGGAGAGTCACCGAAAGAGCAAAGAGCGTATGGAGTTGGAAGACCGCAAATGTACTGCCGAAGAGATCGAACCAGACAGCCCGCGAACCTCTCCCACTGGGCACTTTGCCCGGCCCCTGAGGTTCGCCCTCGAAGTCATCGCTGGAGTCCGAGACCAGTCCCTCTGTCGTCGCAACTGCTGCCGACAACATATGCCACAGAGAGTCCTTGTTCGTGTGTCTTGCGTCGTCCTGGTCCGTGTGGTACCGGGCTCTAGGTTCCATGAACGCGACATCCAATCCCCGCAGACCGAGATCGCCCTCAAAGACAATATAGTCGGTCTGGCTGCGGATCAGACCCATCTGAAAACCCGCGTCTGATAACACAGAGCCAAACGGATGCTCAGACCTCTCGTAGAATCGAGTGACCTCCGTGTCAGAACTGCGGAACAGCGTGGCTCGTCCTCCGGCACCGGCGCCCTCCAGGTTCAGGAAGGTATGCGCGAACTTCGATATGGGATGCTGACTATACACGCGCGCGCCATTGAGAAAGTCCTCCTCGCCATTATTGAGCAGGATGACCAGTCCCCTCCGCGGCTCGTGCCCTGGCGTGGTGAAGTACTTGATCAGCTGCAGACAAGTGACCACGCCGACTCCATCGTCAGTAGCACCGTAGCCCGTAGACACGCTGTCGTAGTGCGAATTGACGAGCACGCCGCCCTTGCCAGACGGTCGGCCATCCGGTTGCTCCCACCAGTTCGTCTTATCGTCCTCCGAGCCTCGGATATACACGATGATATTCGTGCCTTCGAAGTAGACGCCCAGGTCCGATTGCGAGAACGTGAGATTCGACCGCAAATCGTCGAAGACAAAAACCTCGGGCTGGCGCGCGTCCTCCGCGCCTCGTCGAAGTCTCCGGTCAGCTGCCGACAATCTTCTCCTCTCCAGGATGATCTCATCTATCCGGTTCAACAGCCAACTCCGCACCTCGTCGTTGCGGTGGGAGTTGTACGGATGGAAACCGCCCGTGAGATACTGCAAGTCGCGCCATGCTTCGTCGATATCGAGGCCGTCGGGCGCGGTCTCTGGCGCGGCAGGAAGGACGTGGTGGACAACGAGCAGCGGGGCGAGCAAGGCGACGTAGACGAGGGTGGTGATGATCGTCACAGGCCACCGGTTGAAGGCCAGGGGGTTGCACCGCCGTGGCTTCGTAGGAGCCATTGGGATTCTCCTCTCACGCGGAAACCGGTCTGGGGGTCGTCATTGAAAGGGAAACGAGAGACACGGAAGCACAATTGTGCTTGCTAAGTAGATTGCAAACGAGGGGTTGATAATCTCCGCGCGCGTTCCATCCAAAGCGGAAGGTGAGATTAATTTAAGGTATCCGCAGCTGCAGTCAGGTGGGTCAGCCGAACCAGAATAGCCCATCTCGACTGCCATAGCAGGAAGTTCATCATATCCATCTTACGAAAGCTTGCACGATTGTTTAAAATAAAATGCAAAGATCAGTTGGTGTCTCTAATCAGTTAAATAAATCAGCTGCAAATCTGTGTCTGCCATAAATACTAGAATAGACCAGTACAGGCCCGAAATATGTTGCCCAATAAATACCACCGTGATGTGAATGTCCTTTGCGAGAGAGATGGATGGATAGTCCCTGATTCGCTCGCGGAAAAAGAGGTATCATGTCATGTCATATATTCTCCAGTCACGATCGAGAAATAATGGTGTTCAACCAATACAGGACATAATAGAAAAAGGAATACGATCAGAAAGTGCCGGAAGAATGCAGATATTAGACTATATCTGTACAATGCAATCTCAGCTCGACCGTGCCGCCTCAGCATCCCCAGAGACGCCCGCCCAGCCCCATCATAAGGTCTATGGCTTCGCCATGAACTCGACATGGGCGGACGTATGTAAGACCATCGCGAGAACACTTCCCAGCGCCGCCAGGCCGCTGTAAAAAAAGCACGGCGTAGAAATAACGTCGTTAATGGTAGACTGCGTATGTTCTCCTAACGTCACTGAAGAAAGGAGGAATCGACGGATTCGCTTTGCACATGCCGAAGTGTTGCAGCCCCGCTTGAAGAGCTGACCCATAATATAAATGCTTTCTTTCCCTCCCTAAGAAACAGGCCAGTATCACCTGAATTATACAAAGACGTGCAGAGACCACGAAAGCGAAAACAGCGCGGAATCGAATAAACTGAAAAAACATCGGGGTATCAACCATGAGGATGTCTTACGTCAACGCCACCATCCCCCATTTCATCATCCTCTTCGTCATGGATGGCCGCGGCGTTCATTAGGCCAGTCACCTGGCCCTCGTCTTCATCGAGCTCTTCGTCGTCATCGTACATTGTTGCCTCCGTCTCCTCGTGGAAAGGGACGTAGTTCCGATTTAGAAACTCTCGCAGCCGTGCAACGCCCTCGCCGCTGAACACACAGAAGACTTCACGCTGCTGCTGCGTAAACTCCGGGGGAGCCTCCCGGCAGAACGCGGTGAGGTCTTCTCGCAAGAAGGCTTGAACTCCCGTAAGACTGAGATGAGTAAGCCGGGGACAGTGATTCAGGAGGGCATGAATTCCCTGGCATAATTGTCAATAATCGAATTCTACGAGAGAAAGAAAAAAAAACTTACCTCCATAGTCAAATTCACACAATAGCTGAGGTGCACCCGCTCCAGACAGCTCACGCCCAGAGGGTCAGGCGAGGCTCTCGACCGCGCCAAAGCCAGGATGCTGCGATCCGTTATGGACTGGCATTTGACCAAACCGATCCTCCTTAGCTTCGGCAAGGTTGCAAGCTGTTGGACGCTAGCGTCGGTCAAGAGGTTGCAGCACGCCAGGTCGATGTATCGAATGCGGTTGCAGGACTTGATCAGCTGAATCACCGCAGAATCGGTGATGTTGGAGCAATGGCCCAGATGCACATAGTGCAGGTTCTTCCCCAGTCTGCAGATGGCCAACACGGCGCGGTCGGTGATGAATTTGCATTTGGCGAGAACAAGGTTCCTCAGGCGTGGAGCCGAGTTAATGATCCGCTCGACAGCATCATCCTTGACGCGTTCACAGGCCGTCAGGTCCAAGATGCGCAGGCTCTCAAAGATCATACCCTCCGGAAGTTTTAAGAAAGCCGAGTCATCGATTTCCACGCAATGCGCCAGTCGTAATTCTCGCAGGTTCCGGAGTGTCGAGAGGAGCGTGGTGACCGAAGGGCTTGTAACCAGCTTGCAGTCATGTAGATCGATTTCGAGAATGGACGGGCAGTTTTCTGCGAAGGAGACAACGGCCTTGTCCGTGACTTGAACGACGCCGTTCAGTTTCAACTGAGCGGACAATCTTAGTAAACTCAACGTAGAGAAAAAGTATGGAGCAAGAGAAAAAAGAAACACTCACCCTCTTCAACTGCCGACAATTCTCAGACACGACGATCAAAGACTCATCCGTCACCTTAGCACAGCCGGTGATGTTCAACCCTTGCAGCCGTGGACAGTTCTTGGCCACGGTGAACAAGGTATGGTCCGTCAGGGACCGAAGCTCCGATACATCCAGAGCCTGAAGATACCGATTGCCCTCCACCAGATCTGACACGCCCTTGTCCGTCAGCTTGGAGCAGTTGGTCAAGGTCAAGCGCTCGATCCGTTTGCACTGGGTAAACGGCAACACCGTTCCATCGCTCACTTTGTCGGTCAAGGCCGAGAGATTCAACCGTTTAATGAGCTCCGCATACGGGAAGAGACTGTCCGGCTTCCCTACCGACGTCACCACACTCCGCAGGTTCTCGAACCGGTTGCACGAGGGCCGATGCCATAGAATTCCCACGCAATTTGCCGCCCATTTCTGGCATACCAACATGCAGTTCAGTAGGTCCGCCGGGGAGCTGAGTTTCGAGAAGATGGAGATCAGGATCTCCGGAGGGAGACGCATGATCGGAGGCACGACGACATTCTGTCCGTTGCTCACGTTGAGATCGCGGAAGGTTGCCACCCCCACGGACGACTGGGAGTCGTTGGCCTGGGCCATGAAGAAATCTGTGTCATCGTCGGCAGCACGTTCGGGGGAGGTCGAGGTCGAGGACTCGGAGGGAGCTTCGCTCGAGAAGCGAGCGGCAGGCCGGGAGCGAAGCATTCTCGCGGCTAACTGCCAACCAGGCCGACAGTGAACACGTCCTCTTATACAGCAGAGACGGGCCTGTTTACATCAACGAGAAATCCCCTAACCAGCTGTAGTGTCCTGTCTCCGACCCAACGATTGAAAGATGCTTGCCCACCCGATCAGACGTGCTTGTTCGTTCTGTACAGCTCAATGATTCGTAAGCGGTGTTCGTCGTTTGGAGGTTGTAGCAGGTCGACTGTCGAGAGGCAGCGGTCACAGGGCAAGACCAGGCAGGGCGTGTGAACGTGATCGAGGTCGTACAGCGGTGTCTGGGCTCTATCAAGGGAGGAACCAACGCAGGACTGGCAGCGTTGAAGGGGGGAGGAGGCAGCAAGGACTCGGGCCCAACGCAGTCACTGGCTAGGTTAGAGACGGGAATGGACAAACACTGAGAGACAAAAGCATAGAGGATTGAGCAGAGGTCGGATCCGGGACAGGAGACCCGGTCTGCAGGGCGATATCAGGAACAATGAGCAAGGTTTGGGCGGGAGGCGCGAGAGCATACGCTCCGGCGGCAGTGAGGCAGGCGGAACACAAAGTGGGATGCGGCACCAGGAACCCGCAGGCTGCGTGTCCAGCAACAGTTAACAGCTTGCTTGGTGATTCGAAATTGCAGCCACAACTGAAGGGCTGAGTGACTGCCAGAGCATGAACTAATTAATGGATAATTTCACCAGATGGCAGAGGGAAGAGGATGAATAATCGCCTCAGCACTGCGTACCTGCTTGGGATGTCCCGTGCGTGCAAGGGACGCTGGGTGCCAGACGAACAAAGGCGCTTTTGCAGAATAAGTAAGGCTGCGCATGGGCGGGTCGGTTGACGCCATGCGGATGGAGAATGCCTGATTTATTCTCTTAGCCCAGTCAGCCTTAGAGGCTTAGACGCGGCCCTCACGAGACCGGCCCTCGATCACACGGCCTTGGTCAGTACAGCAATACTATGCTACATGACGTTGACTGAAGGGCTGACTAAAGGTCGCATTTGACAACATCATCCTGAAACATTCCTAATGATGGCGATACAGGGCCACCGTGAAGAGACATGGAGCAGTTGAATCGCACGCTACACGTGAACTGCGGTATGTTGACACCGGAGAACATCCAATCTTATTTCACACTTCGCACGAGTCTGCCACCTCTAAATGATGCAATATCTGTATGTATATGGAACAACAGATCTATACCGTCCAGTCTACAAGAAACAAAACTTGACAACTTCATTCACTGCACCAGTTTCCTATCCGCACCCTTCGCCCACTCCCGCAGGACATTCTTCTTGATCTTCCCCGTGCTCGTCTTGGGCAGCTCCGGCACGACCTCGACCTCGCGAGGGACCATGAACTTGCTGATTCCGCTGACGTTCCTGGCCCACTCGATGATGTCCTTGCCCTCGACACTGCGACCGGGTTTGATGGTGACGAACGCTTTCGGCCGTTCGCCCCATTGTTCGTCGGGGACGGCCACCACGCCGGCCTCGAGGATGTCGGGATGCGTGACCAGCATGGACTCCAGCGCTAAGGAGGAGATGTTCTCGCCGCCTAAGGAGGGAAATGTGCGTTAGTAAAGGACTGACAGGACTTGTACTCCGTTAGTGAGAAACGGGCTTACCGCTGATGATGATGTCCTTTGCGCGATCCAAGATCTGAATAGCCCCGTCGGGATGCCAGACGGCCAGGTCGCCCGAATGGAGCACACCGCCAGCAAAGAGCTTCCGCGTGGCCTCAGGATCCTTATAGTAGCCCTTGGCACAGATGTTGCCCTGAAAGACGATTTCGCCCAGCTCGAGACCGTTACGTTCCACATCGATGACAGTCCCCTCGGGGACATCAGTCTTGATGACGCGAACAGGAAGACTGGTGACGAACCCATGGCCCTGTCGCGCCATCTTCTGATACTTCTCCTTGGGCGGCAGCGTCTCCCAAGCGGGCATATGGTAGCCCTTGGTGATGGGGCCGTATGTCTCCGTCATGCCATACACGTGGACGGGATGCAGGTTCAGGTTCGTCATCTGCTCGAAGAGATGGGCTGTGGGCGGACTAGCTGCCACCGTCACTCGGACAGGGTTCGGGAGCCTCTCCGCCTCCTTTGCGGCGCACAGCAGAGTGTTGACCGTCGGGGCGGCATTGAAATGCGTGATGTGTTCATTCTTGAGCAGATGCCAGATGAACGGGTAGTCGATCTTGCGTAGACAGTAGTGCGTGCCTCGAACGGCCGTGACCGCCCAGGGGAATGTCCATCCTGAGAACCTCTATCAGTCACACTGCACCAGACAAGCAGTGGGAAAGATATCACCAACCCATAGCATGAAACATAGGCAACGTCCAGAGATATCGACAGCGGCCCGTATGAAAATTCAACCCAGACTCAATGACATTCCCCATCGCAGCGAGATAGCACCCGCGATGCGTGTACTCAACGCCCTTGGGCCGTGCCGTCGTCCCGCTCGTGTACGCGAGCGCAATAACGTCGTCTTCGTCAGGGGCATGGGCCTCGAGGCCTTCCCAGCCCTTCGCACCGGTCTCGGCGTCATATTCCAAGCCCTCGAGGACGGCCTTGTCAAAGGGACCGCTGAGCTCGCCCTCCGTGGCATTTGTGTCCGTGTCCACGATGAATGGCACGTCCGGGTGCTCCCGTCTGTACGAATCGAGGAGGTGCACAAACTCGTGGTCGACGATGATGGCGTCCGCGTCGGAGTGGGTGAAGATGTAGGCGACATCGTCGGGTTTGAGGCGGTAGTTGACCGCTGCGATTGTATCAGTACGAATCGAAAAAAAAATCAATGCGATTTGTTACATACCAATATTCACAGCCCCCGCAGCAGCAATACCAAAAATCGACTCGAGGAACGCCGGGGTGTTTGGGGCAAGGATCCCGACTCTCTTGAAGCCATGCTTCTTGAGATAGTACGCCAGGCCACGGGCGCGATCCGCCGTCTGGAGATAGGTCCTTCGAATCGTCTTTTTGTTTGCGGTGACGTGGTAGATTGCTTCTGCCTGTAACACTTTCATTCAGAATCGAGTCCACCTTTATAGATATATATAACGCACCTCGGGTTCAATCGCAGCAGCGCGCGGGAGGAAAAATGTTGGAGAAAGGGTGTGATAGTTTACAGGTCGAGAGGGAGAGTCCGACTCCTTCGCAGAAGCAGTCTCAGTCTGCGTCTGCGTCTGCGTCTGAGACGAAGAAGAAGGGAGGAAATGGCCCAGCAGGCCCGAAAGACGGGTCTTTGGAGAAGACATCTTTGTAGTAGCAGAAAGCAAGAACACACAGCTAACAATATTACATGAATAAATGAAATGAAATGATACTCTCTTCTAGATGATATAATAATTATAGTAAATAGGTACTAGGTGACGTGATATAAATGCAGCTACTGATCTACCACTACTAATTACCTAGGGGCTGCCTCGGACCGGGGAAAGATGGAGACAATAGAATGCGGGGGAGGCAAAGCTAACCCCGACCCGGGGCCGAAAGCCAGGGCAAAGTTCTAGGTAATCTTGGGGGCAGAGGCCGCACAGCAAGCCGGGTAGCCTCGGGTGGGGAGAGAAGCGGAAGTTCCAAGGTTAACCGTTAAGCAAGCTGCTGGTGCCGACTGATACAACCTTCTACATATACGTCATGTTTCTCTAAGCACCTAAACTACAATTACAATTCTAGATCTAGATGCTAATGAACACTAGGCAATTGATCTTGACTAGTTAGTTACTAGTAAGTTTAGGGACTTGGTAAACGGGCACTTTTCACGAGAACTCTCTCTCCATGCGGATGCCAAGAAACACAGTCAAGTCAGTCAGTCTATGTAGGTAACGAGCTGCATAAATTATACAGTCTCAAGGGTCCGGAATTTCCTTGGATTATTTATTGATTGATTGATTTAACGGGTCAGTCAGGAAAGCATGCCCTGTTGAAACCACCATTGCTTTGCTCTCTCTCTTTTTTTTTGTCCCAAGCGACTCCGTGCAGAAAAGAAAAAATAAACAACTTTCTTGGGCCCTCCCATGTCCGTTTCAGCATATCATTTGATTTTCTTTTTTTTTTAAATTTCATCAGGTAGGAACCGTGAAATGAGAGGAGGTTGACGGCGCGCCGTTCAGTTCCGCGATCCTATCCCTCCATTCTTTCTAAATACAACAACCAAACCAGCGTCAACACCAGGTATCTAGTATCCGTACTCAGCCAGCTGGCTCTTGATCTTCTCATCCACATTCGCCGTCTTCTGGGCCTGTGCCAGCAGTCGTCGAGCAGCCTTCTTGCGCTCGTAGTAGGCGGCACTCTTGACCTTTCTCCGCTCCTCCAGTCTGTTGAATTAGAGTCAGTAACCACCCAATGGTAACGATTTCCCGACAGAGCAACAGTCCGTACCTAGCAACAACGTCCTGGTATTTCCAGCCGACCTCGTGGCTCAGTCTGCCAACGGTGCAGTACTTGCGACCGGGCCGGAGACGGAGGATACGCAGGGCCTGGGGGACGACAACACGCTTCTTCTTGTCGTATGGCGGAGGAATACCCTCGAACACCTTCAACCGTTCCAACGCAGCAGCACCACGGGCAGTCTTGTGCGGGATCATGCCCCGGACGGCCTTGTAGAAGATACGGGACGGAGCACGGAAGTGGAAAGGACCTGTAATCAATCGCGTGAGCTTTTGTTCCCAAACAGAACGCTGCTTGTTGCAGCACGGATTATACTCGGTTCTCACCACCTCTTGTCGGGTTGTAACGAGTGGCCTTGCGGAGGTAGGCATGGTACTTCACTATATCGCAGAATTCCAGTCAGCGTCTGTATTCCCCCTCGACCACCATCATTTGCATTATTTTTTTTCCTGCTATCGCTTCCTTCCCATCCATTGCTTCGGAAACGGAAGATACGCAAACATCAGATCCGGGTTGACATACACTTCGCGCGGAAGAACTCGCCGGAGATGTTGAGAGCTTCACATCGCACGACGACGATCTTCTGCCCGTTCAGCAGCTGCTTTGCCACAATGCTGGCCAGGCGACCCAAGAGGTGTCCCTTGCCGTCGATGACGACCTGTAAAACATCAAGGCATGTCAGCCATCAGTCACCAGACCGAATAATATCAAGAAATGAATTGGAGTCGACGGTGTCGAAACGCGTCTCGGGGAACACGTACAACTGGCTCGAAGGTGGACATCCTGCTCTTGTCACCGGTTCTACAAGGAGAAAATATCCAGCAAGACAAAGAGCTGGTTGCTCTGGAGGTTGGTTGTCGACGGGTTGTTGGCGTTTGTGGTCAGGTTCGACGCACAGCACGAAGTCGGGATCGTTGGCAGCGAGGGCTAAGCGAGGCTAATTGTGCGAGGGTCGTCGAGGGTCCCAGCCCTAACCGGGCCGCCGTCATTGGCCAGCGGTCACATGCATGTGGGTCCATCCCGATAGGAAGGCCGCTACGGAGCAGATCACATGACTTGCTGTCCCTTATCATTTTCCGCCTGCAATAAAGTTACAACGTTTGAGTCACAGCCCAATTCATGCGGAATTACATTATTTAAGGCTGAAGGATCTTGCCATTGGATGAGGAGAATACCTCGTCTGCTCAGCTCACCATGAGGATCACGTAATTCAGAAACTGTGTTTCCGTTCCTGCTTCGCAAGGTGAAGGAACGACCACCGATGGTCACCTATCGAAAGACACGCTTTGTATGCGTCTCCGACACTCATGCCTACATACCCTCAGAGGCGGGATTCCGGCTGCCACCCGGAGATGTCTTGATCCACGCCGGGGATCTCACGAAACGGGGCAGTAAATCGGAGCTGCAGCGGACCATGCAGTGGATTCGGGATGCGGACTATGAGGTCAAGATCGTGGTTGCTGGTTAGTGAGAGCGTCTCATCTTGGAGGCCATACTAAACAATATCAAAGCTTATAATAATGTCTGTGTATGTTGACTGATGAATGACCGTAAACGGCCGCAGGCAATCACGATGTCACACTGGACGCACCGTTCTATGCGGAACATGGTCCTCGTTTCCATGACCAGAAACTGGAGAATGCAGAGGAATGCATGGAACTTGTCGAGAGATCGCCGTCGGTCATCTTCCTCCGTCATGCTTCAGCGCTGGTCAAATTGACCCGTCCAGATGGACCCCGGACCATGTTCAAGGTCTTTGGCTCGCCGTATTCGCGGTTCCAAGGAGTCTGGGCCTTTGGATATGACTCTGCGGAAGAGGCGCAGCGCCTCTGGGACCAGATTCCCCTGGACGTGGATATCGTCGTGACGCATACGCCTCCCTTGGGGTATTGTGATCATCGTCGAGAGGACGGTGATAAGGCAAGATCGCTTGGTTGCGACGGCCTCCGTCAGGCATTGAGCAGAGTGCGGCCGATGCTTGCGGTCTGCGGCCATGTGCACGAAGGCCGTGGCTATGAGAGAGTGCGATGGGATGATAGCGATGATGGGGCGTCGAGATCCGCGCAGGAGGCAGCACTGCCTCCGATGGGGAGCAAGAAGCAGAGTCTGGTCGACTTGACAGGCCGAAAACAGCGACGCCTGGAGAATATCAGTTATACTGGGGCGGCCAATGCATCATCATTGCCGCACGGTACAGTCGGTATTACTAATAATGGCGAAACCCCTGAAGGGGTGATACCAGCGAGGAAAGAGACCTGCATCGTCAACGCGGCGATCATGGCCACAAGCTTTCCACACAAGGAAGGCAAGCGATTCCACAAACCGATAGTCGTTGACCTGGACCTTCCCGCTTGGGACAGCGACCTCAACCCAACTTGACAAAAGACAAAAGACACGAAGGGATCATTCCCGAAGGACATCTATCCGTTGTATGCATGCACGCTGTATGTACAGCTGCCATTGCCATGACGTACATGAGATAGATCATACCCAGAGGGAGAATGTTCCCGAAAAATGACATTTTGTTTCTTGTTCAGCCCTACGTGGTTGGCTATTCTGGAATGCATAGATGCCTGCCCTGGGAGGGAGATGCATTTTTCTTCGACAGTATGATTCTTCTTCTTCTGATGATGATGATGGCAAACTACTTCATGCCACATTTGACGAGATAATAGATGCTATGCATGGAAAGTTCTATCTATTCATTCATTCTGTCGGTGGGAATTTATTTTATGAACAGATAAGTTGTCAGACTGGGCTGTGCTGTGTGGCTCGTACCTAGTACTACTCCTAGTAGACTGGCAGACGAATACAAGATGTCACCAGGAAGCGAGTGGTAGGACAGGTGTAAATAAGTAGATGCTAGCAGAGATGAGACGGCGATGCGTGCACACTGCTAGCCATCTCGAGGTAAAGACACTATAATAATAATAATTGGAATTTCCGGCCTGAAGATAACCCATTATTAATCTTATTACAAGATGTGATTGCGACCAGTGCATAACTCTCATCATCGTCATTATTAAATTATAATCTTTGATGAGGATAATAAATAGAATACGGAGTATAATGTCCAAGTGGTGTATACACGTCCGTATGACCTCGATGATCATGGAACAAGGATGATGACCTGGTAGTTGGTAGTTCTGTTTCACAGGCGCGTGGAAGAACAACCAACACAAGTGGGTGATAAGACAGGGACGGTAGCTAGCTCATCACTAACACTGTAACCATTGTCGCAGGAAAAATCAAAAAGGTATGTCCATGTGCCCGGTAGTGCAACATACACGTAAGTAAGTACCTCCGGCGTACTCCGTACCTAGCTACCTTGGTAGGTAGGCAGGCACGTTGTGGATCGAGGTACTGCCTCGTTTTTAACCATTTCTGGAATGAGGAGAGACGGACACGAGGCTTAATAACTAAATGCTCTTGTGATAAGGCAAGGCGACTGAGTTGACCAGTAAGAAAAAATCAAGCAATGGGATATTGTCCATTATTTGAACAGGACAGCCAGCTTACAGGCCAGCGGCCAAGTTCACGAATCACGCCAGAGAGGGGCGAATGACTGGACGGCAAGGCGAGACGAGGTTGGAGCGGTGCATGACTGGACTGCATGACCGGCCTCGCTGCGTGGCCAGTATGGTGATTATTGGACTGGATTTAGTGACGGTGATGCGGTGGGCTGCCTAACCATGGCGGGGCGGCCCCTCCAATCGATAAGAGAGCGACCTGCCTCATCAGCGTGCGCTGGACAGGCCTCCCATGAAGTACAGAGTAAGCTGGTGATTAGGTACTCGAGTCGTATGTCGTATATCGTATATTCACAAATCTCGTCACAGGTCATCATGAATGAAAGAGAATCGTCTCGACTCGCTCCGTTCTGTTCCCGTGATCGATCGGGTGGCTCTCGGCGTTGCTGCAGCCACACGGTGAAACAGCCTCAGGCCTAGCATTAAGTTTTATGATCTGGCAAGCACTTACGAGGCTAGCTCGCTCCAGATCAGATAGGAGAGCCATTTTCTGTCGCGGGGCGCGCAGTTACCGCCGCAGGAAGCGTTGTTTCTGATTTGTACTGGACAACACACGCATGCAGACATCTCCACGTCGGGTTAGACGCCCGCCACCCTTCTACCCCTCAGCAAGGATTCGAGAAAGTACTCCTCAAGGACAGGGAAACAGGAGAGCTATAAATCGGTAGCAAATAAATTGCTGGTTCTCTGCCTTCCAGGACGCAGCTCCGACCAGGACGCAGTTCGAGGACCAGAGGTGGGTGAAAAACGCCCGACGCGTCCTTTTTCGCGATGGAGCCGCCTCGTGGTTGCTTCCCAGCCGGTCTAGCAGCTCTCTGGAGAGCAACGAGGCCAGCTGGCTTGGACACGCGGTGGCCCCTGGAGCGGACACTGAGACTCAGGCCCTCTCGGCATACTAGCCATCCTCTCCGTCCGTATCAAGTGGACTGCTCTATTCAGTAGCTATCCAACGGTGATGCACCTGCCTATCACGGCGCGGCCGATGGACACGATCAAACGGAGCCATGCCGCAGTGGAAATGGCATCTCCAGCCTGCCAGCCACTGGTGCTCCGTATGTAGGTACAGCCGGGCACCGGAACAGCGGACCACGACCGGTGCGACGGATGTGCAGGATCCAGGAGAGGAGCCTCTGGGGCAAGGCGAGGAGAAGACGACGAGGGACAGGATGATTGGAGGCGGTCGAATCAGGCTCTGAATCCGAGGAGCGCGGTGATCGGGGACTGTCCTGGCGCGTCATTGCCTGCCCTGTGCGGGCGGAGCATGCCTCGTCACTCGTCCAGTCTCCATGGCTACCTGGCAGCTTGGCTGAGGATGGAAAAATAATGGAAGTGGGAGAAGAGATTAGCCTGCTCCCCCTGGGGATCGTGACCCGGGCGTGCCTCTCGCTAAGGAAACTAGGCGTCAATCAGGAGGGTGTCCTGACCGGCCAGCAAGTAGGCGTCGCTGGTGAAGCGCCTGTGGAGATTCTTCAAAGGCTGGAGGGTTGATCGCGTAGAAAATGGCGATATCGATCGAGTGATCAGAAGACGCCGTTGCGGCTGCTGCGCAGGTATTAATCGTACCAAACCGCCCTGCCAGCGGCGTTTCTCTGCCTTGGGAGCATGAACCTGTCTCCCTGCCGTACATAAATCGACCCCTTCCCTGGGAAGCGATTATTGCATCACAGCTCCATCGCGGCCAGCTCGGTGATCGGATTACCCCGCCAGCAATCGCCTTCATCGCGGAACCCCACGTCTTGTCCGGCGGGGCGAATCACTATTCCTGCCCGTTTTGACCGCTCCTTGACGCCGATTCACCAGAGTGGAGTGCAGTTGGGTTACTTGGGCAGCCTTCACCGCTGCTTTCTCTGTCAAGGAACGACCTTCTATTCTTACTCATCCGGTCCTGTCATCGCACGTTGTCACCTCCGGGTCGAAACGTCCCTGACCACATCGCCTCTTTCCAACTCCTACCCTCCACTGGCATACAGATCCTGCAACAACCATCAGCGTTACTAAGCATCAGCAATTTTTGCTCTCCTCCTCCTCGCGACCAGCGAACCACGTCTCAGCCCGCCTAAAGCCGACCAGGGTGGCGCAGCGTCTGTCCCCTCTCTCGCTTCCAGTGCCTTTGCACCGGTGCCTTTCGCGCACGCACCGCCCTCTGGCAGCGGTTCCTGTGGCTCTCGTACAGTTGCAGTGCCTGGATCGGTGGATCTTTCCGTCTAGCTTCCAGGCGGGTTTCTGCGCTCTTCGGCCCCAGCAGCCCTCGTCCAGCAATCAATCAGCAAGCCCTGCCAACTCGCCGTCCTCGGCCGTCATAAACATCGCCCGCACCGCTGCACGCCATCTCTCCTGCCTCCATTGAATCCCTGTCTGCGGTGCATGGGTTCCTTCCTTTCGTTTCGGTCGGCGACGCTGTGAAGGGACTTTCCGCAGAGTCCTCCATCATGTGTTGATTCCTTCCAGAAACCAACGCCAACCTCCGACCGAATCGTCCCACGTTTCTTTCCCCCGTTCTGCCATCATTCGATTGATCTCCTCCCTTCCGGTACTGTTCTCACGGATCGGATTCATGCTCGGCTGTCAGCCGCCTCGTCATAGTATATCAGAGTCTCCATTATGTCCAGCTCTCCCCCCACATTCGACCCGTACCTCGTTCTCGGGGTTGATAAAGATGCCGGTCTTCCAGAGATCAAGGCCGCCCACCGAAAACTCGTGCTCAAGTGCCATCCTGACAAGGTGAAAGATGAGTCGTTGCGGAGCCAGGCCAGGGACGAGTTCCAGCGCGTGCAGGAGGCCTACGAGCTCCTCTCTGATGAGAAACGCCGCGCCCAATATGACAATGAGGTCCGTCTGGCCCAACTGCGGAAAGAGAAGATGGAACGGTCGTCCACGAAAGCGACTAGAGGCCGAGAATATCGTGATGGACGCTTCTACGAAGAGCGCACCCCGGCTAGTGCCAGCTACTATGATGATGTCGATGAAATCCGGCTCTCGGAGGAACCGCGGGCGCACTCTCGGAAACATGACGACCATGGGAGGCGATCGCATTCGAAACCCACAGAGGAGAAGAAGAAGTCGAAACCGGTTCCTCTCAGCACCCCGCGGGCGTCCAAGGAGAGCAAGGAGAGCATTCGCGAACAAGTGAAGGCCAGCCATCATGACCGCGCCAAAGATCGGACCAAGGAGCGCCGCAGAGACTTGGACGACAAGTACGAGCGGACGAAGGGTCCCTACGTCGTCAGCGACGTCGAGGACGAGTCCTCGGCGTCATCAGATGCTTCCCACAAAATCTACATCAAGGTTAATAAACACTCGTCCAAGTCTCCCCGGTCCCGCGAGCCTGATCCACCACGCAGCAAGCCCGAACCAGAACCATCTCGAGAATCCGAGTATCGACGGTATGATGCGGATGCAGCCGTGGATGAGGGCGCGGACGACTATGTTGATGAGTTGCAATCCAAGTTCGACGACCTGGAAAGCTCGGTCAGGGATTATATTGAACGCTCCAAACACGATCCTCACGTCGAATACGATCATCGACGGCCCCAGTTCTCGCGTTCACCGCACACCTACGGCGGGTACGAATCGAGCGATTGGTACGAGCGGGAGGCCACACGGTATTCTTCGAGTCGCTCGCATCGGAGAACGGAGAGTGCCCGGGTTGCGACCTCGTCGCCGCCGCCCCGGAGATCGCACGAACGCCTGGACGATCCACACCGGACGTACGAGCGTACAGTGCCCAGCATGCCCACGGCGCCGACGGCTCCCAAAGTCTCTTCTTCCTCGAGGCCTCCTCCCCAGCCGACTCGATCGTCGACTGCACCCTACCCTCGATCTCGACGCGAGGGCTCCAGCTGGTCGGAGCCAAGTCCGCTCTACAACATGGTCAATAGCGTGGCTGATTCCCCTCCTCCACGGACCAAGTTGAGGAGCGCCGACCGCAATGACTCGGGCTATTCCAGTCCGGGGACGCCTGAGATGCCGCAAAGCAGCAGCGGTCCGAAGGTGAACCGGTACAAGATCGTGGATCCGCCCGAGACGATCACGATAGAGCCGCAGGAGACGCATCGATACCAGCGGAGCACGTCGCCGATACGGTCGGAGCGTCCATCGGTCACCACACGGACGCCGTCGTCGAAACCCTCGCGCAGCTCGACAACGACGACAGCACCGACCAAGACGTATACCTATTCACCCGAGACAGGAGTCCGGTATGAGATGGCTCGGCCAGCGGCCGCGACGGCGGCGGCAGCGACGACGACGACGACGACGACCAGAGCGCCTCCGGTGCGAGTGGTATATGAAGAGGTTCGGTATGCACCGGAGATCAAACTCGAGAACATCCAATATGCGTATCCTCGCTACGAGGACGTTCGTTACACACGGCAGCCAGCCTACTGAGTGGGAATACGACAGCACGGTATTGCGGGACCATAATTTCCTTTTCGGATTGCTCTTTCGTTTTCACTCGATGGGTCACACGCACTGCTTTTGTTTAGACGCATTTCGCAGGCATGGCACTGGCCTGCCACGCTGAATTGATACATTTTCAAAGATGGTTTATTGAAAAGAAACCACAGTAAATACAATTGATGCATCATCTGTCCTGGGTGAGGAGATTCGGTCATGTTCGGCGTTTGTTTCGGGTGTTCTTTTTTATCTCTCACCAGTGTCGGTATGACTGAGTATGAATGAGCATTGCTGGGCAGGCGGGATGACATATACGATCTGATATGTCTTTACTGTCTCTCACACGCTTACTAATATTATGCACTTTTGGTTTATTTCGACTGCGGGCAGTATGGTATGGTAAGGTGTGGTTGGGGTTGGTTGGATTGGAACTGAAATGAGTCGTACTCTGGCATGGGTTTGGTTGGTTTGGTTTGGCTTGAGTTTCTGCTGGCGTTGTAGTTCTCTTCATTTATTTTTGTGTGAGTTAGTGGTATTCTTTTTCTTGGGTGAAACTGACTTATTGACTACATGAAATGAATATTTACTATATTTCTGAACAGAGCAGAACAGCTGACAGGCATGCAATATGACAATGACATTATCTGAGACTTTACTTTCTTCGTTTTATAGGACAAGAACCATCAATCAGCAGTCAGTCAATCCTCTCCGAAGACTGACTGACTGCATTAAGCCAACGTAACGTAATGCAATGCAATACAATCAAGATAAGACAAGATGAGATAAGATAAGATACAGGGGTGATATATACTCCGTATATTTTGTCACCACAACACCGTTATAAACAAAGATTGGTAAATACCTTTTTTTCTGTTTTCTTTTTTAGAAAGCGAAACAGAAGTAAATATTTGATGTATGTACCGTACATACATACATACTCCATACGTACAGACATATGCATATGTGCATGAGTATTACGAGTATATGTTTGATCACTGCTGCTTGATTTGATATCAAGACAGTACAGTACAAACAAACCAGTCTGTAATTATGGTAGACAGTAAGGTAAGGTGAGCATTGAACTGAACTGAGGTGATTTATATGATGATGTCATCGACCGACCTCCATACATACAATTCCAATTTCAGTAATAAAAGTAAATAATTGGAAGTACTGTAGATGAACATATATTATTATATTAATATAATAATCCCATCCCACCCTTCCCATGCAAATTTGTATAGTACATAATATAGTATATAGGAGATCCCATCCCTCCCTTCCCAGGATCATGAGTGTTTAGTACATGCAATTTGTATAGTACATATAATAAGCCCATCCCACCCTTCCCTGACTGATATGAGTATTGATACATGCAATTTGTACATGATATGATATCTATACAGGACCAATATCCTCCATTTATCTCATCCGTACATGACATGATACATGATTCATGATACATTCTCGTAATATTGTCTGTCACAGACAGACATACAAAAACAAAAAGTACAGGATATTAAGATAGTCAGTCTGGTATAGTACATGAATATTATTAATATAGTCGAATATTCACATATGAAGGCGGAGTTCATGTGATTTTCGAACTCTGAAGAAATCTTTTTTTTTGTTTCTTCTTTTTTCCTCTTTATGATGGTGAGGGACGCCTTCATATGGAATCGAAAAGAAAAAGAAAAGAAAAGAAGTTTCCAGTCTCAGACTGGATGGATTGGATCCCATTGGGAGTCCCAAATTGATCTGTCATCTGGCATGGCACAGGCTCAGAGATGGTGTCTTCCCATACTTGCCTGTACCATGCCAGCCGTTTCTTTCTTCTTCCTCCACAAATATTCTTTCTTTCTCTGTGGCATGGTACAGGTTCCAAAATGTTGTCTTCCCAGACGTGCCTGTACCATGCCACACACTTTCCGTTTTGTTTGTATTCCTCCTCTGTCCGTTCACCATCCCCTCCCTCCTGTTTTTGGGTCGACCTGATGGTGATAATCCACCACCATCAGGTCACAGGAGGGAATATGGTGATGGTATTGGTGTTGGTGGTGACGACGGTGATGGTATGACGTCTTACCAGTCGACCGCCCGGCCCCTGACGATCCCTTCTTCGACATCCGGGGGGAATTTCGGTATCGCCCCCGTTGCGATGAAGTGGATGATGGTGATGAGGCCGGTGGCGCTGGCCCACTTGGAGACGGACGTGGTGTTGGCGGAGGTGTCGGATATGGATTCCGACGAGGAGGTGACCGACAGGCAGCTTGGGGTCTTTGGTTTGGCCCCGAAGCTGGTCGGTTTTGTTGGTGTTTGTGTTGCTGCTGCTGCTGATGCTGCTGCTGCCGGTAACGTGGCTTTGCAGCAGGAGCAGGAGCAAAAGATGGAGTACCAGTCATGATAGTGTCTTGGTCTCTATCAAGCCGGTGTCGGTACGGCCTTGTAGCCGGAGTAGAAGAAGGTGGTGGTGGGACACCGGTCATGATGGTATCTCCGTCTCTGTCAACCCGGTGTTGTCGGTACGGCCTTGTGGTGGCCGAAGGAGAGGGGAATGAGGATGGAACACCAATCATGACGGTATCTCTGTCCCGATCAAGACGGTGTTTGATGAATGGCGGTCTCTTCGCTTGATACGGCATCGACTGCGGCCGCTTCAAGGGCCCGTTGATGTATTGGGCACCAAGAGCATTTTGGGGTACCGCAGGAGCAGGTGCATAAGGAGGAGAACCGCAAGGAGAGTTGTAACGAGGGGCTCCCGTCATGACGGTATCGCTGTCCGCGTCAAGAGGGTGCTCTTCCTCGTCTTCAGTGAGATCAGACATTACGACGTCTGTCTCGGCGGAGTCGATATCCATTCTGTCTTGGATATCGGTGATGGTGAGGTGGTCGGAAGTGAAGGAGTTAGGGGTGAGGGTGTGGATTGGAGCTGGCATCGGCATGGAGATGATGGTAGTAGGATTGGCATTCCATGCACGACGGACGTCCATGATTGACGAAGAAAAGGACACCATGTCAATCGGATGGGCCTTTTGGATTTGATGAAATTGGCTTGCAGAAACGGGGCCCATGTCAAACGTATGGGTGTCTCTGGGTTGACAGTTGATTGCAGAAAAGGACGCCATATCAGAGCGGATGGGTTTTTCTGTCTTTGATTGTTTTGTGTGGTCTGAAGTTCTTAGATCTTGAGAGTGTGTGGTTTGTAGAAAGTTCAGAGTAGCAGGTTTGTAAAAAGTTCAAATGCGTTTGTAAAAAGACTTGCAGTTGCGATTTAAAAAGCACTTTTGTTTGAAGATTTGTTTGAAGCTTTTTGGGCTTGAGGAGAGAAAAGAAAGAAAGAAATCCTCCCTGCTGAGGACATGGCCTCCTTATAGACAATTCCTGACTCATAACTTGGTAGCGAGAGCATCTGCCTGGCTTGTACATGTTGCAACCTATAATGAACCAAGGGTCGAGGAGTCGATGAGTCGAGAGGACTTTTTTTTTGTTGATTTTTGTCGGTGTACATGTCGAAGCAGACACTTTTATATTGGATATAAAGTATCTCAGGACCGCAAGAATCCGGGGTAATCAGGGGCAAATGCCAGTTCCATGGAACTGGGGTGTTATGACACTGGATTGAGCAATGCTGCCTGTCCGTGCCTGTCGATGTCTGCGACGTCATGGCGGATGTAGACGTCATGAGTTCAAATATAGGACTTTTGACGATACTGCCTAAATATAGAAGCGCATAATCAGCAGGAAATTCACATGCAAGACTCTGGGGTAATCCGGGGTGAATACCAATTCCATGACTCTGGGATATACTGCCTGTCGATGCCTGCCATTTCACGGCATATTGTAATCGTCATCACTTCGAATAAGTGTAATTTTCAACATACTGACCTAAAAATAGACGCATATAGTCAGTATACAGAGTAGGGTGCAAGCTCAGGGGTAATCAGGGGTAAAAACCTATTCCATGGATCTAGGTATGTTGCCTGTCGATGACTGTGGTGTAGACGTCATGACCTCAAGTAAGTGAATTCTAAAATTACTGCCTAAAGATAGACAGCAATGTGTGCTAGGTCAGAATGAGTGGCAGCATCCCCGCTCGGCGGATGGAGGGCATGCAGAGTGAATGGTAGGTGTTGTCTATTCTAGCTGATGTTTCCCTGTCCGGCCTCGGCTGTAGAATTCGAGCTGGGCGTATTCGAAATAGATGTCTATTTCCTATTGCTATGAGAATTTGATGCTGCCACACTGAAAGAGATCTCTATCTCACCGTTTTGAAAGCCATAAACCGCAACTGATCGGTAACCTGGATGAATTTTGATGATTTTCTCAGAAGATGAATTCAAAATCTACGTCTCTGCCCCCAAACGAGAACATAGTCATCAAGTATTTACATGCCAGCAGCTGGGAAGAGTTCGAAATCGATGCAGGAATTTTCAAAGGGTATGGATGCCTCCAAATATATCGTTCCAGCCTGGGCAATGAACTTATAGAAAGAAAGAAAGAAAAACGAACTTGTAGAATTACTTTTTGCATCTAGCATTTATCGTCAATAATCGTGCCCGCTCACAGTTCTGCTTCGTCATGGCTCCGTCCAATCCACCTGCTCTGTAACAGGAGCTGCTCCGTCTTTGGAGTAAGTGATGCGGAGACGCAGACGAAGTTTAGGCGGCAGAGGCTGTAGAAAAATTCCAAGTCAGTAAACAGCTTCATCAATAGTAGACAAGGCATAATACTCACCCCATTGATGGCAGCAATCTTCATCCCCTGAGTTCCCTCCTCTCCTCCATCAAGATCCGCCTTGGTGATCGCGCTGAGTTGTAGCCGCTGGCTCTTGGGAACGGCCGCCTGCAGTCCAACACTGGTGAACCGGTTGAAATTGGAGGCGTTGCGGAACCGAGCCAGGACCTGCGCACCGGTGCCGTTGGGATTGCGCTGCGCCTGCAGCGTGAGAACGAGGTCGTCTTTGCTGAATGCCGTGTGCGCCGTTGGGCCAGCAGATGGCGAAGCGGCTGGAGCAGGAGACGCGGCGCCGCCCAAACCGCCTAAGAGGTCTTGAGACGCGGAGGTGGAGGCAGGGGACTGAACCTGAGGACGTGCGGAAGGTGCCGCCCCATTTGAACCGAGTAGATCCATCATCGCACTGGTATTGGACGAAGGTGCTGGCTGCGAAGGAGCCTGCGAAGGAGCCGGCGACGAGACCGATGAGTCTCCGCCGCCGAGAATATCGGCCAACAAATCTGCCGTATTTTGGGAAGTACCGTTGACAGCAGGCGTGGTCGTGGGAGCGGCGTCGCCCATGAGGTCTAGCAGCATGTCCTCCGTTTGTTTCGGCGGCTTCTTTGACTTGTCCTTCAGCATCCGGCTCTGCCGCTTGTTGGTCGGCTCCCCAAGCACTCTCTGCTCTTCCCGGATTTCCGGCGGCGGCATTCGCTCAAGAACGCCCCGTCGGATCTGATCATACCCGAAAAGATTGGTATACTCGACCGCCCTCTGTTGCACCTCGACGTTGAGATCGGCCGTGCGGCTGGCCAAGAAACGGCGGATTCGCTCCACTTGCGCCGGATCCGACATCCGGACTGAGAGCTTCATCGCCGCGGTTGTGATATATTCCGTGACGGTCTGCGTGGCATAGGTGCTATTGAGGATGTTCATGAACAGGTCGATGATGTCGCTCTCCCGGACCTCCTTGACCAGCTCCTCTTCCTCATATTGGCCGCCACGGAGAAGGGCGTCTCCATATTCCCCGATGACCCAGGCGGCCGCAAGCGTGAGACCCTCCTGGGTGATATCCTCCTTGAGACTGGCATAGAGCTTCTGCACAGCATACGTCTGCAGCTCCGGCGTCGTGGCGATGAGGCGCACGAAAGACGACAGGATCTGCTCCTTGACATAGCTCCCAGCCAGTTTCAGGACTCGCAGCATTGTATCGACATGCCACCGCTTGTTGGGCGCGAACCGATCCGCTGCAATGCCGATCTGGGTCGTCATAACCGGCTTGAACTCATTGTCAGCCACCTCCAGGAACGCGAGCAGTTCCCGCACCAAAACTCGGACGTTGCTCTCGTTAATCAGAGTAAAGCTCAGATCGAGAGCCCGTCGGCGGATGCTGATGTCCGGGTCGCGCAAGCATTCTAGGATGGTGTTGCGGTGGCGCTGAACGGCGTTGGGTTCGACGGCGACGACCTTGAGCAGCGTGTTCAGGGCCACGTATCGGATGTTGTTGTCCTTATTAGCGAGGAATTTGCCCAGGATATTGACACCCAGGACGCGGAGGCCAGAATCCGCCTCGATGTCGAGGATGGTGAGGACGGCTTCATACAGGATGGCATTGCCAACGTTCTTCGACGACTCTGTGTTGGTTGCAACCTGGGCCAGAATGTCGTTCATGAGCTCACTCGTGGCTGAGTCTCCCCTTCCTAGCACTCGAAGGAAGCGCAGAATCTTGACCTGGAGGAATGGATCGGTGATGCCGGAGACATCATGCTCGGGCGCATATCCAGAGGTCGTCAAGCTCTTCAGGGTGCGGACAAGCCCGCCCGCCAGCGGCCGGAATGTCTCGATCACACCTTCAGCGCCGTCCTCCGACTCCTCCGCGTGCTCGCAAAGGTCGATGGCCAAAGTCAGCCCACAAAGCAAAACGCCATGATTCCGATCCGAGAGGAGCATCTTAGCTTTCTCCAGGAAGTGTTCCTGCAAATCGGGGACCTTGCGGCAGATGCGCATGGCACACAAGGCGGCCTTCCGTCGGATATAAGGATTAGCCGTACCAAGGAGGCTTTCGACTTCGGTGAAGAGGTCTCTGGACATTTCGACGGAGGCGATGTTACCCAAGGTGCAGAGGGCGAGGCCGACGATGTACTGGTTGGAATGATTTAAGTCACTGGACTTGTCAGCAAGGCCCCGGCTACACGTCTCCAAGCTGGCGGCCACTCACTTTTTCAACGAATTGGTGACCAGGGTCAGCACCTCTTGGTTCTCATCCAAGAGCAGCATGGTCCCCAGATACCCCAACCGTTTGTCCGCAAAACGCGGAGATGCCAGCAACTTCAGACATTCGATCTGGCCGAAATGTGTCCGCTCCCCCAACGTGAAGAGATACAGCAACTTGGCGACATTGTTTCTCCTGTCCACCAACGACCAGTGTGAGCAAGACCAATTCCCGACCGCCGGGCGCCTACTAACCGGACACTGGAATCATGGCTCTCCTCCCGAAAAGACGCCCGGATGGCAGCACTTTCCTTCTGGATAACCGCCCGTTCGTCAGCAATCGTCTTGGCGGATCGGACGTTGCGGATGAACTGCTTGACTGCAGCGAAGGTCAGAGTCCAGATAAATGGCAGTGGAATGGGTGATTGTGTGGGGAAATCTTACGGGAGGTCATCGCGGTCGCTGGGACCCCCGACGGGGTGAGGACAGCACAGGAACAGTTACTGGGGGTCTAGGCTGAGAAAGAACGGCGAGACCAGGAGAAGAGGGCTGGAGTCCTCTGTGCAGACGGGTGTCCCGATGGCAGATGCGGGTTGGGTTGGTATCTGATGCGCGAGCTGGCCGCTCTCCTGACGCCAAGGCAAGGGTTGGCAGTCGTACAGATTATCTGGCACGAGGCCCGCGTGTGTGGCTTGCCCGTGGCTTGCCTGAGGCCGCCCGCGTGTGGCTGGTGCTGCAGAGTGTGGCTGGTGCGCGGCAAACTGGCCATCCCGTTTGGGAAAAGCGCGTCACATGACAGTCACATGAAAGTGGGCATCTGGCCGCCGAAAACGGTTAGCCGATCCGACCCCTCGTCTGACCAGCATCTGACATCTCTTGCTGGGAATTATTATTAGGAATGGGTGCGTGATTATTGCATTCTGTATCGTATGCACATCGTCTTTGTTATGGAGATATTTTAAGCAATTGTTGTTCAGCCGCACGGGGCCGTCAGGACAGCCAGCCGCAGCCTTACCCACCGGGTCGAGACGGGAAGGCCCAGGCTGACGTAGTGGTTCGTTAGTTGGAGATCCTTTTCTAGGGCAAATCAGTCATCGACTCCCTATGCATCCGCCTCCTTTTCTTTCTTGTTCTCGTCTCAGGAGATATGCAACTGCGGACTTCTCATCCTCTCTGATGGTCAATTAATCGATCCAGCAGCGAGCATGTCGACGACTTCCATGTCCAATGGGGCGACCTCCTCCCAGGTCCTGCGGGCTCGGCAGCTGAAACCCAAGGCGGAGGACCATAACCTCCCTCCGTCTCCTGAAAAAGTTGCAACAGAGGCGTCAAGGTTAGGTCGAGTTGCTGGAGTTCTATGGTTTTTCATAACCTCTATTTCCTATATGGCTTCCTGCTAACCCACTTGACAGTGGCACGTCGACACCCGTCCCCGACGATGCTCCCCCGTCCGTCCGGTCGATTTCCTCGGCGCGCAAGCAGGTTCGAGCGCGCCATCGTCTCTTCCATACGATCAACTATGTCCCCCGAGTCTCCCACTTCGATCCTCGGAGCGACTATCACAACTTTCGGGGGTTCTTCACCCTGTTCTGGATTGGCCTCTTCATCATGGTCGTCACCACGGTGCTCCGCAACATCAAGGATACCGGTTATCCGTTACGGGTGAAGGTCTGGAGCTTGCTGACGGCCAATGTCTGGCAACTGGCTTTGAGTGATCTGGCTATGGTCGTTAGTACGGTCGTGGTGTTACCTTTACAGCGCCTGATGCGGACCAGCAAAGGATGGCTCCGCTGGTCCCGGGGAGGCATGGTGATCCAGAGCCTTCTCCAGTTGGCGTGGCTGACCCTGTGGATTAAGTGAGTTGACCGGACGAGGCATTGAGAGGACAGGTCTTGCTGATGATTAATTGGCTAGATGGCCCTTCATGTTGCACTGGACCTGGACGGCCCAGGTGTTCTTCACGCTACATACGTTGACCATGCTCATGAAGATGCATTCGTATGCATTCTACAACGGACATTTGAGCGAAACAGAACGGCGCCTCTCCGAACTGGACCAGCCTGACTCGGCCTCGGCGTCGATGGCGGCGGCGGTGCGGTACCCCAGCTCGACGGTTCGGGAGAGCAACATGGAGGAAGTCTTCGAGCTAAAACACCAGGAGCCGCTCTCCAGACTCCGAGAAGATCTGGCCACAGAGCTCACATCTCCACTGGGGCATGTGACATATCCCCAGAATCTCACCCTGGCCAACTTTGTGGATTACTTGTTCTGCCCCACCCTGTGCTATGAGCTCGAGTACCCCAGAACGAAAGAAATTCGCTGGTCGGAGGTCTTTTTGAAGACGTTGGCAGTGTTTGGGTGCATCTTCCTGTTGACGCTCACGAGCGAGGAGTTCATTTTACCGGTTCTGAACGAGGCCAGTGGAAGGCTGGCAACAGTCGGAAGCGTCTCGGAGAAGGCATTGATTCTGGCCGAGACGACCAGTATGCTTTTGTTCCCGTTCATGATCACCTTCTTATTGGTCTTCCTGGTGATCTTCGAGTACGTGCTGGGTGCGTTCGCGGAGATCACCCGCTTTGCAGACCGCCACTTTTACTCGGACTGGTGGAACTCCTGTGACTGGTAGGTTGTGAGCATGGAATGGATGTTGAACCAGATGGCTGATCGATTGTCTATAGGCTCGAGTTCTCTCGCGAGTGGAATATCCCCGTTCATCACTTCCTTCGACGGCACGTCTACTTCTCTTCCAAGACATATTTCTCACCTCCTGTGGCCATGTTCATCACTTTCCTCGTGAGCGCGCTGGCTCACGAGTTGGTGATGAGCTGCATCACGAAGAAGCTGCGAGGATACGGGTTCCTTTTGATGATGTTACAGCTGCCCATCATTGCGGTGCAGAGGTCCCCTTTTGTCCGTCGGCTGAGGACCTGGAATGTGAGTCTCACTTGCGCAGTGTGAATCATCGAAGCAGTTGGCTAATCATCTCTTTCTCCAGAACATTTTCTTCTGGTTCTCTATGATATTGGGCCTTTCTATGGTAAGCCAGCCAGCCAACGTTTGTTCCAGAACTCCAACTGACATCTTACTCCCAAACAGATGTGCGCACTGTACGTGCTAGTCTAGAGTCGAACGCTGCTGTAAGGTCTGCTTTTTCTTCTTCGGCTGGGCCCTTTTGATTACACAGATTCTGGAGATCAACACTATTATATTATATACCCCGCTCTTCACCATCCCTTTCAAACCCGTGTGTTATTATCCAGCTTTATTTTTCTCTAGGGAGGGGTCTGGGGTCCCCTTGGCGTCCGGTTGAGAAGCGTTGATATTTGCTGTCGCTCTCGTTGCCTTATACCCTGTTTTTTTTACTTTGCTGTTGTCGGATTGGATAGAAGTCTCCTTTAGTTTAGCTAAACGGGTGTTGTTCTTTCTCTCTCTCTCTTTTTTTTTTCTCACTCTTTTTGATCAATTACTGGTGTACCTTATAGAAATGAAGGTCATTCTTCTAGCACCGGTTATACAGAAATTAAAGAGCAGGAGGGGTAAAAAAAAGGATTAGAGGAAGAATAAAGAGATCACGATTAGTATTTCATCGACATACCGTACATACATACCCACAACTTCTAAGAGAGCTCGAATGTCTGGACCTTGCTTATGGAGCCAAACGAAGAACAGGAAAAGGTGGGGGGAAAAAACACATAAACATAGTGAATGCTCATGAATTTTGCTGTTTTTGTTGCCGAGGTCATCTTTCTCTCTCTTTCAGGAGCCTACTCGCTTCTTCTTCTTCTTCTTCTCCCTTGCCAGTGGCATGTAGGAGTAAGGGCCTCAGCTATCCATGGTGTGGAGTGAATGTTGTGTATTTGGATTCCCCAGGGAACTCATTCTTATCGTGCCGATTTCTCTCATATATCTTGATAAGAATCGTAACTTGGATTTTTTTTTCCCGTACAAGCCACAAAACAGCCTTTCTGCATCACCATCAAACAGGTCAGGCGAGAGGCTGAGTGAAGCCGACTTTGACTCGACGGCAATAATGAGTGGGAATTGTTTTGTTTGTGCAAGCTCTGTTGCATCTACTCCGTAGTGCGATAGTAAGTTTACATTCCCGAAGTGGCGGCGAACGTAGGTAGCTATGCGTGTATCATTATCGAATCAGAAGTGGTGCAATGCTCCTTTTCCCCCATCGAGAATGGTACTATGTGAGCCAGTTCTATATCTATATCGACTTCCATGTAATCGCTTCGATTGAGCCCCAGTTTCTGCCGGCCATTTATTTGAGAATCAAAAACCTTCCAGTAATAATAGATAAACGCATTTATTCCCGTCACAAGCCCAGACAGGCTTGTTTCGACCATCCCTGAGAATCCGCAGCCTATTTTATTCATTCGAGAACGCGACGTTTTTCAATGTCGTCTTCATCTTCAATTCGAGGCCGAAAGCGAGGAGATGAAGATGAAGTAAGAAGAGATGGGAGTCCTTCCGTGAGCTTTTTTTTTCTTTTTTTTTTCCTTTTTCATTGGAAAAAAGGAAGAGACCTTCAATGAACAAGAGAAAGCGAAAGCGAAAGCTGGTGGTAGGTATAAGTGTTCGTCTCCATCACATTTTGCAAAATATATCAGCGGCCAAGTTTCTTCTTCTTCCCATCTTGGGGAAGATGTTCAAGGAACGTGAGCAGAACTGGAACGGTGCTATTGTCTGCCTTTTTTTTTGAAGGCTTGTATTTGTTGAACCGGTGATCAGCATTATACTTGAGATCCGAAGAGGAGAGACAGGCGACGGCAAGGCTCACTGCTCAGGCACTTCCAAATATTCTGAGGAGTCTGGCGCTGGAGAGAGAGCTCGAAGTATCCTTTTGCGTATGGTCTGAGAACAGAAATGGTTCTGGGAGAAGAAACGAAGCGAGATCAAGGATGAGTAGGTTGAAAGAGAGCTGGGGAGACAAGGATTGGGGATTTATATGTAAGGTCATGTGCCATTTAGCTGGTGAATGGTCACACTCGGTAACATCCATGGCTAATCAAAAGCGAAGAGCTCTAATTGCTATTGAAATTTACCCTAAGACATCCATGGATTTCAAGTATCTCAACAGTAGACTCCCGAAAGTATCTCAAAAGTAGACACCCAACTCCCATCCGTAACTGGAACATCCAAATCCCAGGCGTTACAAGAAAAGAGTACTCTCACCGACGCGCCCTATATCCGTAATGACGCGAATCAGTCCCAAAGAAAAATTCTCAGATTCAAAGTGTTTCACTGATCCGATAGTTTCCCAAAATCTCCAGGATCTGGGGGATCCTCCATCTTTCGTCATTTCTTTAAGATTCATGAATACGCGCTGGACACGCGCTCACAGTACAGGTTACCAAGGTCAAGGAAACTGATAGCAATGCAATAATGGACACGCTGTGACAATGGCCCCTGGAAAACGCTTCCTGCGTTTTCTCCTTGTGGATCTATAGTTCATGCTTCACAGTGCGGAACGGCGTAAAGCAAACACAACATTTCTGTAAAACCCATTTGGATGCAAGATTTGTCTACAAATGCTCGATCGGTTCTTCCGGTAGTAACTCCTCCCTCTCTTTTGGCAGGCATGCCTTGAGCGGAGGCCGAACGATGTCGTTGAATAAAAACGTGCCGTAAACAAGCAACGCAAACCCTACGACCTGGAGCCACTTGAAAGTTTCCCACCCAAGGCCAAGAGACACCAGCCAAATGAACAGGGTGCGGCAGGTGTCAATGGTGCTGCGAGAGGTTGCGGAAACAGATCGAGTGACAGACAGACCAAAGAAGTTAAAGCCACTATCCGCAAAACCAGTTAGCTAATCAAGCTGAAGTACTTGTAAAACAAAAACTATTCTCGATATGGAAAGGAGCAAGAAAATAAAGGAGGGCATAACGGGAAAAGTCAACATACCCAATGCTAATCATAATCAGGATGCTGGACACAGCAATAGCTCGGTTAGTGGTAATCTGCCTCCAACCTTCCTTGGCATCAAAGTAACCATATTTGCCAGCTTCAGTCCGTCCTATGGTCAAGTGAAGAATGATCATCGCGATAATTGTCACTGAGAAGCCAAATACCCCCTCCCATCCCACAACACTCAGAGGGGCCATTGCATAATGCTCGAGAATCCACTCCTCCAGGACAAACTGAAACGCCGTAAAGATCTGGGCAGCTGCAATGAGTAAGACACCAATGATGGCCCGGACTGCCTCTGGTGTCCGTGCAGTCGTATGAACGTCACGGACAAGCTGAGAGACGGCCTTGATGCCATCTTCAGGGTTATGTACAAGCTCGCCGCCTTTATCCCCAAAAAACGCACCAGCGAGACCGACCAAACCGACACCTATGACAACCACCACCAGAGCAAGCCACTGGTACAAATGTAGTTTCCGACGGAGGAAGAGGACGCTGAAGAGCCCCACGAAGAGGACGAGTGCTCCACGAGTCATCTGATAGATGCTGGCTGCCACGAAAAGCAATCCCACATTCATGAGAGTCGTACCGGTGATATCGCAGCATGCTGGAGCAGCCAGCAGAAGAATCTTCCATCCTTGAAGCTTTGTTCGTCCCTCGTCAGTCGCGACCAGTGGTTTCGCAGCAGGGTCCTCAGGTTCAGTGAGGGTTCGATCTTCCTCCTCATCATTGTCGACATCGTCATTTCTGACAGGCCGGTAGCCACCAGCAAGGAGAGGAGCGGTTGAAGAAGAACGGGAAGAGATATAACGGGTGTATAGGTAGGAGCCAAGCACAACAAGCCAGCACCCCATCTCACCGACAAACATCTGGGCACTATGATAGAGTACGTCATCAGTTTACACTCTTTGTACTCACCACAGCTCACTGAAGGAAATGAATAGTTCTGGAGAGAAGTTGACTGCACATACGTCTGTATTACTGGCTGCTCAAAGAGCTTCCGCTGCGTCGGATCAGGGGAATCACAATTTCGGACACATTGCATATCCTTCCGGCAATTAGACGGGACATCACCGAGAAATTTCGAGAAATTATGGGACTGCAAACCTGGTATTTGTTGAGGATGGTATTGCAGACACCTGTCACCAACATCATGGTGACAAGGAAGGGGATCACTGCTCGAGAAGTCATCTTGGACCATGTACGAGCTGCCGAAAACCAGATTAGGTCAGCCGAGAGAATCTGATTCGAGACCAACTTTTGAACAGTGGTATATAAGATGATGGATTGAACCTCTTGCAAGGTTCGGATGATGATGCGAGGTTGACGTTGCGGACCTGAGCCTCTCCTAGGAAGGCAGTCACACGGGGCTTATCGGGATCACCTGACTAATCCTTATCAAAGCTCCACTCCGCCCGGCGGGAAAACGGCCCGAAGCCGACTCCAGCCAATGAAATCATGCCTAGATAATTGCTTATTTACCTGAATCTTACTTTGTCGAGGGGAGCTACTAAGTACCTTACTTGGTCTGTTCAGAAAGTTAACAAGGAGTTGTTTGGATGAGACATCAGTTAATTGCCAAGGACTCATGATCAGCTCTTATTAACATCATAATTATTTTGAGTTTTTTAGCCACTTGACTCACCTCGCCCTGTATTCTCCTATGTCACTAGCATATCCGATACATAGTATGGACATCTACCCCGTAGGCTGCTTATCCTCTCTCCTATATTTAGGTTTGATCTAGTCCTATGCGTCATTCCTGCGTCGTGGATTGATTAAAGATTACGGTAGATGAAAACCAGAAGAACAGTCAAGTCTGATCAATGCAAAAAAAAATTGCTTGGATCCAACTCGGATCGTTATCTCGTGGCATCGATGGTATCCTATGAGACATGACGCAGGCAAAAAACATAACAAAAATCACAGCGACCAAAACGTCCATCCATCCTTCTCACAGTCGAGGCATTCTAAAAAAAAAAGATGGGCCATAACCGACTTTTTCCACCCCATTAACGCCTGGGCTCGTCCACAAAACATTCACGCGAAGATCAAAAGTGGAAGCGAGACATTAGTGGAAATTAGAAGGGGAGGGAAGACGTAGAAGAAAAAGCAGAAAGAAAATAAACTGCACAAAACCCCCCGCGCTGACGAAATACCTAATGTACAGCCACCAGCCATATATGTGCGCCCCGAACGCAAACGCAGTCCATGTTGAGATCGCCTGGATCGTAAGAACATTACCAGAAGTGGAAAAAATACACTAGCTCGAGATAAAGGTCAGGCCACCATCATCACCACTGATTGGATCGGCCTCTTTACGTTCAAGAGCCTCCCAATCAATGTCAACCCACGGGTCCTCTATGAACATCCGATCCCCGAGCGGGCCAGGGTGAGAGAACCAATCGGCGGGAATCCAGTTGTCATCCTCTGGTCCGCCAATCTTGATGACCACGTCCTCCCTGGACAAGTCCCCATCCTTGGGGGTCTGTGTGACGGCGCCGCCGCTATCAACAGAATCGGGAGTATCTTCAGCCTGCGCCAGAGTGAACATGTCCGCATTGAGGAATTCATCAAACGGATCGCCGCGCAGCCCGAAGTAGTCTTCATTCCTAGCAGAATCGAATACCTCGCTAATCAGGTCGAGAGATACGGTACTGTCCGCCCACCCGTCCTTCAACTGGGCGTCCTCCGAGGTCACCACCTGATCGGTAACCTTTTCGGATTCTTTCTTGCTATCTTTGCTCGGAGTTGGTCGGTTTGAAGAAGGAGCTTTTCCGGCACCCATCCGCGGTGTTGGAAGCTGATTTGATGCTGGAGACACCGATTTGGGGCCCGCCTGACTGGAAACACGTCCCATTGGCGTCGTTCCGGCAGTGGCCGGGGTCGCGCCCTCGGCCTTGATTTCCTGCTTGACACTGGGGCCGGTCGCAGACTTAGTCGCGGCACGCTGCACGTCAGCGGCTGCCGGTGGCTTATTCGTGGCTTTTGTTTCGGACTTCTCCTTTTCTTTCGCAAGATCGACCAGGGCAGATTTGAAACTATCCAGTGCATACTGGAGCGGGTCCTCAATTTGTTCCTCAGCTTTGTGACTTTCCTCAATGTGCTTGTCCAAGGCAGCCTGACTCGGAAAACCTTTGCTGTGATGCTCGCACTCGGGAACAGAGCATGTGAAGGATTTGGCCTCCGCATCTGATGGCTTCGAGGCCTCCGGTTTCGCTTGAGCGGCGACTCCAGTTCCGGGGGTAGTTGGTGTCGTGGTAGCTCCTGCATGGCTCTGCTTGCGTCTCTTGGAAGGGGGAATCTTCAACTTATCGGGAGAAAATCCACCAGGCCCATAAACATGTGGAACTCCCTGCGGAGAAGGTGCGCCCAACGGGAATGGAGGTTGTGCAACCGTAGGCGCCGCTGGGACAGCCTGGTTCTGTGCTCGGCGAGCCCGCTGAAGTGCTTCCTCCTGTTGTTGAAGGGCCTGCAGGTTGGTGGCATTGAGAGGAGCCATGGTGGGCTGGCCGCTCGGCGGCTGCGCAGCGGCTCCTCCTGGCCTCTGACTCTGCTGCTGATTCTGTACTCTGCTGATCATTGCAGCAAACAAGCCTTTGATGTACGCGATTGATTTTCTCAGGTATTCGGGCGCAATGGAGAATTGGTCATTAAGTGACCAATCCGGATCCTTGAACTGCCTCATCAGTTGTATCCGCTGTACCCGTGGAAAATACCAGTCAGCTGGTGATCACACAACAGTCATCCGTAGATGAATCAGGGGATCGCTTACCATGCTAAACAAGACCTTAACATTTTTCTCTTGCCCAGGAATCTTCGCAAGCCACTGAACCAGTGTGTCCAGCCTCCCAAGCATATCTGTGGACTCCCGGAGCTGCCGAGCCATCGTAGCCTTATCCTCCGGCGAGACAGTCACCGGCTCCGGCGCAGGGGTGTTCTTGGCCATCTCCGTGTACAGATACTTGAGCTTATCTGGGAGATGATTCCAGGCTTCCTCCGCAGCAGCTTTCGTGATTTGCGGCCGTTGTTGCCGCCTTATTTGGGCCTCAAGCTGTGCCCGCTGCTGAGGAGTCATGGCAGCTAGCTGCTCCCGAGTGAAGGGTAGCGGGGGTCGCGCAGGAGCAGTAGCCGTCGTGCTCGCTTGGGTCGTGGTAGCCTGCGAAGCTGGCTGGGTCGTGGAATTTTGAACTTCGACCACCTCATCGCCATGAGGCCTCTTCTTGGTAGTCGACTTCGCCGCTGCCGCCTTGGCATTCTTGCCAGCCACCATCGCGCCCTGAGCTTGAGCTTGAGCTTTCGCACCGCCTGCCTGGGCCGTCTGCACCTGTTGGTTCGACTGCGGAGTTTGTGGCGGAGGTTGCAATGACGGCGGCTGCTTTTGTTGTGCCGGATTCTGAGGAGCGGCGGGCTGCTGCGGGTGGGACGGTTGCTGCGACTGTTGGCTTTGGTTCATCGCTTGAGCCGCGGCGGCCTGGGACGCGGCTCGATTATGAGCATGTTGCATGAGCTGCCTCTGGCGATGCCTCTGGATCAGATCCCGCAGCTGCTCATCCGTAAAATTCTGAGCCTGCGGCCCCAATCGCTGACGAGCCGCCTGAATATCATTGGCCGTAATCGGTCGCATTGCAGGAATATTGATTGGCGGAGGCTGCTGTTGCTGCGGCTGACCAGGCCGAAAGTTCTGCGGAGGCATGAACGGTTGTGGCGGGCCGAGATGGTTCAACGGTCCATTTTGGTCAGAATTTCGGCTGGCCATCGTCTGAGCGAGATGGAGCCGTTGGAGTTGCAGTAACTTGGGAAGATCGACATTTCCGAGAACCTGGGGGTTCTGGGCCACCCACTGCTTCAGCTGACCCCATGTCTTGACCGTCTTGGGTATTGGCGGATTCATATTCGCATTCGAGTTGAGTATTTGAGGAGGGAATGGAACGCGATCCATCTCCCGGATCTGCTCAGGAGTCATATCCATCTGCGACCGCATAATCTGCTGCTTGATAAATTCATTGTGTTGTTGCTGTTGTCGCTGAACTTGCTGCTGTTGTTGCTGTTGTTGCTGCTGTTGCTGGGACATTTGTTGACCTTGGAGCAATGGGTTCTGTGGCTGGGCACCACCCATGCCGGAAAGCGACTGCTGAAGCGCCAAGGATGCCCGCATGTTCTGATCACTGACCAACTGTCCATTCTGTCCCGGTTGGGACATGTTGGGTTGCATGAGCATGGACTGTTGGCCATTGGCTCTGGCCATGGCCTGACTGTTAGCCAGAAGACGACGCTGGTGGTTCATCAAAAAGGCATTGATCTGCTCCGGAGTCATCTGCGACAAGCGTTCCTGGACGGCGGGGGGTAGATTCGGGGGAATCTGCGGTCGAGACTGCATCGTGGATTGTTGGCTACCTGGCTGCTGGCCGGCCATGCCGGGAGGTCGGGAAGGTGGCCGACCTTGGGACGCGGTCTGCGCGGGAGACATCTGCGGGCCCATTGGGCGATTTAACATCGACATTGCGGGACTTTGCTGGGGAAGCGTCTGGGGCACCTGAGAACCGGCTTGACCCCCGGCTTGCGTAGTCATGACCATCTTCGCATTGTGGGCGGCTTGGGCGCGTGCTTGCAACTGTGCCTGTGCCTGTGCCTGTGATTGCGCCTGCGCCTGCGACTGTGCCTGAAATTGAGCGGCCTGTTGGATACGTTCTTGCTGGACACTTTGGGCATTTTGGAGGTGTTGCTGGGCAAGAAATTGTTGCGGGTTGACACCAGGCCGACTGGTGTTCGGCTGGCCGTTCTGTCCGAGCTGCTGTTGTGCACCACCTTGAAACATCCCATGAGAATTGGCAAACTGCTGTGGATTCATCTGCGAGGTGCTTGCCGGGACCACCAGCTGGCCCGCTTCCTGAGAGCGGAGCCCGTCCGCTTGTTGACCTTGAATATTTTCGACACTGCCCATGAAGGAGGTCGGATCGAGGTTCTGCTGCCCGTTCATCGGGAGGGCTGAATTGCGCTGCAAACCCATCATGTTCGGTACCATCTGCCGCTGTGCCGAATTCATCATAGGGTCACCACCCATCATGGCGCCGTTGGCACGAGCCATCTCCATCCGGTTACGCCGCATCCGCAGCTGCTTCAGAGCCTGGGTACGAAGGTACCAGGTCAAGGGTTCCATGTTCTTCTGCGCAAGCATCTGCTTCTGTTCAGGTGTGAGACTCCGTTGGACGTTCATCTTAAGCCTCTCGAGATCCTCCGGAGATGTCTTCATCAGGATCTGGTTTGCCATTCGAGACACCTGTTCGAACTCCTGCGGAGTCAGCATGCTCAAATCATCCCCTGCTGGCATCCCGGCCGCAGGCCGATGTTGAGCTTGTTGATGCTGCGGCTGCTGTTGCTGCTGTTGTTGCAACGTCGCTTGCTGGTTGGGGTTATTCATCCCCATGCCCATGGGCTGCTGCACAGGAATGGGAGACGACTGCATGGGTCGGGTCATCTGCGGAGTAAATTGAGGTTGGATTTGATTTGGGCGGACTCCCGGCATGCCACCGGCAGCACCTGCTTGTTGCATCATTCCGCTTTGCATAACGGCGGCCTGCTGCCGAAGCCTGGTGTCTCGAATGGCCAGAAGTTTGTTTGTGCACTCTTTCTCATAATCCTCCTGTAAACCGATAGATCAGCACACGATCATGATGAATCCGTTGCAGTGTTTGTTTCCGGAGAGAAACAAACCTTTTGATTTGCCTCACGGAAGGCTTTCTCCTCAAAGGTGAGAGCAGCCTGAACGGCATTTTGGAGTTCGACGCGAGGCTGGATCAGCCGGAGAGAGCTTATCCTGCAACAAGCACCGTTAGTCTCGAGCCAGTATGGTAAGACTGGAGAAGCTCCATACATTTGGAGGACCTTCATAGCCCTTTCCTGGACGGGCACTTCGGCGCGCCATCCAGTGAATGGGCCTTGCGACTGTAGGGCTTGGCCGACATGTTTGAAGACTATTTGATTATTCATGCTGTCACCCTTCTGTGGTTGCATTTGGCCATGGGGATTGGAAACACCGGGTATGCCTCCGCCGCCCACATTAGAATAATTTGCAGGATTCATGTCAGAAGCCCTGGAGATGGGCAACTGTGAAAGATCCGCGGTGGTCTTCGCCTGACGTCAGCATTCGCCGGATGCCACACCAAGAAACCAGACAGGAAGGTCGTAAGGGAGGCTCTGGAGAACGAGAGGAAGATTTCGAGAGTGGGATGCGCGGGGAGCGAGTGATTCAGCGGTATCGGTCGGGGAGCACGGCCAGCGAGGGCGAGGGATCTCGATCTTCAGCGTGGCAGGTCCGGTGGTGGTGGAGTACGGCCAGGCTCGTATTCTCGAGGCGTCGCTATGGCTTGTCACGGTGACACAACGCACGGGCACCGCTGGAGGGGAGGATGAGAAGCAGATAAGCAGGGACCCGGGATGTTGTCACAGGAGGACGGTGGTGGTGCAAAAGAAAAGAGGCTTTTTGGGCACGAGTCAGTCCGGGCAAAGGAAGGTCGGGCAAGCTGGTCCAGGGCGGGTGACGGGAGGCAGCGGTGGCGGCCTTGATAGGCGGAGCGGTGCTGGCGGGTCCTGGGGGGGAACAGAGCAAAATTGCCAGGCGGACAAACCTTGAAGATGGCGGTTACTCGAACGAGAAACCCAAACACACCGGCAGTCTGCAAGCAATACGAAGGTTGCGCGGGCCAGGCGATGGCAGTCCTCGATGCCTGCGCGTCTGAAAGCCTGCAGAATCGAATCTCTGCAGACGTGGAGGCGGAGGGGGGGAATAATGGCGTCGTTTCAGTTTGGGAAGATCGGGATCGGGCCGTAGGTAAGATGCGGATGGGCCACAGGAATGGGCGAACAGAGAAGGGAAGGGAAGCCAAAGAAGACGCTTAGAAAGGGGAAAGGCAATCGTCTACCGTGCGTCTCCAGCAAAACTGCACGGGAGGGAAAAGGAAAGAGAACGAACGAGAGGAAGGTGGGTGTAATAATGCGAGAGAAGAAGAGAGAGGCGTACGAGATGAGATGGAGGCAGACAGGACAATTGGGAGGCGTAGGAAGCAGTAAACGAAGGAGAGCGAAACCACACCTAAGCAAATCAAAGGACCTCAGGCGATGACGGAGCCCCAGCTGGGGATGGGAGGGATGAGAAACGATCAGTGGCAGACAACGACAGGCCGAGACGCAACGGGGAACGAGAGCCGGGCGGACAGCCAGTCGGCTCTGGGAGATCGGTTTGGCGTGGAATTAGTCGCTTGGTCCCTGCCCGTTAGGATGGTTAGTCTTAGACCACGGGAGCGATGGGGCGGTGGGACAGCACGGTCGTTGCTTGAGTCGCTTGACTGACCAGCTGACGGCCCCTCGCCCAACACTGGACCAGAAGCAGGACAAACGCAAGAATTGCTGACAGGCAGGATGGCCGCCTTGAGACGAGTGCAGGACGAGTTCAGACGCACGGCAGACGGAGGATCGGATGGATGTCTGACGGGTTCAACGGCATGAATGATGCCCTTGAGGCGCTCTGGCCTTGCTAGTCTTAGCCTATGTAGCTTAGTGAATCCCGGGCTACGATCCCAGGCCCCAGGGGGACCACCCACGAGGCCAGAGCCCTGCCTAGGGCCCCTAGACGGAGGGGACGGTGAAGCGCTCTACTCCTCCAATTCATTGCCAGCAAGAATGTGGAATATTCTACGAGATGGTTCTCTATTGAAGGCAATAAATGCCCTCCATATCGTCTTGTTCAGCGGCGTCCTTCACAGCCTCCCACGCAGCCTGCCCGCCCAGCCCCCTCTGACAGCAGACTATTCTTATAACCTTCCCGAGTCCAAGGAACGCCAGGCAAGTCTACCCGCTCGCACTAAGCCGAATAGGGACCACGGCCAGTGGGCGCGAATATTATTAATAGCTCACCACCGAGTCCTCAACCACCGCCATAGCAACGGTAGAATACGCCTGATTGTAGCGATCAATCGAACCTGATGCGTGTTCACACCCGAATACGCAACGTGGTGGCAGCCAGTTCTCACAAGATGGCCAATTGGTCGCACAGACGTCATGCTGCCTGTGCGGCGGACTGTCAGCCTTGCCGTCCACAGGCATGTGCCTTGACTGTATGTGGAAGGCGGTGGATGAGCCTCACGTGACGCCGCTTTCATCATCCGCATGCGCATCAACTTCCGCCGTCTTATCGACACCACCATATCCGAACCATCAGCCTTGCTTCTCCGATCAATCTTCCGCCGTCCTGATTGCCGTCGGTCCCGTTGTCCTGCACGCTGAACTGCAGCAAGAATAGTGATGGCTTCCAGGAGTCGGCAATAATGCGTTGATGATTCGGGTATCTCGACTGGCTTCCAAATAGTTACTCCCCCTTAGTACAGCATGGCCGTTGCATCATCGCCAGCCCCAGTCGGCTCCGGCGTCTTTGTCTCCGGTGCCCTTTTCGTCATCTGTCTCCTCGTCCTCTTGCTCCTGCGACGGTTCTTGACGCTTCGTGCGACGCCCGCCTACATTGTCGTCCCCGTCTTTCTGTCATTGGTGCTGCCTGCCAGCGTCGTGTTGCTCGTGCCCATCGACCTTGCGTCGAGCTCACGCGCCGGAGGAGCCCCCAAGGGCATCTGGCTACCCGACCGCGCAGTTCTGGTTTTGTGGCGGATCGCCTACTGGCTGATCTTTGTCTTGACCTGGTTCGTCTCTGGCTGTGTTGTTTCTCCCGTCTTTCTATCCAGTTGCCTGCAGTATACTCAGAAATTTCAATCCAACAGGGTCATTCTGCCACTCCTGGGTGAATTCGTCGATTCTGGATATCGGGAACCCAAAGACCGTTTTCTATACTCACTGCGCTCCAATGCCCGCTATCATTTAATCGTCCTCGCTTGCAGCGTCGTCGGCCTCATCTACATCTCGATCCACAATGGATTCGACTTCACCTCCATCAAGGCCCTTGTTATGGCGCTGGCCTACGTGTGGGGTCTGGTTCTGGCCATTTACCTCATGGGCCATGGCCTGGTCTCCATTCCACGTTCGTTTCTTCGGAAAGCCAGCAATGCCGGCACCCTACACAGGCTCCAGGCGCATGCTCCCAAGGTGTACGACCGCCTGACAGATGCCATCAACGAGCTGGAGGAGCTGGAGGCGCAAGTAGCCCAACTCCAGCAACGTAAGACGGGCAGTGCTCGAGAGTTCCAGGACTGGATCGAGGAATTGGCCGAGTATTCGAGTCTGCCGGAGTCTCGCCCGGTGGCTCTTCAGTCCATCATCAATAACTCGACCAGATCGGTGCCCGCGGTCATAACAGAGCGATACATGGCGGATCTATCGAGACGTCTTCAGCGGGCTCGGCATCAGAAAGCGCGGTTTGTCGATGAATGGGACCGGCTGGTGCAGTCGGCCGCGGACTACCAAGCCATCGTAAATTCCTCCGCTTCCAGGAAGCTCGACTTTGGTCGGCCTGCGTCGCATGCCGCATTTCTGTCTCGAGTGGGCTTCCTAACCCCAACCTTGCGGTACCATGTCTACGTGCATCTGCTCCCCAGCGTCCGACTCATTCTAGCGGCGGTTTTCTCGGCCGCTTCCGTGTGCGTTGTCTGGTCTGAACTTATCAAGAGCCTTGCTCCGCGCCTCTCGATTATCAGCCTCAGCTTGGTCCCGCGTCCGGACGATGGCGGTCAGATCGGGTTTGGAGGACAAGTGGTGGCATCCCTCTGGCTTCTGTACATGTGCGCCGCCGCTCTGAAGGGCGTCAACGACGCCAAGGTCTGGGGCAATCGGGCGCTCGTCCGCCGGAATACCTACGGTGAAAGCGCGTGTTGGTACGCGGGACAGATTGCCCGTCTCACAGTGCCTTTGGCCTACAACTTTCTCACCTTCCTTCCGGAGGAAGTTCGTCGCGACACCACGTTTTACCGATTCCTCGGTCGGTCTATCGATCTGACTCCGTTGGGGAAAGGCTTTGATTATTTTTTCCCGATCTTTGTCCTTCTTCCGGTGGGGGCTACGATGTTCAATCTATACGGTCGCATCCAGAAAGTGTTCGGATTCGGCCTTGTCGAAGACGATGACGACGATGCCGAGAATCCAGGCGGATTTGGGACCGGGGGCTGGCGGGAAGGACGGGCGCTGATTGAGCGGGAGTTGAGCGGCCTGGGATCCTTGGGCCTCACGTCGAGAACCCACGATCCCGTCCGAAACGGGGCTCCTGGCGCTGGAAATGCCGCTCGCCGCACAGCACCGACCAGCTGGGCTCCACCGGCGGAACGATTCTCTCGAGTCTCTCGCTCCGGCCGAGCGACCGCAGCCTCCTCGCAGCCTGTCCTCGACGATGAGGGCGAGGAGAATTTCTTCCAATCCTTTGCCCATCGGGTGCGAAACACGTTCGAGACTGCTTCCGCGCCACAGTGGCTGCAAGCAAACCTGTCAGGTTTGCAGCGTCCGCGATGGATGGCTGGCGACGGCAATGCGCAGGGCCGGGGCGGTGGGCTCTTTGCGAGGTTGTTTGGGGGTCCTTCGGCGGAAGGACATGTGAGGCTATAGAGTACAATTCTCCGGATGTGTCTTTCCATTAGCTAGAGAGTATGGCAAGGGCGTTTGGGTAGGTTCTTGCTTTTCCCCACGTATGTAAAGATGGAGGAATACATACGCCAGCGCACTTTACTCTACTTAGATGTACTGTACATAGCAGATACTTTTTCGGTATTCTTTATTCTTTTAGACTATTTAATTAATTATTCTTTTTTTTTCTTTCCTCCTCCTGTCCTTCAAAATTCAACGGTCCTAGTCAACACACGACACATACTAACGGGTCTAAGTGTGTCTGTTAAAAGTCCCGCTTACCAAATTGCCAGGAAAAACAGTTCCGAGCGAGCAGGAGGAGAAAAGGGCGGTCAGCGATCCAGCTGCAAGCGCGAACATCCAACATCCCTATCTTTTTTCTTCTATTCTCCCTCCACATTCCTCTGGACTCTTAATAATGGCATTAACCTTGTGGAGCCTTGTCTAGCCCGTGCGGCGCTTGCGGCGTCTCGCGGCAAACCCGCACCGCGGCAGCCTGCCTAAATCCGTAGGTTGTTCTTTTCGCTGCCTGAGGGCGAAGGCGAAGAGGCCCGGATGAGGTTGGCGACGGCGAGGTGAGTTACCAGATCCGTCTCCGTCCTCACCACCTTCGCTGCCTGGCACAGGCTCCATGACTGTGTCGTCCTCCTCACCCGCGACGCTGTCCTCCCTGGGTGAGGCCTCGATTTCTTACCTGGACTGGCTGGCACCGGGCCTCTCCGTTTCGCTGCATCATCTCATCCACCGCCTCACCACGGTCGGATCCTCCCTCGTCCACCAGCTCGCTCCACCCCAGCAGCCCAGCGGTCATCTGCCTGCTCTCGAACACCTGTCCGTCGCAGTTCTTATTCTTACCGTCCTTGCTGGTGCGCTGGTTGTGGTCGCCATGAGCTGGCGTGGGCCATGGAATTTCTGGCGCCGCGGGCCAGCGTACAGCAGCACCGTCCCCGTCCCGCCGCAAGTGAACGACAGCGACTTTTCCTACCTCACGCCCGACGACATTGTCGATCCGCCCCTCGTCCACGAGCAACCCCCGTATACTCAGCACCGTCATCCGGCGCCTATTGATCCGATCGACGAAAATGGGCCAGATATCTTACTGCTCAAACACCGCGGGGTTACCTACCCGCTGCATTTCCCTCCCTATGCCATCGACGACGGCGCACTCACTGTGGGCGAGGTGAGGCGGCGTGCCGCTGAGAAGACGAGGACATCGGATCCCCGGCGAATCAAGATGCTCTACAAGGGGAGGCTGCTGCGGGATGACGCACTGCCCTGCAAGGATGAAGGCCTGAAACAAGAGTCCGAGATTATGTGCGTTGTCTCCGAGGTGCTGCCCGGGGAGAGCTCGAGCGATCTCTCTCTCAGTGATGATGATAAGTTGAGCGAGCCTCTCAGCCACGACGGCTCCGACCACTACGCACGACATGGCAAGAACAAAAAGAAGAACAAGAAGAAAAAGAAGCCGAAGACCAACCAGCGACCGGCGAACACAGTGGCAGATCCCACCAGCTTGGCTCCACCGATGGACCAGCGGCCCTCGTCTTCTGGCCGTTCATCGGCCGCACCTTCGCCAGCGCCCAGTCTGCAGAACTTGCGGACGGGACATGACCAGGTAGAAGCTCTCGCGGGATACTTCCGCTCTTCTCTGGTCCCCTTGTGCGAGGACTACATCTCCAACCCACCGGAGGACCCTAAGGCGCGGGAATTTGAGCATAAACGGCTCAGCGAGACCGTTTTGACTCAGGTGATATTCAAAGCTGACGAGATCGAGGCTGAGGGGGTTCGGAATGAGCGCCGGGCGCTGATCAAGGAGGCGCAGGCGATGCTGGCGAGACTGGACCAGGCTGCGCAGGAGCACAGTTCTTGAGGTCGGCTTGATTTTTTGCTTTGTTGCATTTCCAGCATTCCTTTTTTTTTTCAACTCATACGGAGAAGGCTAGTTCAGTTGGGTTTCCACGGTAGATCGCCATGACTGGGACACGGTTAGGGATGAACTGGGTATGAATCTTGGATTTGAGACGGAGTCTCTTACCCTTGATCTTACGTCTATACCCACGGGAGAAGGGGCACCTGGAGTGATTCCTTGTACCTGTTTGCTCTTCGGGACCTGACTGATCGGTTATCCATTTCTATCGTTCTGCTTGATTGGGGTTGACCTCTGGCTGGTGGGTGGGGGGTGGGGGGATTTTAATACTTTTTTTTACCATCGGTGATTCGATTTGATTTGCATGGGGAGATGGCGTTGTGTCTGTCTGTCATACGGATGATATGTTGTCATCTCCGGCAACGTAGATCTTTGATGGACTTATTTATCCTGCTCCGAAATAATACTGAGTATAAAATACGGGATATCAAAATCCTACATATAGGCAAAGTTCTTGAGGTAATAAAGGTTACAGCTGCTGAAAGAAGCCACCTTTCGTTGCCCATCTAGAATTTTCAATGGTCGCTGGTCGCGGTTTTATAAATAGCATACAGCCACGGTGGCCATGCTCAACCATAAAAAAATCCACCTGATAAAAAAGGCAGCCAAAGATGAGATGAACCAGATAGTGACGATAAGATTGGGACCGTATTATATCACGTGTTGCTGGGGTGAGCTATGGCATCGATACGGTGATCGGAGAATATATATATTTCCTTATCGTCACGGTTGGGATAAATCGAACATCTAAAATCTATCTCTATGGGAGGGAGAGAAAACAGCTTCTTGGCATAGGTCTGCACCTATTGTTCCTCCTCCAGGACCGACAGTAGACAATTGTCTGAATTTTAACGATGACATCGCTGGTCGTCTGATCTGCTTATGCCTGGATGGATGGCCATGCCAGGCGGGATAATCGTAGGGTGAACGACGTTGTCGATTCCTGAGGCAGAGACGGCAGCGATGGCCCACCAGGTCAACCCGGGAGAATGGTTCAGCGCAAGTCATACACCACCGCGTATGGAGTACTCCGGACTAGTAGCATTAGCTGGCAGTTATTTCGTACGGGGAACGCCATCCCGTCCTGATAAAAGCGACTCGATCCGATGTGATTGCTCAGGCCGCGAGCCCAGGCCATCAATGTGGCTGCCCACTAACGAGCAATTTTTATTTGGCTGCTGGACATGAATCGCCGACCAGCCTGCCCGAGTCTGCGGCTGCAGGCGATCGCCAGTGCGGAACGATCCCACCTGGCGAAACCATAGGATGATACCGCTGCTGCTCTGGCTTTGTTCCGAAGTGACAATTGCCCACCAGGGGCATCCCCCATACTCCATCCAGTATGGAGACCTGGGCACGCTGCCAATAACCGGCAGCGGCGCGCCGATTCTAGACTGGAAACGGCGTGCTAAGCGGTGCTAGCCATCGCGCTTAGATCCTCGCGGCATGGCGCGCTCTCCCCTGGGGGCTGGTCCAGTGACACCAGACGCCGTTCTGGCCTGCGATTCGTCTCGCCTTCTGTCCCTTCTCGCTGTCTTCCGCCTTCCTGTCATCCTCTGCAGTCTGCCCTGCACATTCCTCTCCCCTCTCCGCTCGCCAGCCTGGAGAGACTGAATTGACCTGTCACGAACCAGAAATCCTAGTGTTTCCTTTGTCCCTCCCCCTCCTGTTTCTTCTTATTTTCTTCACGCCACCATCGCTACGCCCGCCCGGTCATCTTCCGGGCCCGTCTGCATCTCTCCTGACCGGCCTGGTTGTCCTGCAGCTTGCGCCGCACCTTGCATTACTCCATTTCTTGCCTACACTCGTTCTCTGCGACGTGTTTCTTCAGCGGTGGGAATTTTCCTGACACGTCCACACGCCCCTCTTTAAACCTCTTCCTCTGTCCTTCGTTTCTTCTTCTCCCTCTTTCCTTGCCGACAACGCAAGTTCCGCTCCCGCGTTGATCCAACCAACCCGCCTCTCCCCCCTAAAAGCCATATCTACTCCGTGCCGACCTTCGATCTTTCCTGCCATTATCTGCCACTCCCACAGCGACAGAGGGAATTCGAGAGAAGGCTACTGGAACACCAACGTCTTATCATCGGTGACAAGACGATTGTCTGGGGAAAAAAAATTAGGTCTCGTGCTTCCCGCTCTGCTGTGACCTGCGGGACACCCCTCTTTCAGCTACCACCTTTGTTATCTCGTTGACTGTGTTTCTGTACCGCGCAGCAATCCATCCTGAAGAATCTGCCTCCACAAGAGTCCTGCTGGTTGGAGATCAACGACGGTCCTACCCGACCCAGATCCATTGCCAGTGCTAGTCTGGGTGTCTCCACTCCTGCCGCCTTTTTTTCCCTCGACGTAACGGACGAGTAGACCCCAAACATTGCGTGCCTGTTCCCTGCCCTCTTTGTCTGGCCCTCTGAAACGCGACTGTCCTCATTTCTACGAGTTGCCGCTTCCCAAGGGCCGTCGCCATTATTTTCTCTCCGTCGTGAGAACCGCCCCGATCTCTGTTCCCCTCGATTCCCAGCGGTAGGCCTCGGCAGGTGTTTAGGGGTAAGTGGGGCTTGACGGACTGCGGACCATTTTCTCGCTGGGCTGCGATCGCAATGTCCAGATAAGCAGGCGAGGGCATTCAGAAGGAACAGAACTCTTGTTATTGTGTTTTCCCATCGCCCGCGGGGTTCTTGTCTGCTGAGCTGGCTTTTTGCTCGCCGGGGCTGCCGCTGGGATGGCTGGAACAACCGCTGCAGTTTACTCCGGAGATGCTCTGACATCGCCCCCTAACGGCAATGCTTCCTGGGACTATGCGGTTCCCGTTGGACCGGAGGTTGGTTACTCTTTGTCTTTCGTTCCCTCTCCATCCCTTCACGTCTTCTCTCCTGGTCCTTTTGTTTCTGTGTCTTGCCGCTACATTTATGGTCCTGCCCATGTGGATCCACAAAGCAAAGGGTGAGTCCAGATGGCAATACTGATGATCTACACCAGGCCAACGATACCACTTCCAAAAGAGCTTCCAACGATTCGGGCACCGCCTATCAGAGATCCTCCCATCGACACCGCACCCCCACCGGAATTCCGCGATCTCGCAACTCGTCGCAGTCTGGAAGACGGGATAGCAGTGCGCACGACTCGCATGGGCGCGAGATAGGACCGCCGACAGCGGCGAGGGATTCGGGAGATATTTCCCATCATAATACGCGGAAGGGCGATGGCGCCGGCAAGTTCTATAGCTCCCCGGATCCCGAAGACGACGACGACAACTGGATCCATCGAGACAAGCTGGCCCGCATTGAGAGCGAGGAGCTTCAGCAGGCGGCGATGCGCATCCAGCGGCAGGTCCGTGCAGGGAGCAAATCCAGCAGTTTGCGCGGCCGGAGCCACGATTCGCACAGCAACAGTGTCAATGGCACTGTCACCACGCCGCCGACGGAGTACACAGAACCGTGGCCCAGTCTCCAGCGACAGCAGCTCGATTCGCCTATCCCTCTTGAGGATGTCGAACAGGATGCCCCGACGGAAGCAGAAAGGATGAATTGGGACCTGCGTCGGCCGGAGGAGATTGCGGCGGAGTCTCTGGACGAGAATAGCGCCTCCAAATTGTACAAGAGTCCTGGGCTGAAGAAGAGTTCGTCACGGATCCCCGTTCTGACGACCAGTCCCCATCCTATATCCCCGGACCAAGTTGAACGTGAGTTTCCTATCATACAACGCGCACGTACTCGCACGCTGGGAAGCGGAGACGAAGGCAGTGTGTCCCGCAGAGCCAGTGAATCGGTAGTTGACAATCCTGAAGCGTCTTCCTCTCTCCCTGCGGAAGCAACCTCGACCCCTCCATTGTCCTCCAGCCGCCCCGGTAGCCGAGCAGGCCCGCAGTCACAGCAGCAGTCGCAGCAGCAGTCGCAAGCCCAGTCGTCCCCTGCTAAGAAGACCCCCGCGAAGAGCACTCCGTCCTCGACCGGCCGAAAGACCTCCGCCCAACACCGAAAAACGTCGGCGACGCAGAAACCGCGAGCACCGTCCGGCAGCAACGCCGCTAAAGACCGCCCCGCGACGCGATCCGGCGAGAACCGGCCAACGACCGCTGTCAACCGTCCGGAAGGCGATCCGCCATGGCTGGCGACCATGTACAAGCCGGACCCGCGACTACCCCCCGACCAGCAGATGCTGCCGACGCATGCGAAGCGGATGCAGCAAGAGCAGTGGGAGAGGGAGGGCAAGACGCCGTCGGCGTATGACCGCGAATTTGCGCCGCTAGCTGTTCGTCCGGACGATGACCAGCCGCGCGCGAGTCCGGAGCCGGCCAAGGCAGAGCCGGAACCTCAGGAACATCAGCAACAGCAACAACAAGAACAAGAACAAGAGACCACACCAGCAGCAGATCAGCAAGCGTGGCCGCTCAAGTCACCCAAGAGCCCCGAACCGACGAACCGTCCCGGGACGAGTGGCACGAATTACAGCACGATGCCCAAGGTGCAAACGGGGCCTCCGGTCGGGCTGCTGGTGCCGCAGAAGGCGCAACCGCCGCCAGCGGCCGTCCCGGAGCCCGTGAAGGAGGAGAAAGGTTGCGGATGCTGCATCGTAATGTGACAGCTTGTCCATTCGCCGTAACAATAGCTGATTCTTCTCTTTACTGCTTTTCTCTTCAAACACCTTTCTATCACCTTTCTAATACCCAGTTTCTCGAAGTGCTGCCGTCTCTGTTAATATTGGTTGATCGATTTCGACTTATGCGAGCTTGTGATTTATTTATTCAGCGAGCCAGGGCTGGTATTCTGCTTGTTCATATATCCGATTCGCGCAGTTGATTTTCACATCTCACCGGCGTCAGCTGTCGAACTTTCCTTTTCTGTCCTGCTTTTTTATCCGAATCTGTTTCATTCCTTAAGATTCCCTTTCTGTGTGTGGGTTGTTGAACTATTTTTAATCATCGAGGGGTTTTGATATCCGCTTCTGCAGCAGCAACTGGCAGCACAAGAGCGAGGACTAGACCGACTCTGCTGTTGTCTTCGCATTGTACAGTACATTAACTTTCATATGACGATTCATGAGTATTTCTTTCCTTAGATAAGATACCTTCTGATTGAGGAGCATTTCTTTTCTTAGATACATTCCGGATTGAGAAATGTGAATTCGCGGAGTCGACCTATCGATCTAAAGAAATATCACTAGAGCAATCCTCCTCGGCCATGGGATTTCGTTCTAAACTTGCAGTCCTGTAAGTCGAGTAATGTAGTACATGCATGTAATTAGGTACTGATCTGAGCAATCGGATAGATAGGATCTGCGGAAATCGATTCCATCCATCCATCCATCATCATCATCCATCATCATCCATCGGGTTCAGCTGGGCCAGCCCAGCAAGCTTATGTAATCCGACATCGGCCGGAGTCGGAGTCGGCGAGATCCACCCCGCTTGCTTGCTTGCTTCGACTCGGGCACCGCCTTTACTCTACGCATCATCTGGTTCATTGCGCACGCCATCATCAGAGAAGCTTACCAAGCCCCTCGGCGTATTTACTGCGCAGTTATTTTCTTCTATTAGATTTTATTATATAAGGTAATTGATCCCCACCTGCGTTTATCCTTCTACCTCCTAATAAATAACATCCGTTATTCTTACCAACAAAACGACATCGGCATCCCATTTGTTCTATCCTGTTCCAACAACCAAACCTAGGTGCTTCAGCTTCAAATCAAACTAGATATCTAACAGATAGATATCTAGGGAAATTTATTTTTTGAAACCAGCCCACCATTTCGTCCATATTCTCCCGCCTCTTCGGCAGCTTTTCTGCCGCCGCCTCCAGACCCGTTTCACCAGGCACCATGTCCGCAGCCAAAGTCAAGGCTCAGAACATTATCAATGAGAACCCTGTTGGTGAGTCATAAGCCCAAAGCCCTCTGGATGAGTATCTTGTTCTTTTCTGACAGTTCTGTTTGTCTAGTGGTGTTCTCCAAATCCTACTGCCCCTACTGCAAAGCCACCAAGGCGACGCTGAGCGGGTTGGGCGCGCAGTACTACGCGTTGGAGTTGGATCAGATCGGTGCGTACATAAACCCCCACACCAACAAGCAATAAAAAATTCCCTGGAGGAGTAGAGCAAAGCTGATATGTTTGTTTGTTTGTGTGTGTGTGCAGACGACGGCCCCGCCATCCAAGACGCTCTGGAAGAACTCACCTCGCAGCGCTCCGTGCCCAACATCTTCATCAACAAGCAGCATATTGGCGGAAACTCGGATTTGCAGGCTCGGAAGGAGGAGCTGCCGCAGTTGTTGAAGGAGGCTGGTGCGTTGTAAAACATAAACAAAAGAAAAGGACACGACACAGGGGTGATGATACTGGGGAGGTTAGTTTGGGATAATAATGGGGATGGATATAACAAGAAATAACAAGGAATAAATAAAATAGTCTGGTGCAAGTGCTGTATGGTATATACAGCTGTTTTTGTTTGTATTTACGTACGTACTGTACTTTACGGCTTTGCTGGAGATAGTAATAATATAGCCGGGATAACTAACGCCTTGATTGATTTTTGATTATCTCCGTATTATACGAATACGACTTTATTTGTGATCACCTTTGTAGTGTAGGGGCCAGGACAATGGAAAGAATAACCGAGTGAGCGCAAGACTATATTGACACAAATACTACAGTACATATAATATTGCTTCGCTTACGCTCCGCAAATTATATTATCACAAGCCTGCGACTCGCTCCGCTCGTCTAGGCTTGTTTTAGATCACCTTCTGAATGACCGTCCCTACCGGCCGCTCCACTATCCCCATAACCCCCTCCACAATGCTCTCGCGCGCCGCCTCGCTGGCCACCGTCTTCCCTGCCAGATAGTTCAGCCACAGCAGACGACTGATCCGCTCGTCGGAGACACGGCCTAGCCACCGCAGCGGCTGCGCCGGGTCGGGATGATGCAGCGCGTCGAGAGCCCCCTCCTGCCCGCGCAGCAGGAGCAGCACCTGGCCCTTGGGGATGTTCTTGCGGGTGCCGCGGCCGAAAAGCGCTTTGAACTCGTTGACCGACTGGCCGAAACTCTCGTCCTCGAACTCGCCTGCAGCAGCAGCAGCCGCATGCTCCTTAGCTTTCGCGTTGAGTCTCTGCACCCGCGCCATCATCCCCCGCACCCAGCCGTCGCGCATGTGCATGAAATCCGTGTTGCGCGTCGGCACGATCCGGATCGCCGTCCGCAGGTTCCCTTCCTTCAGGATCTTCTCCCATGCGTCCTCGCCCTTCTCCGGATCGAGCAGAAGCTGCTTGAGCGCGTCCCGCTCCGTCGACACGAGCGATGTCGCCGCGACCGCGCCGCCCTGCGCGGCGTCCCCGGTAGGAGGCTGCACGGCCGTGCGGACCAATCGCTGCTGCAGGGTCGCGAGATCAGACTTGGCGACGTACAGCCCCACGACATAGACCTGGATGGCCAGGAACGAGACGGTGCGGATCCCGAGACCGAGAAGCTGGTATTCCTCCTCCTGCGCGTCAGGAGAAACGGACAGCTCCTGACCGGGCTGGAGAGACGAGGCATCGATCGTCTTGGGCAGCTTGATCGTCGACGGGAAGTGCGGCACGGTGCTGTTGCCCGTCTCGACCTGCTCGACTCCGTCCTGGCCCTGGATGCGAATCACCGACGGACTGCTGGGGAAATCGGCGCTGGGTCCGTCCAGCTTGATGCTCCCGTTGCCAGATTGTGGTTCCGCCTCATTCTTCTTCTTCTTCTCATTCTGCTCGTTCTCATCTGGTAGCCCGAACACGTTCAGCTTGATGATGCCGTACATGGCGAGAGCACATGCGACTATTCCGGCGGCGGAGCGCACCATAGCGCGCTTGTACTGCGCGGTGTCATCTTTTGAGGATGGCGTTCTTGACAATGACTTCGACAACCGTAGAGGATTATTGCTGCTCGCAGCAGCAGGTGAGCGGAACGCGCCTGTTGTCGCGAAAGAACGGTATAATAGCTGATGGCGATGTTGTGATAGCGGGGCGAGGCGGGTCTGTTGCTGTCGCAGACACCGACAGCAGGTCCGCCACGAGAGAGGACCGCCGCGGGATGCCGGTGGTATATTCATCTTCGTTCGTAACCCGATTGCAAAGATAATCAACAAATGCGAGGTTCAATATTAATAAACGACGGAGGAAGCGGATCCGTCGTCAATTGAGGCCGCCAAGCCGCAAGCAGAAGCGGAAGCGGAAACGGAATCCGGAGTCAAACCCTGCACGTGATCACCGAACCCTGAGTGTGATATGAACATAGTTAAGTGTAAAGATTGCTTTGTTACCTGTCTATTCTGGCAATGAGCTGTGGAGGATATAAAATATGGTATTTGATAGCTTATGGCATTTTCTATACAATCAAACAATGAAACATCAGCGCATGTGGCTTGTATTGTAGTTCCACCCATTCCTTGGAATGAAATAACCCGCTGTTGGAGAACCGAGAACGACATGTTGCAGACTTGGCTGAGGAGCCAATGCTCTTTTTTTTTTGCCCAGTTTGCAACACCTGCTATAATTCTCCTATCTTCGTTATTCAGACATCTCGATGTTATATGCGCTAACACAAAAACTACCCAACTTCTGATATGCTTCTGATATAAAAGTCCCCAACAGTCCTAACTGTGGTAAATAAACGAAGAGTAAATATTTACACGAAAAAGCACGTAACTCCGCAAGCACACGCAATCGTAAATTCTATTGTCCATGTTGATGACTGTCCAATTCACGGCAGTTTCCGCAGAGGATGATTCCGCATCGACGACACAAGTTGATAAATGAGTCCGAAGTAGCCATCTGGGGTTTCTGCAAGGCCTCATATCCGGTAAAGGATCCTGTCTCCAGCAGCTCCCTTATCCCTAGATACATGTGTCCGCTTGGGTAAGGGACTAGCTTGCGCCAGCACCGGCCACACTCGTAGTCGATCTCTTCATCGATCTCCCCTTCTTCGACAGAATCCCACATGTGATTGCAGTTAAAAGGGTCCAGGTCGTCGATGCTAGGTTCGCTTCCAAAGTCCTCTCTGGCATCCTCCCAATGCCAGCCCGCATCCAGATTGATGAGAGGCTCCGGTGCTGGTGCACCCTGCTCAAGCACGACGGATGTCTCCGACTCTGTGTCAGCGTCCGAATTGCCCTCCATTTCCCGCTCGTAACGCTCATCGGCCGCGGCGTTAATCTCTTCTTCGAATGCCGCGGCCTCCTGTTCGGCCGGACAAGGCCTGGCTCGACAGACGCGGATCGGGCCTGTGCACCACCAGCACCACTGGGCACCGCAGCGGCATTGAATGTGGCTGCAGCCATACATTCGTCGCACTGCTGCTCGACACTTTGGGCAGCGTTTGATGCCCCACCGTTGGAGGAGGTCCGCGATCTCAGGGTCAATGTCCGGAGTTTCGGAGCAAGGCGTCCCGGGGTGGGCGAGTTGTTTGCAAGAACAACAGATGAGAACTGCGCATTTGGGGCATGGAATCGAAGGAGCCACTTCGGGGGCGGAGAGTGGAGGCGTCGGAGGCGGGGTTTGGAGGCCCGTAGGAACAGTTTGATTGAGGTTGGCACCCTTTTGAGCTGGGATCCTGTCTTTCACAGCCGATGTGGGAAACAGACGGTATGGAATAAATGCTGAACAGGTGGGAATGGGGCAGTAGACTCGATTGGGTGTGCTCCATTCCTCATACTTCTCCTTGAAAAGTGTCACTTCTTCTGCTGAGAGGACGAGACGAGCATATGTGACTGGAATTGGGACGCAGCACCGGGGAGGCATGTTGGCCTCGTTCTTGTAGGCATCCACGAACAATTTCCGAATACAGCTGTTGCAGATGGGCATAGAACAGCTCTTGCATGGTCGAAGGACTTTCCCTTTCTTCCGATCGATGGTTTCACAGCAGTAAGAGCATTTCACGTCTGGAGGGGAAGTTGGAGGATGTGCTGGCGATGTCACGACGCTGTTTGTGTTGTGATTGGTTTCATACTCGTCTTCTGGGTTGGCTACAGAGTTCTCAGGATCATGCGCCCTTGACTCTGTCGTACCATTGTGTGCGGAAGGATGATTGATAGCGGTATTGTCCAGATTGCGATCACCCATCCTTTCAGAACCATGAATGGATGTGGTGACAATGTATTCGGGCCAATTTCCGAGAGACTGAGCAAGTTGCGCACTTGCAGATGGACGTCGCGTGTCTGTCATCTTCACCACCACACTGGAGACAGGAGTCTCCTCCGCCTGTCGGGAGCTGTTGCAGCCCATTGTTCTCGCGGGATTGGAGGTCAATTAGAAGGAGAGGTTAAGGATGAGGTTGTCCAAGGCAGAAATCCTTCTCCTGGCAGGGGCATGGGTCTGGTGGAGGGAGAAATGTTAGGTCGACCATACAGAGGGAAGACGGGAATCGAATTAAGCCTGTACTGTGCAGAAGGTTAGAGAATCCCTGGGAGGTGAACAACACGTACCGAGGGGATATATAAGCCTGTCTCTGTGGATGGCCTTGAGGGAGAGTTTCTGCATTGATTTGCGAGCCAGCGTTGGCAGCGCATTAACTCTGGCAAGGTTGACTGCATGAAGCACCGGATAGCGGAAGTTGCCTGTCAGACAGCATCGCCAATCAGGCTGGCGATGGACAATGGTGGATTGCAGGTCGGCCATGAGTCACCCTGCAAAATAAGGCACTGCAGCCTTGCCGTTCCTCTGGATGCAGGGAGGATTGTTCTCGAAGCCATAACGGGCAGGGCAAGCTGCAAGAGAGTTGTGCAGGAAGATAGCTGCTGCTACCTGCGCGTGAGCTGTGCCACGACGCTCCAGTCACCGAGTCTCCAATGACAAAACCACCAACCAGCAGTGCTGTCACGCAGGCCTGCATGCAGAGCCAAGTCGAATAAGAATAAGGCTGAAGAGCAATTGTTGGTTGCGTGGATCAACCCTTCCATCAACGAATCGCACCCCGCCTATGGATGGGTAGTGTATGGATATACACTAAGTACGAAATCGGGTAATTCCGACATCATCATTATCCGCACGTTGTCACCAGTATGTAAGGAACTTTCTCAGGCTTAGCTTGCGACGAAAATGGTCGATCCAATTGAGTCCGGCAGTCTGGTTGATTCCTCCGTGGTTCGTGACTCACAGAGCCTCAGAATGGAGATTGTGCACCCAATGCTGAGTCAGAGTCTTGTTTGATCTTCAAGACCAAAATTGCGGAAGTAAACATCTCAGTCTAGATCTCGTTTTTCATCTATTAATTCTCGGGGTATACTCACAGGGTGAACGTAGTCTATTCAATCCTCAATGCAGCAGACGCATCTCCCCACCCCAATTCTTCAACTCATAGACATCTATGAACCAGCTGAACATATTGAAAAGAAAATGAATGAAAATTTGGAGTCCAAGCGCAAAGAGATCTCATATATCCAACGTCTGCAGACTTATGATTCTATTCATATTTAGGAAATCTTGAGGCTATCCCAAGGCTGGGCCATGACTCAACACACGCCTTACGCATCGTAGCGTGAATACCGAGATTTATCAAAGATTGTTTTATAATCTGTCCACGGAGAGAAGGTCCATATGGAAAGGAATTCCGTGTGGAATATACTTGCCTAAGTAGTTAGCAAAGAATAATATTTTACTGATTTACTGGCTCTATTATTGGCTCTCGGATTCGCTTCAAGCACGGCAGAGCGGCGCATGGATCAACTCCCATACGGAGTATCGTTTCTACCTAGTCACTATTTAGTTTGACCATGGATCCAGAACCCTCCATACAGGGTAGTGTATATGACCTCCCTTTCATTTCTCGTGGCGTCTCGGCCGTTGTCTGCAAAGTCTCCGATTCAGCCGCAATCAAGGCTCCTTACGACACCGATGAAAGCCGACGTCAGCTCGAGATCGAACGTATCATCTACGAGCGCTTGGGCTCGCATCCTTATGTCACAAGACTCCTTTCTATCCACAATGGCATGATTGTTCTTGAACGCCTTAAGTATCCCCTTCGCAAACGACTTTGGGACCTTCGTGACGCTGGACAGCTTGCGTCAATTCAGGACGTCCTTCCTACGCTGGGCTTTTCAAACTGCGCAGGCGCTTGAACATGTTCACTCATGTGGCGTGTTTCAGGTTGATGTTGGCTCGCACAACATGCTGCTGGATTGGGATGAGAATGAATGTAAAGTTATCCGATTTCGCTGGATTGTCAATTCAGATATTACTGCTTCTTGCTTGCTTGCTTACTTGCTACTGTGCACAGTACAGTACCACTTGGTCTTGCCGTAGGACCAGACACACATATGTGTACTGTATATGTGTGTGCTGTGAGGCTGATAAGCGATCACCCTCGAATAGATCTAGATCCATACTATGATTGATTTCTGGTGGAGATATTTTTCGCATTCATCATGGCTAAAAATTTTTTCCCCCCTGTACCTTTCTCTATGTCCACGTTTTGTAACTAGATCGTTCTTTTCTTGTTAATTAGTTCCTTGATATCAAACGTGGATGGAGATTCTCTTCTCACTCTGTATGCATTGCAAATACCAGGTAGGTATGCATGAATTATTTATTTATTTATATATACTGGTTCTTCCTCAATCAAGCAAACAAACAAACTAGCGAAAAGGTCTTTCACGGGGTAAGATGGATGAAGGATGTAATGTACGTATTCTTCTCGTCACTCTAGAAATATATAGAGAATTTCCTATTTAGGCATACTATATACAGCGTCTGGGTTCTCTGCACTGCTTTCAACTGTACATTATACTGATTTTAGTTGTTTTTTTTCTTTGAATGGTATATAAGTGTATGGGTAACTATTCTGCTTAACGATAATGTGCTACGGTGTCAATAAAATCTTGATCGATCCGGTAGGATACTCTCTACTTACAAACGGATCAGACACCTCACCATCACTTGTCCAAGTCAACAACAATAAATCATGTCATTTTAGATAATTCTTACTGTGACTGCCTCTGCTCTACGGCCTACTCTGAAAAGTGACTGTCAAAGTCCACAAATCGTATTTCATAAGCCAGTAGCTATGGGTCATCAAGTTGTTTATTGATTAAAAAACCATCAAGATGCGAGTCTAATTTATATTCGCATGGCTTTTTACCATCATTTCACTCATGTCCCATCCCATGTCCATATCCTGGTCCCGAGGCCTCCCGGCCCTCAATCAACCAGTTTATTTCTTGGAGGCCTTCTGGGCGGCCTTGGTGACCTTACCAGCACCACCCTTGGACTTCTCAACGGACTTCACGACACCGACAGCGACGGTCTGGCGCATGTCACGGACGGCGAAACGGCCCAGAGGCGGGTAGTCGGTGAAGGACTCAACGCACATGGGCTTGGAAGGAACCAGCTTGACGATGGCGGCGTCACCGGACTTGAGGAACTTGGGGTTCTCTTCGACCGACTTGCCGGTACGGCGGTCGATCTTCTCGAGCAGCTCAGCGAACTTGCAGGCAATGTGGGCGGTGTGGCAGTCCAGGACAGGAGCGTAACCAGCACCGACCTGACCGGGGTGGTTGAGGATGATGACCTGGGCGTTGAAGGAGTCGACGCCCGACGGGGGGTCGTTCTTGGAGTCACCGCAGACGTTACCACGGCGGATTTCCTTGACGGAGACGTTCTTCACGTTGAAACCAACGTTGTCACCAGGCTGACCCTCCTTGAGCTGCTGGTGGTGCATCTCAACGGACTTGACTTCAGTGGTGACGTTGTTGGGAGCGAAGGTGACGACCATACCGGGTGCGATGGTACCGGTCTCGACACGGCCGACGGGGACAGTTCCAATACCACCGATCTTGTAGACATCCTGGAGGGGCAGACGGAGGGGCTTGTTGGCCGGGCGGACCGGGGGCTCGATGGCGTCGATGGCCTCGAGCAGGGTCTTACCGGTGACCTTACCACCCTTGGTCTCCTTCTCCCAGCCCTTGTACCACGGGCACTTGTCGGAGGGCTCCAGCATGTTGTCGCCGTTGAAGCCGGAGATGGGGACGAAGGGAACGGCCTTGGGGTTGTAGCCGACCTTCTTGATGAAGTTGGAGGTCTCCTTGACGATTTCGTTGTAACGGTCCTGAGACCAGTTGCAGGTGTCCATCTTGTTGAGAGCAACGATGAGCTGCCTGACACCGAGGGTGAAGGCAAGCAGAGCGTGCTCACGAGTCTGGCCATCCTTGGAGATACCAGCCTCGAACTCACCAGTACCGGAGGCAATGATGAGGATAGCGCAGTCGGCCTGGGAGGTACCAGTGATCATGTTCTTGATGAAGTCACGGTGACCAGGGGCGTCTATCCGGGACAGTTAGAATACGCTTCTACGTGACGAATCATGACAAGGTTAGGAATACTGACCAATGACAGTGACCTCATACTTGGGGGTCTGGAACTTCCAGAGGGCAATGTCGATGGTGATACCACGCTCACGCTCAGCCTTCAGCTTGTCCAAGACCCAAGCGTACTTGAAGGAACCCTTGCCGAGTTCGTTGGCTTCCTACGGGGGGGTGTTAGAGAGCGTGTCCTCTACACAAATACGGCCGTGAAAATTCTTACCTTCTCGAACTTCTCAATGGTACGGGAGTCAATACCACCGCACTTGTAGATCAAGTGACCTATTTTGCTTGTATGAGCATCGACGCCGGATGGAAGAGGGCGACGGCAGGCGTCTTACCGGTGGTGGTCGACTTTCCGGAGTCGACGTGGCCGATGACCACGACGTTAATATGAGTCTTCTCCTCCTTACTGTGGACGCAATGCTGGTCAGCGCTGGTCTGGGACTGACCATCGATGATGGACCATCATCGACGGTCTGGACGATGCAAAAATTTTTCGCATCTCGAGAGCAAGCTTACCCCATGGTGACGACTGTGTGAAGGTTTTTTGAACTTTTGTAGTGCCTTTGTCAGATACTAGAAGAGTTCAAGAAGGGTGCTCAGGTACTACGGCCAATGCGTAGAGGTGCTGAGGACCAAACTTGTCAGTAAGAAGATGAAAACCGATGGAAGGGCTCGGAGGGAGGGAGGGTTTATACGTACTGAAGCAGACGGGGAGAGGAAAGGAAGAAAAATTTTGTGGGAAGGAAGGAGGGGAAATTCTTATATGGAGGGGCAAGCGAGGAGGCGACTAGCCGGCAGGCTGCGTTTGTGGGCTGTCGGTGGACGTGCAGCGAGCCAGCCGTCGGCGCATCCTTATCATTGGGCATGGAGGGGCCTGCCCCACTTCCGTTGTACGGCACCAGCGCAGAATCTTCACTGGATGCCCCTCTGCTCGACCCCTCGTCTGCTTGCTATGATTCCCTGCGCTGCTACAAGAGCACACAGACCAGATTCCACCCCAGAATGCAGAAAACAGGAAGAGAATGAAAAAATTTTTGAAGGCTGGCGGCAAACCACTGCCTGCGGTCCATCAGCAAAATACCCCTCCTGTACCCACCGCTGTGTGTCTTAGTCGCGGAAGTACCCCTCCAAATTCGGGTTCTGCTGCAGGCAAACTGGGCAGCAACGTCAACGCAGCCCACATCGGTCGCCGTGGCTACGCGGATTACCTCAGGTCGCTATTTGGTTGCCTGGAAATTGTCGTCCTCTGGCGGACAAAAACCCTGCTGGGATCTGGATGCTGTTGTCAAAGAAACCTGTGGCGGCTCGTTAGTGGCGGCTAGGGTTCCACTGGGGCCAGCCCGATCTTCGCTACAATGCCGCGATAGAGGGGTAGCAACGAAAACTTTTTTTCTCGCTTCCCACCTTGATTGCCACTCCAGGGAAAGTAGTTTTTGATATTGATGCGATTTGTTTGCTGTTCTTGACAATGGTACTCTCTTGATTGGTTCTAGACTGGCAAACGATAAAAATTTTTCACTGAAGATGGCTCCTATATACACGGCACAACTGCGGGGTATCTCAAAACATGCATCTTCTCCAACGATGACACCATCCAGTAGAAACGCCGTCTTCAATGCAAGTCTTGACCGCCTTTAACCTTCTCCTCTGATATGCGAAAAAAAGAAAAGAAATTGCTTCGGAAAAAAAAAAGGGTTGCTTTTCTCGTAAAAGTCGAACTTTAGTTCTCTCTCCAGCGGGTACCGCAAGTGGTGCACTAAGTTGTCATGGTCAGCATATAAAAGAATTCCTAGCAGCGAGCACATTAAAACTCCGTTCGTACCTTTAAGAATGTGGTCATCGGCTCGTCCGCACTGCGAATCTGAAGCTGGAAGAAGTACGCGCGGTCGCCAGGGCAGCCTTCTGCAGGACATTGAGCTAGCACAAAGAAAGTCAGTCTCTGGCACACCAGAGGTTCCCGACAAAAAGGACGACTTACCGGCCATGCTGTCCGCATTTTTGAACTCCTCTTTGCCGCCAAACACTTCTTCCACCTCCTTCTGCTTCATGGGTGTGTCTTCGAAGTAAGCGCGGTCCAGCACGTATTGATACGGGCACGTCCGACACTCGAACCGGTTGATGCCAAGAGGATATTGAGAAGAAGGCTCGGCTCGAGAGACGGTGAGCGCATTGCTGCAATTGGGACAGACTAGGTCATCGTTAATTCCCATGTCCTTTCCCGGTCCGGACGCAACCGTGTTCAGGGAGCACAGGAGGATGCTGGAGGAACGTACAGGTCAACGGCATTTTGAAGCGGGATCCTGCTTAATCTGACAGAGGTCGCAAGCTTGAACGGAAGAGACCGTACATGTATCCAAAATACATGTTCTGGCCAGCAGAAGATGGCAGTTGTAGCCCTTTGGGATCCACTGGCAGGGAGTTGTCGCACTCCAGTTTCTAATTAAGCCGCTTTTGACGGAACCCTATTCCAGCACTGCTGGCTTGCCGCGCGGCAAACGCAATGCATGCCCGTTCGACGTTGACGCCATAGGCGCGGGGGAAGGCGGTCAGCCAGAGACCGCCTCGGATGAACATATTATCCGGGCGGCTATCCACTTGAGGAAGAGCATGGCCGTTGTTGACGGTCAATCATCCGCCTGGCATTGTATGTAGTTCGCAGAAGACGAGAAAGAGTCGACATCTAGTCCAGTGGTGGTCACGTCCACCCAATAGCTACCATTTTTGCGAGACGGGCCTCTCGCCTTTTGTGTACATATACCTATTTCCCTTCTTGGTTGAAGTTTTGACCCCTCGCCGTCTGAACGCGCTCCACCCGCCTGCCAACCCCTCCTCCCATCCCAGCCTGCCGTCTACTGCCGCTTTGCTAGAGTCAACTCGATAGCGACGATTTGAACCGATCTTCATTGCAGAAATATACCATAGCCTTTCTGGGAGCTGCTTCTTCTCTGGGACCCCTAGGAACGTTGATTCTAGGCAACAATGGCCGACGATGAGGTACACTAGGCTCCTCCACAGTCCTTCTTCAACACACTTATAGATCACTCCTTTAGGGCGCATCTCCGCGGGAGCTGGTTATCGAAGCATGTCGCCGCGACCAGCCTCACCTGATCGAGCAGGTCCTAGAGGGCATGGCCGACAAGAGCAACGAGGAGGTGGCCGAGTTCTTCAACAATGTCAAGGACGCCTTAGGCAACTATGCGCTCCACATCTGTGCCATGTACGGTAGCTGTAAGTAACCTGCCAGGGAGAGCCAAATAGTGCTCCGATCGCCGTTGCCTGCTTGTAGCTAACGTGCGATCCTCCCGCTAGACGACGTGATGGACGCCCTTCTTGACATTCAATACTTCGAATGCGATCCTCTTACCCGCGTCGACCAAGAAACTCCATTGCATCTGGCGGTCCGTTTCGCCAATGAGAAAGACCCAAATCTGGGGCTGGAGATGATCGAAATGATGTGCGAGGCTGGCTGCGACCCGCGGGTGCGGAATAAACACGGGCAGAAACCGGCGGACTTGGTCTATGGAGACCACAAAGAGATCAAGCTGGCTCTCCAGAAGGCAGAATACATCTTGACCGAAGGGGTCCAACAAGGCGATGAGGACGAAGCCGCAGGCAGTGCCAGTGATAGCGAGTAGGAGGAAGGCCTGCAGGAGCAGTAGTTGGAGTGTGCGGAGCCTTGTTTACTACATTATCTTCTGGTGGTGCTAAAACCACCCCTGGCTGCACTGTTCTGACTACCGTCGACATTTATACCCGGTGTGATGAGTGTTTTGGTAGCAAGAAGCCGAACATTTGCGTTGGCTGTTTCGCAGCCTGGCTACTGGCTCATCTGCGACCTTCCTGCTTTTTTCATGTCGTAATGACGTGCCACGACTCTACATTCCGGTCTTTGACATTGCTGTTATCGAGTTACCCTGTGTGATGAAGACCTACCTGGTAGATACTTGACGATTCTGTTGAGTCTTGGTTAAAATATCCTATTGTGTGTATAAAGTTCAGATAAGAATCCATTCAAAGAGAGCTGCATAGACAGTCTTATCTCTCGAGAGATGTGTGCATTTTCTGAGTATTGAAGCAATGAGAACTGAGTCTTAGTTCGTTAAAACGTCTCTTCGTCATATATCTATATAGCTATCTGCCAGCCCCTGACTCCTATATTCCTCGGTTTTTCGCCTCTACTTCTCATCATCCATCCTCGGAACATTATCCCATCCATACTTGAGCCGGTGCCGATACTCGCCCACCATCTCCGGCGTGATATTGCTCCCGCCGCAGACGATCACGACGACACGGGTGTTCGGATTCAGATTTTTAACGACCTCCTTGAGTCGCACACTGGTCGCCACGTCGACGGAGACCCCGCACGCCAGCTCGACTATCAGTCGACTGTCCTCTGCCAGTTGCACGACGCCCCTCGCGGCTTCGGCGTCGGAGGCCACGACGCTGGTGACTTCGATCCCCGGCGGCGGGGAACTGGCGTTCTTGAAGGTTTGTGCAGCGACGCGCAGCGCGCCCAGCGACGTTGCCATCGATGTGATGGCTGGGAGGGACTGGAGTGAGCCCTTCTCCAGGGCATAGGCAAGCGAGTCGGCGCCTTTGGTCTCGACGGCTAGGACTTGCACTTTTTTCTCAGCGGAGGCGGGGCCATCCTGGACTTGTTGTTGCTGTTGCTGCTGTTTGCGGATATGCTCCTCCAGACCGCGGATGATGCCGTTGAAGAGGCCGCCTCCGCCGACGCTGCAGACGATCACATCGGCGGGGAATTTCGTTGAATCTCCGTCCTCTCGAGGAGGAAGCTGGGCGACCAGCTCCGGGACCATGGTCGAGTTGCCTTCCCAGATATGCGGGTGGTCGAAAGGGGGCACATAGACGTTCTTGACCTGCTCATTGGACGTGACGGACACGTCAGGAGCGCCTTGCTGCTCGCCCTTCGAATTTGTCTGCTTCTGTCCGGGGACCTCGATGAAGTTCTCGCGGAGGTAGGTGTCGGCCTCATACCAGCTGGCGCCGTGCTGGATCACGTCCGTGGCGCCGGCATCGCGCAGCTTCTGGACCATCATCGGCTTCGTGGTCATCGGGACGACCACCGTACACGGACAGCCCAGGTCGCGCGCGGCAATGACGGCGGCCAAACCTGCATTTCCTCCCGAAGAGCTGTAGAAGTGGAGCTTTTTGCCTTGGCTGGAGGGGTCGGACAGATGCGCGAGGATCAAATTGCCGATGCCTCTGCGAAAGAGTCAGCGTCGTTTCGAAGTGAGCAGCATATATATCTCGACAAGAATCGACAATCTTAACCCGACTTGAAGCTCATGTGCTTGCTACCTATGCACTTACCGTGACTTGAAACTCCCCGACGGCTGTAGCAGCTCCAATTTCAAGAATATTCTACTACAAAAAACAAATTAGTAAATGCCTGGAAGTTCGCTTTTTTCCACCAGTAAATAGATACAGGTACGTACTCACCATCCAGCCGCTTTCGAAAGCGGAGCAGACTCAATCAGGGGAGTCTCAATCCATGGCTTTTTGCTCTGCGAGGGAGATGGTGGTGGTTGATCTGCGATTGAAGGCATTTGTTGCGGACTGGTTCGTATTTTTCGCTAAACAATGCACGGCTAACGCATGTATGCACTACAATGTACTGTACGTTATATATGAGGTGTGGATATATTTCCGATGGCTCATCCACGACGAAATCACCCGATACAGGCCTACTGAGGCAGTATTTGTATAGAAGTATGAGGTATATCTGGTTTGCCCCCGTGTCGGTACTTGTCCGATAAGGTGATGACGCGCTCGGACCATCACTCCGCTCCGCCGTCACGCCTTTCCAATGATCATGGCGCCGCCTACTTTGCCGTTTTCACCACCCTCGTTGACTTCGAGCGTTCCATGGTTTTCCGGTCGGATCCGGAGGGCGATGCCGATGGAACTTGGCCATTTCAGTGCAATTTATTTACACGCATGGTCGCTGTTCATGAGACAGATACGTATACATCTACAGGACATGTATTCTCTGGTAGTTATGTCTATTGATATCCGCTTCAGGCTTAATTACCCACACTGACAGCTATCTGATACCTCCCCCCGTTTGGTATAATGATGGTTCCCGTGTTCTTCCCATTGTCCACACGCATGGCGTTGTTTACGGGCTGCCCGTTCAGTGTCACAGACAGGTTTTTCTGTCCCGCTGGCAGAGGAAGGATGACATCCCCGTTCGTCCCCGCGGGCACCTCGAAGGCCAAGACATAGCTTCCGTTGCTCCTCTGCCACGAAGCTTGGAACTTGCCCAGTGCCGTGGTGAAGCCGCCCTCGACAGACTGCAGATCGCCAAACTGCGGAGCGAGCTTCCAACTCGATCCCAGCGGTGCCGTAACTGACAAGCCCAGCACGTAGTTGGTCAACGCGGACGTGGGACCGGAAGACCATCCGTGCGAATGCGAGACATACGAAGCATCATAGTCGTATCCGCGGTTGCTGCGGTATCCAAAAGTCGCATTCTGCAGGTATCCCTCGATGACGGTGCTTTCCGTGCCATTGGGGTTGTTAATGTACCAGCCCCAACTGCGCCGGATGAGGTCCAGGGCCCGGTCGGCTCGGCCGGCCACAAAGTGTGCCTGGATTTCAAAGGACGAGATAAACGGCGAGATGTTTTCTGGCAGCTCTGGCGCGACGGCACCGATGGGGGTCCAGTTCTTCGTCAGCTTGTCAGAGATACTGGCGACGCGATCTTCATCTGCCACTCCGAACAGGACCGACATGCTGTTCGCGTCTTGCGGATGCAAGGTCGTGGCGGTTGCGTTGTCTTTAAAGGCGCCGTAGGAGTCATCGAAGCAGTACTCATTGACTGCCTTTTGGAGATTTGCTGCCCTCGTTGTCCAGTTGCTCGCCAACCCCGTTGTATCGCCTGCCCATTCAGCCAGTTGGGCTCCCGTTGTCAAGGTATGATACAGACTGTTGGACCCTTGTCAGTTCTCCCATCTCCATCCATCAACGGCGGAATTCAGGACATACATCATCTGAGCCTCCGAGTTGTTGTAGCCTTGCTGCCACCTCGCCCAGTCTCGTGTACCGGTGACATTCAGCAAGCCGCTGTTAGGGTCCACCTTGCCATAGATGTAATCCATAGCCTTTAGATACCCGTTCCAGTTTTGAAGGAGGAACCCGGTGTCGTTGGTGAAGAGAACGTAGTTGTAGGTACCGATCATCGTCCACATATGATAGGTATCCGAGCCTTTTTGACTCAGAGGGGGACCAGATTCGTCGAAAGCGCCAGTTGTTTGATCCTATATTCTATTCGTAGGATGGCTCTTATAGCGTGTTGTTGCATTCTCTTACCTGTGTGTTATACATGACCTGAAGAGCATTCTTCACGCTCTCCAGATCCCCTATGCTGACGAACGTCGAGGGCACAGCAATCCCCATATCTCCCGGCCACACAGCACGATCCCGTTTCGCTCCGTCCACGATGATCGTGTCTCCCGGGCCCAGGAGGCCGTCGTTCTCCCACCCGGAACTCACAAACGGGACCCGACGGCCTGTGTTCACCGGGACCGCGTTCGTCTGGACGGTGTACGCTCCACTGTACCAGATGCGATTGAGCAGTTCATCGTTGGAGTGGAAATATCCCTGGTAGGCCCGCAAGTTGGACCAGGTCGGCTGGAATGCGATTTCCAGGGACACGTCGGTGATGTCGATGCTGGTGGAGTTGCTGGTAGTCATCAGAAACGCAGTCAGATACCGAAATCCTCCGCGCAGCTTGTCGTCAGGCATCGTGTACGTCCCTTTCCCTGACCTGGTGATATTCTGGGCCAGATAGCCGTCAGGGCCCTTGAAAGCGCCATTGGACGAGTCGGACCACTCGCCAATCCAGTTCTTGGCCTCTGTAAACGCCAGGGCCAAGGTGCCAGCGCCTGTAGCCGTATAGTCCACCGTGACTATGCCGCCGACCTCTAGGCCGAAGTCGAAGACGATCTGGGAGCCATTGCCTTTCAGGACGTATTTCCCCGAACCAGGCTGATAGGCCGGTTCACCGTGCGAGGAAAGAATCTTTTGCGGTCGAACCGTCCTGGAGGACGGAGCGTAGATGTTCTTCTCCCACGTCCCTGGAAAGGCCGTGTCAGCTGGGCCGGTGCACGTGGTGTTCCTCCAGCATTTCTGCGCGCTCGACAAGCTGGAGAAGACCAACAACCACCACAGCTGCAGCAGCGATAGCAACCTCTGTCTCAGAGCCATTGCACTCAACAAACGCTTTTGCTGCAAAACGTCCCAGAGCACTGGCCTCTATATCTTACTGAATTCGCATTGGGATCCACCCTCGTTTATGAAGGTCCAGACCGTGCCATCAGGACGCATGCAGAGAGCAGCATTATCCCGAAGTCTCCTCCTGCCTTACACACCAGATCGTTATAATATATCGCAATTAATTAATGAATGATCCGATTACCCGAGCGCCTCAGGAAAATTACTCGTTTCCAGTGAAAAAGGCAGCTCCCGATGTTCAGACCACAGAACGTGGAGAAGTTAGGTACACAAATGCATACAAAGGAATTGACGTCTATTGGTGGGATTATTATTGACACGCCAGTCGACTCCAGGGACCAAAATACCAAATCTGCTTAGACTCGTACTTAGACCGTATTCCACCACGCAATGCAGCAGGCGATCGGCGGAATTATGGCCCTTTTCGACAGGCGCGAAAGCAAACCCCAACGGATTAACTCCAGACTTCCCCGCAGTCCAGCGATTCCGTGTGGGGAGAAATCGGGGGGATACCAAACACTCCTCCATACTCTGTACAATGGTCGACGAGTCGACATGTCTCGGTGCAAAGATTTCCGAAATGAGCCAAAATTGAAGGACTTAGACAGGGGGTCGTTTTCCGAATGGCGTTCGGACAATAGACACTAGGGGAAAATGCGATGCCGCAATGATCGGAAAATTACAGCACTGGCACATGAATCAAATAAATAAAATGCGACTCGGACGCAAAAACGCCTTGCAGACCAGTGTGTAACTGGCTCTGCCTGCCTGCCTGCAGAATCGAGAAAACTACAACAATAATGCGTCTGCTCAGAAGTTTTCTGGCAATCGTGCCCATCTCGGCGGCACTTGCAAGCCCCAGCCCCAATGCAGCAGTTAAGGTGGATGGCAATGTCTGCACGGTAAGCGCATTGGGTAACAAGAGAGACGACGTGCCGAATATCCTGGAAGCCTTTCGACGCTGTGGGAACGGCGGAACAGTAGTCTTCCCCGAGGACCAGAACTACTGGATTGCGACGAGATTGAACCCCGTCATAAACAATGTAGTGATTCAGTGGCATGGCATATGGACGGTAAGCAAGGCACACACAGTCACAACATGAGGGGAAAAAAAAAGGCTTGAATATATATTGATTATTGGATTATCAGTTCTCCGACGACCTCAACTACTGGCGCAACAACTCCTACCCAATTGCCTTCCAGAACCACCACGCCGGCTTCGTCATCACGGGGCAGAACATCACCATCGAAGGGTACGGGACGGGAGGAATCAACGGCAACGGGAATGCCTGGTACAACGTAGAGAAGGGCGTCACGCAGCCGGGCCGGCCGATGCCCTTCGTCTTCTGGAACGTGTCCGACGTCGTCGTGGAGGACTTCTTCGTCAAGGATCCTCCGCTGTGGAGTCTGAACATCATGAACGGGACGAACATGCGCTTCAACAATATCCACAACAACGCTACGGCGGTGAATGCGCCGTACGGGCAGAATTGGGTTCAGAATACCGATGGGTTTGGTAAGATCGCACTGGACTTGTCGTTTCGTTCGTTATATACAGCGGCTAATTAATTACTTCAGACACGATGGATGCTTACAACATCGAGCTCACCAACCTCGTCTACCAAGGCGGCGATGACTGCATTGCCATCAAGCCGCGGTCCTACAACATCTACGTCCGCAACGTGACCTGTGTGGGCGGAAACGGCATTGCCATTGGCAGTCTGGGGCAGTACCTGGAGGACTCGTCTGTTGAGAATGTGGTCGTGGACAATGTGACGGTAAGCCAGAAACTTTCTTTCAAGCCATCCACATACTCATGTATTTCTGCCTACCGCCAGATCATCCGCCACAACGACGACATGACCAACAGCGCATACATCAAGACATGGACCGGGGTCCTCACGCCGCAGAGCTCGTATGAGAGCGCCGGCCTCCCCCGTGGCGGCGGCTGGGGAAGCGTCACCAACATCCTGTTCTCGAACTTCAACGTGCAGGGCGCTGACTCCGGCCCAGCCATCTCGGAGGACAGCGGCGACAACGGCACGTCGCCGGGGACGAGCAAGATGCTGATCAGCAACATTGCCTTCGTCAACTTTACGGGGTACACCAGCAACCCGAAAAAGTCGAACGTGACGTCGACGATCTCGTGCTCGAATGTGCATCCGTGCTACAACATCGATTTCCAGAATGTGAACATCACTCCGGGCCAGAACGGGACGGGTCCCGGCTTGGGGTCTTGTAAATACACTGCTCCAGGAGGTGTCCATGGGTTGCCAGGATGCTAGGTCGAAGACATTGTCATATTAGCTCCCTATGATATGCATGCCAATGTCAGAAAGAGAAAACCGCGAGAACTTCCTCATTTGCTAAAGTCTTTTAGTATAATGAATAACAATAACCGTGATAGTTAACTGATGTCAATCAAGACCAAAAAAAAAACTCGGCACAGGAAAAAAAAACCACTCCTACTTAGTTAACTCATAAAATTGAATTAATTTATAACCCAAAAAAATCAACTCTCATGTCATGAGACATGACAAAGCAAAAAGAAATCCAACCAGCCAAGCGTTTACATGCATCATCCGCGAATCGAACGCGGGCCTCATCGATGGCAACGATGAATTCTACCACTAGACCAATGATGCGTGTTTGCTTGGCTGGTTGTTGGTGGAGCATTGGATCGTGTGACTTATATCCATTTGTCACTAGTAAGTACTTTTTTTCGACTTTGTGGATACTGGATAGGGGAGTCACGTGTGCGGGGAGCCGAGCTTTTCCGGATAGGGTATCGTAATTATCATCCACGAGATGATTGGATGGTGGTCTGTGCGTGAACCCGTCTGGACTCCATACGGAGTAATTGGGGCGCGTCAACGCGTCTCGGTCGGCGCAGGAGGGTCAGGAATTCATTGAATAATTAGATCTGAAAGAAACATCACTCATATGCGAGGAAATTTGTTTTTGACTTGGATATTCAATCTTGATAACGAGTCCAAACGCCCTGCTGGTTGGGCTGTGACAAGAAAGAAATATGCCACTTGTGCGCAAACGTCGTGCGGTATGTTTTTCTTTCTCATGAAGCTATAAGCTATGGCAAATCGCTGATTAGATCACCACTCCAGCCAGAGCCGCAAGTAGAGATTGCCGATCCAGCCTCTTCTGCTGCTGCGTCTGAATCCGATGATGTTGTTCCAGCGAACCGTCGCCGGCGTATGGATAGTGAAGAAGAAGAAGAAGAGGAAGAAGAGAACGATGATGAATCAGCCGCGTCATCCGACGGGGAAACGCGCACGCCCAGCAATATCGACATGATGGTGAAGAAGTTGGTGCGGCTGGCCCTGGCGAGCGAGTACTCGCGATTGCCCATCCGAAGGACGGATATCAGCGCCAAAGTTCTCGGCGAGCAGGGCTCGCGGCAGTTCAAGACCGTCTTTGACCAGGCGCAGAGGGTGTTGCGGAGTCGGTTTGGGATGCAGATGGTGGAATTGCCCGGGAAGGAGAAGGTGACAATCAGTCAGAGGAGAGGTGAGTTTCGAACCAGCAGTTCCAAATAGCTTCGTTTTTGGCAGTCGGCTAATTCTCGATATATATAGCCGCCCAACGCGTCGAGAAACCGTCCACTACCTCCAATAAATCCTGGATATTGACCAGCACCCTTCCTGCGCCCTACCGAAGTCCGGAGATATTACCCCCAACCAAGGCACCGTCCTCCTTCAGCGACAGCACCTACACAGCGATATACACATTCCTGATTTCGGTCATAACCCTCTCCGGCGGCTCGATCGCGGAGCAGAAGCTGGAGCGATACCTGAAACGCACCAACATCGACATGTACACGCCTATTGACCGGACGGACCGTCTGATACAGCGTCTCTGCAAGGATGGGTATCTCGTCCGGAACCGGGAGACGGACGGCGGGGAGGAAGTGATCGAATATATGGTCGGGCCGAGGGGGAAGATCGAGGTGGGCGAGAGCGGCGTGGCCGGGCTGGTCAGGGAGGTATACGGACGTCCCGACCCGACGACGACCGGCGAAGCCCGCAACGGTACCCAAGAGAACGAAGAGGAAGATGAATTCGAAAGGAGACTAGAAAGGAGTCTGGCAGCCAGTCGGCGAGAGAGGGCTCGAGGAGCTGATACTGGGGATGAGCCGCCGGACGAGGGGAGGGCGAATAGGCGAAGTCAGCTCAATCGACGAAATACGAGGGGTCGCGCGGCACGGGACGATGAAGATTACGATGAATGATGTTGTCCTACTCTTATACTATCGCTGATGTACTGTACTGTAATTATCTAATGATGTATGTACATACATAAACCATACACTAGTGATCTAATCACGCGGATGATTTTATAACTCCAACGCCATTCCTGTGTTAATTTTACATTCGAGCGAGTGATTTATCAATCCAGATGCAGCAAGATCTTGTTAGGGACTCGACAATATATATACATTGAGTAGTGGCATATGGGCCTTGCGCGAGTTGTTGACCTGCACGCTTTCTGCCACAGCCATTGCTACTATCCAGCTAAATACCAGCCCATCCTCTGGGCATTTGGGAGAAAGAAAGAAGCAAAACAAAAAAGAACAAAAACCACATCCCAGAAGTCCCATCCGTGGACGCCCTTACAACAGTCCCTCCTGGACTGCCTCTTCAGTGGCAATGATGTTTGTTGTGGACTCCTTTCTTCTGCGCGGCCCCTGCCTTCATCGTCCTCTTTGACCACCTGATTCATTCTTTTGCCTTTAGATTTTAGCTTGTTTTGCAGCCTGTTTTTTTTTTGGCTTCCTTTGTCTAGTTTAGTGCCTTAAGAATGCTTTGCCTCCTTAATAGTAAGAGGATCACTAAAGTCCAAGTATAACAATGCATAGTCTAGTATCTTTTTTTTTACCTTTATCTTTATATCCTTAGTGTCCTTACTTTCCTCTTCAGCTTTTACCTTTCCCTTAGGGTCTCTAGGCAGCTTTCTGCTTTAGGTAGATGCGCCAAAGTCCCCAAAAACACAATTGTAGCCCAGCTTTTGCAAAACTGCTGACAATGTGTAGGAGAAATGCTGTCTGGGCCGAGCGGCCCTGGCGATTGACGTCACGGTTCTTCTTCGTAAACACCTGCATTTGTGAGCGCAAGACGGGATGGATGATCTGTTACTGGGTGAGCTGGTAGCAGTGGTAGCGACTGGGAGGAGTGGTACTTACTAGCTCTCCAACGAGCGGCCAGATGATGAATTTGCCCTGCTGGTGGTGCTGACAGTCGCATATCGCCTTCTGACTAGGTATTTCCAGTTAGTTATTACCATGCAAGGAAAAACTCATTACCAACTAGGACATTCAGTAAACGGCGGTTCCAACCCTCGACAAGTCAGTCTCTCAATTCAATCTGACACCGTCGAACCCGCTCGCGGTATCTTTTTTTTTTCTTCATGGAGTACGTTGTACTTTGCCATCCTTTGTCGTCCAGTAACCCCGCTGAAAGTTGGGCTTGATCCTCAAGGACCTGTTGTTTTTTTCACGATGCTCCACGGAGGAACGGAGCCAAAACTGGATGGATTTTCCAGTCGCGGGGAAAGTCCAGCTGGTAGGCCAAGCGGCCGACAGGACGCACGATCGTGAATGGCCCAGTGTATTGGTTGTTGTACTTTTGGGAGAGAAGAGAAGCTATGGAGTATCCGCGATGAAGTCGAAGGAGGACCCTTTCCCTTTCTTGAAGTAAATGGCCTTGTGCTTGGCGCTGTATCTGTGTTTTGTGTAAATGGCTGCTATCTTGAGTGCTTTGTGTGCATTGTTATAAGTGGTGAACTGCTGTACGTCTGGAGGATCAGTGGTGAGACTGAGTGTGAGTGTATCTTTTAACTTGATGCTGTATATTAACTGATGAGGCAAATGTTCTGTAGCAGCATTGGGGGACGAGTTTAGGATAAACTGGAGGTGTGGCAACGTCAAATGCCAATCTGTTGTATCATTAAGAGATGCTATGGCATAGCGAAGAAAGATTTCAATGGTCTCATTCGTTCTTTTGGACTGGCCATCTGTTTGTGGATGATACGCGGTACTATAAAGGAGGTGGACACTGAGACGACAGAATATTTGCTTCCAGAAGTCTCCGAGGAATTTCGGATCGCGATTGGAGATGACAAATACGGGGAGACCCCAATCTCCTAGGAAAAGACGTTCGAGTAGGGCGTCAGCCCACTGCTCGGCTGTCTCGTTCACCAAGCTGGACTAGTAATTAATACCAAGTATTGATCGCAGATAAGAGGGCTAAGTTTTCAAAGTCCCTTTGAGTTGTAGAAGCGGCAGGTCGAACTTCCGGTCTCATCGTATACATGTGTAGCATGAGAAGATCTTTTCTCGGGGCGATGAGTGCAGTACTGCAAAGAAAAAAGAAAAATCAAAGGCACGACTGAGTGCTGCCATGGGTGCGCCATGCCAAGGCTGTATCGATTTCAGAATCAGGATTCCTGTCTCGTATGGTGAAGTTGTACAGTGCATACTTCGTACGGGACGTGAGAAATGTGAGAGATGTAAGAGTGTGGTTTTCTTACATCCGAACCAGGAAATGAAAGGGCGTATGTACAATTCGTGGTTTTCGTAATCTTGGAGTCTTATCGACTAGTCGTATGCCACAGCTCCAATGTTGCACTGTCATTCATTCATGGGCGGAATTCGTTCGTAAAACAAAAATCCACCGATTGTCTCGACAAGGTCTTTGCGACCAAGTCGATGGTTCGAACAACTCAACTGCCTCCGCCACAGGTCGTTGGCTGCCTTTTCTTTCAGCCAGCTCGTCTTCTGCATGTTCAAGATCATCATCGGTCACTGCATTATGACGATCATCAATGGCGTTGCTGGTGGCTGCTTTCTGCTCTTACCAGTGATGAAGGCTCGACGGCGGTGTTGGGGCCCAAGTGACTGTGGTCCTTCAAATAACAGGCCAGCAATGTCCTTTTATAAGACGCAAGAACTGCTCAATCCTGGCAATACACGTAGGGGTGGAGACTACCTTGGTTGAATTCGCTGTCCAGTCCTAATCCATTCATTCATCAAAAGGACCACGTCGATATCAACCGAAGGAAACGAAGTCTATGGAACGGAATTCTGATCGAAGATGACATCCAGAAATCGTGGGTTGGCCAGCGGACTGTTCATGGCAAACATGTGCGCAGTGGGCAATTCGCAGCTCTTTGAGGTTGGCTAACGGAGACATTGTAGTTGGAATATCCCAGTGACAACACACGTTCGAAAATATTATTCGACGTGATACGCCGCCACAGGTTTGCGAGATATAGATCTGATACCGTAGAGGACGTGGGCATGCATCATGCAAACAAAGTACATGTACTCTCAGCTGAGGTTGAAGTCGCGATGACAAAAGGTGGTGGCCTTTGTACCGTAACACATCATGCACCAACGCCATCATGTACAGTACAAAACATCTCCGCATCAGCGACTGCATCGCCGCTATGGATAACTTGGTTTGGTTTTGCTCTCTGTATTTAGAGCTTGTGCGACTCCTCAAAGTATCTCGTGCCCAGACATCGAATGTCCTCTCCCGAACGGCGAGATATTGATCACTTAAGTAGTTTGGTGAATTGTGCAGTTGCACCCTCCACTGCATTAAGTCGTGATTCCAGCGCTGCAACACGGCCGACAAGTGTAGATTTCTGTTTCACAAGATTTATCCCGGCCGGAGTCGTTCCCGAAGATCTGTCCATCTCCGTCGACCTCGAGACTTGCTGAAGACATGGCATCCGTCAGTCGCTTCTTAGCCCATTTGCTTGATGTATTCAGAACAGTACTCTTCAACTTTCTCGACAACTAATAGTTCCCGGTCTTGTGTGCGCAGGGAATCCCCAAGGGAATTCCTGGAGGTCTTTCTTCCTCAATACGAAGCGCGTCAGGGTCTGAATTCAAACCGTAATCCCCTTGACGCCAGAAACCCTTGCTGGATACGGTCATTATCGTCTTGAACGCAGAAACGGTCGGCCAAATATGGCAGGCACACTCTTAGCCTGGAGTTCAGCGTTCGAACAATCTCTGGAGCTGCCCATTTGATATGACGCAGCAACTTCCACTTAACGACAAACTTCCAATTCTTGATGGCCGCTAAATCGCTAGTAGGCCTATAAACAACAGATCGGATTTGCGTTTAACTGGGTTGTCTGGAAAAAAAACCACGAAATCGGAAGGGGTAAAAAAACTTCGGGAGGAAAAACTCCTCGGTTCCTTCCTCAGTCAACAACTGTTCCTGGATTGGCCGCTCTATCGCCGACTGTGAAGCCTTCTTGCTCGTTGAAGGATTTACAATAATGCTGTATGCTGTAAGTGTGATGCCAGCACGTTTGAACTCAACATAGAGAACAATATCCTGTGTTGTGTTCCAAGGTTGTTGAATTTGTCGGTATGGTATTCTCAGAAAGATTCTTCTTTTGCCCGGCAAGGTGATTCGTAATCAGTCACTCACAGAAGATTATCAATCCATGAAATATAAATATAAAATATATAAAGCCCATCTCTATTTATAAGAAGAAGATGATGATGATGACCGTTGATGTGCTCAGAGTAGGTTAAAGAAGAAAAAAAAAGGCCAGCCGGACGGGGAAGGATGGGGAGTACTATATCTTCTCCTCCTCCAGGAGTCCAGCCGTGCAAGTGAATAATTAATAAATCAGCAAGTGAGACAAGTCACTAATCAACAAGCCAGAAGAATAAGTGAATGCAATGATTCCAGGAGAAATTAACTATTTAAATTGCTTTTGAGCCCCGGGTCTATGCAGGTATGATTTATTCATTCACATGTTGGGCAGTGGAAGATGAAAAGGATAAGAGTAAGGGGTTTGAATATGTATGTATTCACTTGTTTCTGGTAGGCAGGTTCTATGAAAAAAAAAGAATACTTCTAAAATTGCTGGATTAACCGAGACATTTTGTCGAAGTATCTGTGGATGAGTGCAGAAAGGAATGGAAGGACGGATGGAGTAGAGAAGTCGGATCGAAGTTAGCTAGCTGCTCGATCGCGGTCAGCGACTACACAACTCTCTGCAAATGCTATGTAGTCTAGTCCAGTTCTGATTGAATTATCTTTATTTAATATCGACCCGCTAATCGACAATGACAATGACAATGACAAATCTACCGCTTGATGCGACCAACATGCTCAACAAGATATCAGAATGGAATGCAGAAAAACAAGAAGGGAAGAAAAAGAAAAGGTCAACAGCATAGACATGCGCTTGCTTGCTCGAAGCAGCAAATTAAACAAATGAATCCTGAAAGATGGAAACGAACGAAAGGACAAGACCCGGATGCATCGATGTGAAAAAAAAACGAAGACAATTTACCTGACGCAACGAAACAAAATGAAGGATGAAGGGTAGACAGAATTACAACGGACGAAAAGAAAAATGTAACAAGCGAAAGGAAGAAAAAAAGAATATGTACAGTACAATAATGTCTGATTGGAAAGACGACCTAGTAAGGAGGTCGCCCAATCCCACCAGCGAGGCCCCTCCGGTCGCTTACTCTTCTCTCCGCGTGACCGGTCGTCTCTGCTGGCTTGCCTGTGCCGGTACTATCACCGCCAGGAGCACGCGGTACGATATCATCCAGCAGCTTTTCAATCTCAAACCGCTGACTGATCCTTGTGTCTCCGGTATTCCCTTGGTTAGGGACAGTTCGGCGGCCATAATCGACAGACGAACCACCTTTCTTGAAACCTGAACCTCCAAGGCTAGTGCTGGAGCGGCTCTTACGCGCGGCCAACGTTCTATTTTGTTGTGGCGTAGACGGACTGTCTGTCTTGCCCTTGACGGAGCCGGCCTTTCGAGGCCCTGGTGCCGTCACAGGACGATCAGACACAGGACGAGACAAACTGGTGGTCGAGTCGGAAGGAAATCCACCGGGAATGGACAGTCCAGGAGGCAATGGCGGAACCGGCGGGATGCCATCCGGGTCGTCTTTGGTCGGCGAGGCAGACTCTTCGTGAGCCTCATTCGAGAGATGAACCATAGAAGCCCTAGGAGTCTCGGAGCCATCTCGACTACTTCTGCCAACGGATTCTTTGAGGGATTGTGGTCTGCTCGAGGCGTTCTCTGGGCCAAAATCGGACGCCCAGGTCCCACTGACCATGCTCTCACTGCTCGAACTCGCGTCGCTGCCAGCTGTAGCAGCATCTAAACGGCCCCTTAGCGGGCTGGATCGCCGCACATTGGTATTCTCAGCCACCGTGAGCATCCGCTTCAAGTCATTCACCCGGAGGGTTGAATCTCTACTGGAGCTCGTAAGAGGTGTATGAGAACCTTCAGGTAGACTGGTATGGCGATAGCCGTATGGGCTCCCATAGCTCCCGAATCCCTGGGAACCGGAGAGGTGATGTTCGTGACGATGGGCGGTAACTGGCGAACCTGCACCGTTCGGAGAGCCGTTTCCATTGAGCTGGCCATAGTTTCGCTTCACCGAAGTGCCGTTTCTTGATCCACTCAATGACGACGTCTTCGCACTCTGGCTCTCCAAGGCTGCCAGGCAGGCTTCCTTAGACCAGGCCGAGCGCATCTGCTCTCCGATCTCTGCTGGCAAGGTTACTTGCTGCGATTGCTTTGCAGTCGAAGCAGTAACATGACCTTTTCCGGTACCGAGAACACTCGATGATCGTCCGGGAGAACTAGGGGGGGTGGTCTGTGGACCAGTTATCACAGACACCGTATAGGCGTTCTCAATTTGACGGACAAGTTCCTCCTTAGCGGTAAAGGGATTAAGGGTCCCCTGGAGCTCAGCCCTCTGGTTTCCATTTCCCGTTTCAGGGGTCAAAACGATCTGGTTCAAGGGGAGTGGCGGAAGTTGTATCTTCTCGAGCCAGAGGCCAGCCTTCTTTCTTCTCGATGTTTCTGCATGAATCGCGCTGCCGACTTTAGACGTCTCAAAGTCAAATTTCTCACTTAGTGCGGCGAAATAACCATAGACCAGACTACCAATATTGACTTGAGCAGCAGGGGCTCGTAGTGATTCGTCTGTAGCCAGGTCGTCCTGCAACCTCAGAATCATAGGCACTCCAAACCGTGCGGCGTTGACACCGAGATACTCGACCAGGTTGACCAGGATCAGGTGGATGAGAAGGATGTCGGACTCCACTGTCGGAGACTCGATTGCGATATCATAGAGTGCCAGGTGCAACCACTGTAGAAAGTTCGACGATGCTACTGTGGACGTCTTCTCTATGGGGGTGCTGGGTGTCGAGACGTGCCGCTTTGCCGATTTCTCCGACAGCGACAACGATCTGGATATCTTTCTCGACGGAGTGTCCTTGACCCTGAGATCGCTCTTGGTCGTCTCAAGCTGCAGGCAAGAAAGGAAGGCGTCTGCATACGCGTGACGCACTCGGCGGTCTGGATCGCGCAGCAGCCACTGTGTCCCTTCCCAAACTTGAATATCGACTTTGTTTCGCGATTCAACGCCGGCCCCAGCTGTGGCTTTCCTCAGGTTCGCAACCACCAGAATGTTCTTGATCGCTTTCAAAGCAGCGATTCTTGCGGCTTCCGAATAGAAGAACGAATCGGTATGCCGTTCGCCCGTAGAATTTGTCGCGGAGGCGGGCTCTCCCGATAAAGTCCTCACCACCGCATCTGTGGACACATCAGATGTCAAAGGTCTGATCCGTCTGAGGATCGCCCTAATCATGTCTGCAATTTGATCTGCGTAGTATATGTGCGTTGCAAGATCACCAATACACTGTTGAAGCAGCGTAACCAATTTTTCTCGGGTAGCAGACGGGAGACCTTGATCTGCGGCACGCGGCTTTTCGTTACCTTCCGCCGCAGCATCAGCATCTGCGCCAGTCTCCTTCGGTTTCTCAGTAAGTTCTGTAGAGCTAGGCTGAGCCGGCGATTGAAGCAGGCGCAGTATATGTTGCACCAATCCAACCAGCACATCGATGACGCTGAGACCAATCATATTTATAGGAGATTTGAGCAGCGAGTCGATTAAGGATGCCAAGGTAATATGTTGATGGAGCCTGTCTTCCTCGACAGGGGTTTCAAGTAGATGTTCTAAGGCTGTGAACAGAACAATGAATCGATCCTGAACGGGACACCATTTGGCGATGAGCTCCATCAAGGAGGTCGCCCAGTGGCCGCTCTCTTGCTTCTCAGCGCTGCGGATCTGATTTCTGCCCACGATAAACTGCAGCACAAGGCCTGCGGCGGTCCGAATCTGAGCCCGGTTGCTCCCTACGACAAAGATGCGCTCCAGGCATCTCAAGGCCAGGAGGCGGACTTCCAGCTCTGCAGCCTTATCCGCATCAGCCGCGGAACCAGCAGCCTCGGCGACGTTGCCCTCCACAGTATCTACGGTCTGGACCGTCACGGTGCTGGTCCGGCGTCGTCGAATGTGTTCCCGCTCGGCCTTCTCCGTGCTCTCGGCCTTCATCTGCAAAGATACCAGGACGTCTTCATCACCAGCATAGAGATTCTCGAGGATGACTGGCACGACAATGCTGAGCTGCTTGCCGCCGTCCGTGCCCAGCGCCTCGGAACTAACGACACTCCGGATTGCCTTGAGGCCCGCATCCCTCCATCGCAGGGCCGTGGGAGGGCTCAAGTTTCTGGACGGCACGCCCGATGTTGGAGAAGCGAAGGTGGCATATGTCTGAATGATGTTTTGATACTGACTAGCATATTGTTGTTCTGCGGCCAGCACAGCCAGATCCTGATTGCTGCAAAAGGTTTCAAAAGTCGAGATACTCTCTTCGACCATGGAGATGTCATTGGAGCGGAGGACCGTCTCGATCACGGCCAGGACTGAGTGCGCATAGAGGGGCAAGTCGCGTGGCAGCTTCTCGATGAGCGCCGTGAGTATTTTGAGCGTCACCTGGACATTTCTGCGAGTACACCAGACGAGGTCAGCCACAACACGACTGTAAACCCAGACGAAGTATGTGCAGCACCACCAACGGCACAACTCACCCAAGCCTGCCTCTCCAGACGTCCCTGGCAGCCCTCTTCACCAAAAACGCTCCGACCTTCTGCAGCTTGCTGCGACGCGTGCTGGCATAGTATAAAAGATAGGAGAGTTCACTGGAATTCGGCTTGACATCCTGCACGCCCTTCTGGAAGCGCGGGTAGCATTTCAGGATGAGGGCCTGGTGCTTGGGTCGGCATGACTGGCGAACGGAATTCATTGGAGCGGCGAGATGAGCACCGCACCACGCACTCGGTGTTGTCGAAACGTTGGAAGGAGAGGGTGTCGCGAAACGCCTTGAGACGTCTAGGGCGTCGTACGCGGAATGACAAGGATCGAATTGAAACGAGCGGACCTCAAGAGCGTCCTTGAGGCAGGGTGAGTGATTCAGCAGGCAGTTGGGAGCGACCGGTGGGAAGGGGGGAAAGGAGCGAGGCAGTGTATGCGGTCAGTCGTAGCCGTTGTTGGGTGTTGCGAACAGACTAGCGGGGCTGCATCTGCAGAGCACATTCATCGTCAGACCAAGGTTGAGGGGGGAGACCAGTCCATCCGCGATGCAGAGCAAGGGACGCGGCCTGGTCGACAGCGTCGAGAGAATAGGGAAGTTGACAGTGGAGGGCGGCGGAGCGCGTACGGAGAGCGTCAGGGTCGCCAGCTTAACTAACGTAACTAACGACGGATTCCGCCCGCTTGGGATCTGTTAGCCCGGCACTGGCACCGTCCGTGGCCGGTGATTGGCAGGAAGAGGATGGGATACTCGCGTGCCAGAGCAGATAAGAGGATAATTATACAGCGTTGAAAGATGGGGATTTCTCTCAAGAAAGTGGAAGGGCGCATCCAGGGGGCAGAAGCAGACCATTGCAGGCTGAGCGAGTCTGAAATAAGGACTCGACGATGACTAAAGGCCAGGCGCCCAGTAGTACATTTTATGCAGCTGCTCAGTACTCCATACGGAGAATTGTGTCTCACGTGTCTCCAGATGACTGCCTAGGCAATTTTAATGTCCATGCATTTCCGTTCTTGGACAGCAGCGCTGCCGCGATACGTTTACGCAAACCCATAAAAAGAGCAACAGAGCAAAATAACAACCCCCGCTTGAAACTTGTCACACCTGCGTTTCGCAGAGCTGGAAAATTCTAAAATTATTGGCAGGATGTAAAAAGAAAAGACATCTCCGCACTGGTTGTCAAGATTATCAGTCGAGCGAGAGTCACGAAAGAAGAACACCAACTCGATATCGTGATCTAGATCGTTCAGGCTGCCAATGCTGATCTGACAGAAGCTTTTACTTGGATAAAATCGGAATTAGAATGTAGTCGACAAGTAACGGCAGTCTCTGAAACCAAGCTCCAGGACATATTTCGTGGTGGCTCCGAATTGGGCATGTCTGCTGTTATAGGCATCGATGATATATGCAAAAGCTAGAAAGGATGTCCCGAAGAGAATTTCGGAAGACAGAAAGATGGTCAGGTGACAGCATTCGAGCATAGACTCTGACTGTATCCTTGAAGCATCAGGACTGCCCAATCTATATCTTATTTGAGTTGCTATTTGAAAGCCGGAAGAAAAGTCGAATTCCAGTTCAAGTTTCTTTCCATTCCCACATCAGGAAATAATAAATCCAGCGTGCATCTCACTCTTGAGTTCAGTTCGATAACACAGAAGACAATCGAAACATGTGGAGACAATTCAAAAAGGCAATTTTTGTCCTTTGATCAAATCAACCTGTAGATAGAAGTGCTATCAAGTACATACGAAGCAAGTCTTGCCCGGGCATTCGACATCATTTTTTTGACACGGAAACAGCACTCGTCATTGATGGGAACAAGTATATGAGAGGGCTGTGAGGTAGTATAAGTGATACAGTAAGATACAGTAAGTTGATAGAAGATAATAAACTCTACCTACTGAATCCTCGTTCGTTGAGTCTGATAGACTGACTGCTAACATCAAGGTATATCAAGGTATATAGAAGTAAATTATACTATAATCAGTTATCGGCCAAGTCATTTGAATTAAATGAAACGGGTCACTGTGGCTCTGTGTGCAGTGATATTGCTTCTTCCCACTAAGTCTTCTTGATTAGAAATCTTCATCTCTCAGTACTTTACATATAATATTACTATTTTTTTTAAAAAAAAATCTTTATGTTCCTCTCCAGGGCAGGTGTCCTCGCCAACCAACCAGCTTGGTTATGCTCATTGCCAGCCATGTTTTTTTTTTCTGATTGTAATGGAAGAATTAGAAAATCCATCCATCTCAGTGGCTTAATATGAAGCTCTCAGTCGTTAATTTCGAGAAGAGAAGTTTGTAGGAGTCAACAACAGCAGCAGCTTCGCAGATTCTTTTTTTTTTCATCCCTTTGACGACGAAGCATTTACTGCCTCTATTGGAATATTATAGTACGCAATTTCGGCAGATACTATTCCATAGTTATACTGACTGTATAATATGTACTGTACTGTACATACTTGAAGGATACAGAAATTGATATGTTCATCCGCACAGAGAATGGTGCGTCTCGATTTGGACCTGTTGCTAAGGTAAGAGAGACTATCCATCCATCTAACAAAGTCATATATATATTTGTAAACAGAATAAATACCTTTGCATTATATATATTTGGCCATATCTCAGGGACTATAATTAATTCAGTCACTGCTTTGCGCAGTGGCAGACTGACTGACTGTATATCTGCTCTTTTTGTCCTTCGTCGATTATATATCAGCTCCTTCCTTCTCTCTTATTTAAAATAAAGCTTGCAGTCTATACTGTGAAGGTCTCCTTCCTCGGATCTTCTAACGTGTTTCTTACAAAATGAAGTCTTGGTATTAACTAACAATGATAAGCCTTGGCCCTTCGAGCTGCTTCTTTTGCCCTTCTAGATCATTATTCTGAGTTTACTTCTCTCTCTTCGTCTACATCTCAACCATTGAGCAAAATCTCTGACTTCCTAGATATATATTAAAGCCCATAGAATGCAATGCAAAGTGCCTTCTTTTGACTTCTTAAGAAGCTGCAGTGCCTTGGCGTTAGAGTTGGATGTTTAGACTCAACTGAGAAGTGCCACGCTCACTGTGGCATAGGCTATCTTATCACAATGAGCCAGAATGGGAATTCATTGATCTGGAGCTACCTACCTCCTGGGAGTCCTAGGAGTCTGACCGTGTAGTCTGGCATTAAGATCGTTGAAAGGACTTATCAATGTTACAATACCGATTTCAGTAGAGGAGTTAGCAGCATGTACTACTACTGTGCTGAGTTTTCTACATCCAAGCAGCTGGGACGTACCTGCAGCAATCTGCCATAGAGGAGAAGATCCTATTATATTCAGCATCACTGTGACAGCACAGTCAAAGAAGAACATCTTGATTAGTTGTCCAAATACAAGAAGCTAAAGTTGGGGAAAGCAAAAGAAGAAAAGGCCATGTTACCCTTGTATAGACAGTTATACCTTACTACTACTCCTACTTATATAGAAATATCTGTTGAATCCCTTTTTTTTCCTTCTAGAAAAAATTTTTTTTCATGCCTGAACCTCCTTTGAAAACCTTGATATTAATCTTCTACTCCTTATGAAAGGTAGCATCTAGAATTGGAAAAGTATGCTCACTATCTGCGCTGCTTGCGGAAAGTCTCATATCAGCGTCATAAAGACACAGTATCTATCTTTTGAACCTTTCGTCGGGCTTTGGGCATAAATATGGGCTCAGACTAGAATAGTTTTTTCCTGCCGTCATCTTCATTAGATCATTAGATAATAGTCACAATTCGATTGCTGTCTTCTTTGATGATCTCTTCTCTATATATAGCGCTGACGGGAGACTCTTCTAAATTGAAATCAACTCCAAGATATGTAATATGTAATAGATTGCCAACCAGAATGGGCTACAAAAGAAAAAATATAGGTTAAATAGTGCACCCCTATCTGGATGATAGCCGGCTGAGGTTGACATGTATATGGCTGTAATTGAAACTCTATTGTTGTTAAACAGATCCCGAAACATATAATAAGATCAGAGAGGAGAATTTAGCCATTGTCATTCATATATGATTTTGGCCAACATCAGCCTCGTAAAGATACCTGTCCACTAAATATATTCTCCTGTGCAGAAAATATACGATATCTCAAGAGGACGATCTCACAAGGGGTGAGGCGATCTCCCTATTTCAGCACTGCTACTGGTCTAATTAAGGACTATTTCCATTTTGCATAGAGCATTTCTTTCATTTAATAAATAAAGAAATAGCTCCTCGATAACAGAGTCGGAATAGCTCTTTTCCACTAAACCAGTCCAATCAATCTCTCCCGGAGTAATATTAGTTCTGAAGAGGAAGTGCTCTCTTTCGGACCTTGGCGCTGCGCTATCACCCATAGAATATGTTGCATATAGAGTTAGTTCCAAGGTTCAATTAAGTGGAGAAAAGAGAATGGAGCTTGACACTGATCTTTACTCTAGGCATATGTCCTATGATGCTGAGACTAATGTCCAACAATTTGTCCTTTTATCAAAGTGTGAAGTAGTACTATGTGTTGTTTTGTTAGTTCGGCTACTACAGTCGAAAATGATAAATTGTGTGGACTACAGGTTATAGAAACGTAATTTAATTTAATAGTTAGTTAAATTTCCTATTTGCTGGGAGGAGTATGCCTGTGAAGGAATTATGCTATGAGTTCTTAAGCAAAAAGGGACAAACACAAATGGCAGACATGATTCGAGTCATTTTTACCGAGCTCCTATCATGGCCATGATCCCAGCATGAGAGCCTGCAATAGTCTACCGTAGTTGGCCACTGATTGGCCTGTGAAATGAGTCATAGATTTAAGGAAGTAATTGAACATACCCAGTGAAAGTACATACATAAATTATACCTTTCAATAAAGGAACTGGATGAAGGGAGAGAAACTTGGTTATACAGTAAGGCTATTAATCGATGGCAAGACAGGAATGAAGGTCTTAGGAAATCCCCTGCATGCTAACTTGGAGTAAATATCCATGTGCTTAACTAAATTTCGAGCTGACGCAGCTCAAGTCCAGTCTTTGTCCACAGATTAACAAAGGGGCCGTGGAAAGACGTGGCCACGAAATGGCCCTGAATCCTTTTTTAGACTTCTCTCAAGCTGTCAACATGGTATGGTTCTAGACCATAGCTCAAACCGACGTAACGATCATGGCCTCCTCGGTCCGCTTCGGACCGCTGCAGGGTGCTGCTAGCCCATGTACAGCAAACGCTGTGATAAAGCACTCCTACTAACGCGTAGGTAGATATAAATAAAACGTGTATTCGATTTCGGACCGAACATGGCCAGGGGTTACGCCGTTACGGAGTACCCTGCGGCTGCAGATTACCTAGGTAGGCTAGCCAGCTGCCAGCGCGTCAGGCAGATCTGTGGGTCTGCCGGTACGGGTACTGACTAAGCAAAGCTGACCAATCACGATTCCTGGTAAGCGACACCGCCGGAAAAACCCACCTGTCGACGATTACATAATGACGCAGGGTCCTGAAGAATAAGTTTGGCGGACACGTGACTGGGGCGCCAAGACTGCATCCTCGCACTTAAGGTATCCTACGGGCACGACGACAGCAGACATCCAACTACCCCAATACATGCTGACAGCTGAAGAACACTTCTATTCTATACGCTATCATCTCTTGTCAATTGCGAGACAGATCGACTGTGGTACTTCAGCTAGTTATGTCCCGTCAGAAATAAGACCTTCAAGGCTAGACAGCCTTCACGCAAGGTTGTACTCCTTGATCAGCTTCTCTGCGCACGTGGCTCCGGTCACGTACGCCACGGCCTGGACGTGACAGCTTGCCAAGACCGGAACGACACTCATGTCAGCCACGCGGAGACCCTCAATGCCCATCAGCCGGAAGTTGTTGTCAACGGCGGCATCAGCATCCCCGGGCTTGCCCATCTTGACTGTGCCCGTCATGTGCCAACTGGAGGACATGTTCTGCCTCCAGTATTCCAGAAGGTCTTCATCGGAATCAGACTTGGGTGCAACCATCTCCGCCACGTTGTCCTTGGTGTAGGCGTCGTGCTTCGCAATCCGGAATGCATCGCGCAGAGACTCAATGGCTGCACGGCGATCGAACGGGTGTGTCAAGAATTTGGGATCAAAGCGGAGAGGCACATTGGGGTCAGACGACTGCAATGTGACTTCTCCCCGGCTCTGAGCATTGTACAGGAAGACAAGCAGACATGAATAGCTGAGAGCGTCCTTGGGGAAATTCGGGATAAACCAGTGAACAGGGAAATGGGTCAGGATCTCATAATGAGGTACGGTTTCTTGCAACAGATAATTCTTCTCCTCGGCCGGGAGCTCTTGGAACTCCTTGGATGCAACGAGCCGGTCCAGCTTGAACCAGCCAACACCCAACTCACAGGCAAACTTGGCCCACGGTCCGGTCCCTTCCCGCTTCCACTGTTCGAGAGCGTCATCCATCGCTTTCTGATCGCCAAAGAAGGCAGCACGGTCGGTGCTGTTGTCTTTCCGGGTGTAAACCAGCGGAATGAAACTGTGATCGCGAAGACCCTTGCCAATGGCGGGAACGTTGTGCACGACGGGGATGTTGTATTTCTCCAGCTGCTCTGCAGGTCCAATGCCAGAATGCATGAGGATCCTCGGCGCGTCGAGAGCTCCTGCTGACAAAATGACCTCTTTGGAAGCGAAATCTACAAACGAGCGGTTAGTGAAAAATCACAACTGGTATGGAACTGCTCGACTGACATTTCTTGCCGTTCGATTCCACGCCTACGGCCTTCTTGCCTTCCAAGATCACTCGCTGCACAGGTGCGTCGGTGACAATGGTCAGATTTTCCGGCGGAGATGCCAACAGGTCTCCTGCCGTGGAGCGGACACCCTTGTAAGCAGAGTTAATCAACACGGACATGCCAATTGGGTTACCGGAGTTGTGGTCTGGGTTCAAAGGAAATCCAGCCTGTTCAAAGACATCAAGCAATGGCGGCAGGTCTCTTTCCCACTCCGCGGCGAACCCGACATGGAGGGGGCCGGAGCTGCCGTGGTCGGAAGCTTTTGGGGCAGCGTATTTCTTGTCGACGCCGGGCGGGATGTCACCGTGGAAGGTCTCCAGGCTCTTATACCGGGCCTGGATGTGTTCCCACCGGTAGTCGTCGTCACCCACAATCCTCGCCCACTCCTCATAGTCGTCTCGGGCGCCGACGCTGTAGACGCCAAAGTTGATAGCACTGGAACCTCCAATGCCTTTTCCGCGCGAGTAGTCGATCTCGCGGTTGTTGAGATTCTCCTGGGCGGTTGTCTTGTAGCCGAAATTCATGGGTTTGTTCTGGAAGGTCAACCACCGTTGCCCGTCGACGCGGAGGTTGCGGTCATCATTCTTGCCTCCGGCCTCAAGGAGGAGCACCTTGGGACTCTTTGGAGTGCGCGCAAGGCCGGAGGCAATAACACTACCAGCCGGTCCACCTATATAGAGTCAGCATCGATCCATGGATCAACCGGGACAGCCGCGTATAGACTCACTTCCGACGACAATGAAATCAAAAGTCGATGCCATGATGTTGGTATGCTTTCTCAAATGCTTTGGTTATATACGACGATCAATGAATGGAAAGCGACAGATGTGTAGCAGGGGGGAAGAACAAGTCTGCAGGCAAGGCCAATCAGCCGGGTAGATGTACCCGCAGCGACAGGGGTATGCACCATCGTGGCTGATGGTCTGAGATGTGTGCAGAAGATGATCTCAACGTGGAATATGCAGGACAATGCCACGCAATTCCCCAATTGGTGTCGCATTTCCGTTTTCCCCAATTGACATACTTCCGTATATGGCAAAAAATCGTCGACGGCAGATCCACCTGCCGATATCATGTACAGACTAAGGCGTTAGCCGCATGATAGTGTTGCCTTAACTCGATTATCCTACTCCATCTGTTTCACGCTCGACACGATGTTAAAGGCAGTGGTCAGCACTACGCGTTGCTCGCTGAATCGTGACTGGGCCAACATAACTCACCGCTCCTGCATGCTGCTGCTACTCCAGCGTATGCAGGGGATTTTCCAGACAACGTGTGCACCCTATCTCCCCTAGCTTCACGATAGCGTGCCCAGACCGCCAGCACTTGAAGCATTGAACGCTCCCATCACTGCTCCATAAACTCCACAAACGATGTACTCCGTACGACGATGGAGGTAGTGATCCAGTGGATGTGACAGACAATTCGGGAGATGAATTAACCAGAGTTGTGGAGCATAAGCATGCTGGTTCCTATTAGAGTCTCCAAGTTAGCTAACCGTTTGACAGGATGTTCCCCCGGAATACCTCCACACGGAATCCCGAAAACACGAGGTTGGGAGATCGACAGTCTCAGATAGGAACCAGACCCTTTTTTTTACTCTTGTGTCGCGAGGTGTTTGGCTGGTTTAGACATCAATCTGATATGATCATCATCGCCAACCGTCGAACTCTTCCCGATGCTCGCATAGTGGCTTCAACGTCCTAGTTAAAACTCAGGCCGCCCAAAATTCAAACCAGAGTGCAACGGTTTTGCCCATAAATCTGGGGCTTGGTCCAGGCCGGCAAGTGTCGCGGTTTTGCTTCCCGCCCGGCCGTGGTCCACATTTGTCCCATAGACCCATCCATCCAGGATGGACGGAGCAGTCGTAGGGTCTTTTCTCGGATATCTTGATTGCCGAGGTCCCTGGCTCACTAGGAGCCAGGGACCTGGGCCAGATTAACGAGGTTGGCGACAGGACGTGCCTCGTATATTACGGAGTACATTAAGGTTGGAAGACACATGAAGACATACTTAACTGGGCTAAGCCCACCTTCTAGGCATAGGGGTGGTGCTATAGTCTCAGACCAGCATGCACTAAGAAGAATACGGAGGATCATAGTATAAAACAAACAATGGTAGAAGGACACAACGCTGGAACCCATTCTTCGCCGTTAGACGTCCCCTTAGATGTCCCCTTCCCGGCCGTCAGCGCCTCCAACTCTTCCGTGAATTCCCGTTTTGTGAGAGGCCTCTTCGAAAATGGCCGAGGCGGATGTTGAATCGTTTACCCTTATGTCGCTGGGCCTTGTCATCATTCTCATCCGGATCTATGTGCGCTGGACGCAGGTCGGCCCTGCCAACTTCCAGCTCGATGATTACTTGATGCCGCTGGCCGGGGTAAGTCCAGCCTTCGTGAGCTTTTCCACCAGCACGAGAGAGACTAAGCCGTGATCTTATTAGATGGTGTTTACAGGAGAAACGGTGGCCGCGTATCTCGTCGGGGCCAAGTTCAACGGCCTGACGAACAGCTACATGACCCCCGAGCAACGGGCGGCGCTGAGCCCGGACTCGAAGGAATATTACGATCGTGTCTGGGGCTCCAAAATCCAGGTTATAGGCTGGTCCTTGTACGCCTGCATTCTGTGGTTGATCAAATTCTGTGTCGCCATCTTCTATTCCCGGTTGACGTACGTGGTCTTGTGTCGATGAACCGAACGGCAATGCTGATCAATGATCTCTAGGACTGGGCTGCTTCATTTCGAGACACGCGTTCGCATCTCATATGTCTTACTGGGTGTGACGTACATTGCAGTCGCACTCTCCATTCTACTCGGGTGCCAGCCCATGAGGAAATACTGGCAGATTAATCCCGATCCTGGAAGTGAGTTCCCTAGAGATCCCATGAAATGCCTCTATACTGACCGTACATCTAGATCTGTGTCAACCGACGATTTCGAAGCTTTACGTTCTGATTGTCGTGATACCAAATGTCCTCACCGATCTCTATCTGCTTTCCATTCCTTTACCGGTACGCTCGTCCTTCCCTTTCGCCTGGAACCAAACTCCCCTAACCGCTTTCTGCAATAATAGCTCCTGTGGAAGGTTAATATCTCTCTGCGGAGAAAGATCACTCTGATGGCCCTCTTCAGCGGGGCTGCTTTCGTGATCATGGCCGGGATTATTCGTGCCGTGGTTATCCTCAAAGTAAGCATGCCAGTTCTTAGGCGTCGATGCTCTTGATTTAACTAACAACTGCTTTTTTTTTACCCTTTTAGTCCGGCCCAGACGGCGCAGTCGCCGGAAGTCAGTGGGCTTGTCGCGAAACATTCGTCTCCATTGTCGTTTCCAACCTGCCCATCATCCAGCCTCTCATTCGAAAGGGCGCCGTGAAGATTGGGCTCAGCGCCCTGTTCAGCTCGTACGTCCGGACCTCACAAAAGAACCCTCTCTCGAGCAAAGAACACCAGAGCGGCCACGAACTGCGGAAGAGGAACCCGCACCCGCTGTCCATCCCCAAGGGCACCGCCTGGGGCAGCGACGAGCACATCCTGGAGCAGGGCGAGAACAATGGCCAGCCGGAGCCTTCCAAGGAAATCACCGTCATCCAGGAGACGGTCATCGAGAGCGAACCGTGGCCCACGGAGCACCCCGGTTCTTCGGCGGGAGCCCAGAGGGATCACTGGGAACGGACTTCTGACGAGCGTGATAATGCAGCCCGCAATTACCAGATCTCTGTCTCGGCAGGATCACATCCTCGCTAATTAGATAGATGGATAGATAGATGCTGAATTGGAGTTGTACATGGACATACGTCTATCTACCTATCTATATGCACAACATGTATCTTTCATGATACTGATACTGGTTTTCTGTCCTTATACCCATAATTGATATTCATGTATGTACTACTGGTGAAACCGTAATTTTTCGTTTTCTTTTTCTTTTTCTGTTCTTCTTTTTTTTTTCTTTTTTTTTTGGTTTCTGCTCACGCCTCGGTATATCTGACACCTGCAAAGGCAATGTCATGTCGAAATCCCATCTTCTTGTTTATATAAGTGAGCCAGCATTTTTTTACCCACCACTATGTGTATAGATTTATGTAATAGAATAGAATAGAATAAGAATAAAAATAAAATAAAATAAAGCTGAAGAAAACAGGCTACGAAGAATATCTCTAGAAAAAAAGTACAATCATCTAGTACGTACTATTTTAACAAGTCTGCTATTAATACTACATATTGGCATATCTTTGTGCTTCAATGTATGTCTCACGTGTCTCGAGATGACTGTCTAGGTATATGCGTTTTGACGATCAGAGGTGCAGCCCTCAGCACCAACTGAGTCAATTCAAAGTTCTTCCACTCCAGAGCCAGAAATCCGCGCGCAATAAATCTGATCATTATTGCATCCCAGGGGCTCGCGAACAGCACTAAGATTGCCGAGTCCGACAGTTTATTGGTCTCGTGCGGAGATGTTGGAGACTGACGCGTGCCGTTCGATTCGAAGCATTCCAAAACTGCAGTTCATCTCCTGAGGGACAGAGTATTGTTAAGTGAAGCTCGAGGCGGGACCCGATAGGATGATATCCCGCGCTGCTCAGTCCATTGCATATCCAGTGTCAACGCAGACGCGGACAGACGCAGCCTGCAACGTCTGACTCATGTCCTCTGTCTCATGACTTGATGCCATGCCATTCCCTCCTTAGCTGCTTTCTCCACGCTGTGTCTCTGCCGCAGTTGCTCCTGCAGCCTCTGCATCTCCCACACCCAGCAAGCGCTCGATGACCTGAGGCCGAATAATGTCCCGGCGAAACGTCTCCTCCTGCAGCAGTCGTAGCGCGCGCAAGGTAGCACCGGGATGCGTCAGGAACTGCGCGTATTCCGGCGTCTTCCAGTAGGAATAGAGATATCTGAGGTAGGCCGCAAACGCCTGCGCGTCGCGAGAGGGCGATACGGTTCCTTGGCCGTCTTCGTTGTTCTCATTGTCGGTGGCAGAGGTGCCGAGTAGATTGGGGAAGTTCATCGCCAGATACGACAGGTAGTAGGGGTTTGCGAGGGACAGGACGAATTCGAGTTCGAGAGTGAAGCGGGGATTCGACAACGTCGGCGGAGGTGGCTGCTGCGGATGCTCGTCCATGGCGAGTTAGACTAGACAGATCACTCGAAAGAGCGGAGAGCAGAGTTGCGGGAATAAAATCGCGATTTTGGTGGGATCAGGACAGGATCAAGAGCTGTCCGTAGACGTTCCAAGGTTGGTTGAACATTCCCGCCGCAGCGGATACAGCGTTAGCAGCCACACACGTGCCTCAGCGCAGCAAGAACACACGATCCAGAACAGAACAACTCTGCTGTTGAAAGCAACTATTTCTTGGTCCTCATATTCATTGATCTAGCTAGATTGTCAATTGTTTGAAACCCATTGAAAGGCTTCCTACTCAAAGAACAGTGAAGACGGGCGGATTACTATGATGCGGCTAAGCGACGCAAGCCAGAACTGTCCTACTGTTCTTTGAAATCATAGCGGATTTCGTTGTCATCGAGTTCCCCGTACTAAACTTCCGCTAAGTATTTGTTCTCATCTTCCTAAACTTGCATCATAAAGTCGAGTACTGCAATGGCGATGTACAACTTGTCCCGCTGATCCTAGTACAATTAACTAGGCTTGATCCCGGCTCGACACTGAGATTGGGAATGACGTCAACGATTTAAAGATTGCTACCTACTATCACGAGCTTCGAAGGGAATGCAGCGATATTGGGAGTCATTGGAACTCTTTGTGAGATGGAAGGAGTCGTCAAGTGATCTGTCAACCTGCATGCGCAGGCACCTGTCAGCTGTACGGATTACTAAGAGGATCGTCATGACAGTGCTTAAAAAATGCTTGGTCTAGACTGAGGCTGTGGTGATCATCAACAGGTAGGTTTTGATCAAAAAAAAAAGGAATCGATCAGGCGATGATGGGGCTGGTCTTCTGGAAGGGCGTTTCAGAAGGCGCAGGAGAAACTCCCTGCGTCGACATGAAACGAACTGCAAGCGCAACGAACAGCGCGTTGCACATACCAGGCCCAGCCACATTGGCCAGACGCGTGGCGACTGGCGAGGACAGAGTGCAGCACTAAAAACTTCAGATCTTAGTTGCGATAAATATTGCCCAATACAGGCCCAGGGTCGCTGTCTGGCTCTTAGCAAGCGGGGTGGCGTGCAGTCAGAAATCAGAATTGCGAATGAATGCCCCGCTGCCAGGAGAATCAAGTACCGCGCACAAAGGAACAAAGAACCAACTGACTGGCGTTTCCTGGCTAAGAGGGGCGCACAGGAATGGGGCTTCCGGGAGGCTGTCCCACGAGGCTCTGGAATGTGGCGCTCGAGCAGAGCGCGATAACACTGGGATGATCATGATCTGATTGCGGCACAGGACTGGAAAAAAGGAAAAGGACATGTGGACTTAAGAAGACATTTGTTCTTTCCGTCGAGTTCTCCTGGAGCAGACGCGTGACCAGCTGAGTCTTGGGACGGGTGGCCTCAACGCGACCCCTGAAGGCGACTAAACTCTGGAGCAGCTCGAGGATAGCCGGGACGGGGCCATCGCCGAACCTTGTCTCCAGCGACTTGCCCTCGACTGCGCAGCCAGGGGATCCCGAGGCTATCTGACCCCTCTTGCCACCGTCCAGGAGATCGCAGAAGACAGCACAGCGCCTCCAGAACTGCCGATTCCCAGGGGCACGCTGCAGGGCACCTCCCTGCCCGAGGACGCATCGTAAGGACTCGTGGATTAATTGATTAATTGCCTGCCTGGGGCAGCTAGACACCGTGCGCTTCCCCACTGGGAAGCCGCCGTTGCCATCCCTGGGCCGCCGTTCCTCGCCCATCATTCGGGCGTGGAGTAACTAGCCGGCCGCTGCCCCGTGCCAACCGCCAGTGCTGGCCTCTCTCTCCGTCCTCCGTATCCTGCACCACCGTCACTCTTCTCCTTTCTTCCTGCGCTGTTCTCCTGCTCTTCTCTCCCATCGCTGTCCTCGCATCGCTATTCCATCGCTTCGTGTGCTGTCCGTCCTCGACGGATTCCTCCGTGCAACCCTGCGGATCCACCGTATCGATTGGCGCTTCAAGTCCTGCTGCATACCTGGCAACCGCGCGGCGATCCTCTCTCGCACCCACCTATTCTTTTTCGTCCAACACTCAGGAAACAACAGGGGGCCTACAGATATTTGATTCTCGTCCCTGCCACGCAATAATAAATCCTGCTGATTATCCACGTTTGACGACGAACCCCGATCCCGCCGCTGTGGTGAAACCTCCCGGCGCCAGAACCATCGCTGTTTCAAAGAGTTCCCACCTTTCGAGCCTGTAATATTGCTTTGACCGTCGCCTGCCATAGAGATCCTCAGGACTTGCTATCGACATCCACCGTGTCGTCACTGCTTAGCCTGCAGTCCTTTAGTCTTGCCGCCCGTGATTCGAACACGAGCGCGTGCCGCGACCCGTTGCCAGTGACTGCGACAGTCCTAACCTCTGCCCGGGAATGATCCCAGCGAGTGACTGAATCGCTCGTCCAAATTGAGTCCCAGCTGGATTTCACCCGGCTCCGCCGCCCATCTGCTTATCAGAGTTGACGCAATTCACCAAGTCCCAAACCACCCATACCCGCCCATCATGTCGCTCGCCCCGCTGTCTGCGCCAGGTTGGTGACCCTTTGTTTCGCATTCAATTCACTGCTCCCAGTCACCGGTGGTTGTCAAGGCCTCCCGCCCCTGACCGCTCCCTGACTCTGGCTTTCTCTTCGCAACCGACGGATCGGTTACGAATCCCGACAACTTTCCCTCTTTATGTCATCTCTCCGACTCTAGATCCTGAAGCAAAGGTTACTGACCCGGTTTGGCCTGCAATTTTGTAGAGCGCAAACAATCTCCCCATCTCAACCTGGGCTCCAATAATCCCTTTCGAAATCGTGCCCTCTCTTCGACCAGCAGCACCTCTCCTGCTTCCCCGGGGCCCAACAGTCGTCCGGAGAGACCACGGTCTACGAATCCCTTCTTAGACGAGACAGAGATGCAGTCCGCACAGGAAGGAGCAGGGAGCAACCACAATTTTGTCGGCAACGCTGCCGAGCTTTTCGTAAGTCGACGACTTTCTTATCTATCGATACTAGGGAAGCGATGGTTAATATCGTTTTGTCTTCCAGGAGAACCTCTCGCTTGATTCCTCAAAACCCAAAGAGCGCAGGCCAGCCCCTCCCCGTCCGGACAAGCCACAGCCGCGGTCTCGCTCCCGAGAACGATCGGACACGCGGGAAAAGGACCCGTTCGACATTTTCGCAGACCCTCCGGATACGAAGCGCCGCTCCCCGTCCAGACCTCGGGATGGACGTCCTCGCCCCCGTCGAAACTCGGAATCGTCGATCATGGAGAAGCCAAAATATCTCGATCCGGAAGAAGAGAAACGACGACGGGAGAGAAAACACCGCGACCGAGAGGGCCGGCACCGCGATGGAAAGCATCGTTCATCACGACGATCCCCTAACTACAAGCTCGACGTGATCGATAAGCTGGATGTCACCAGCATCTATGGCACTGGCTGTAAGTCTGCCGGTCGATTTCCTTCCCTTCAGCGCTAACATGCTCTCTGCCAGTGTTCCATCACGACGGTCCCTTCGACGCGTGCAATCCCCACCGTAATCGCAAAGGTTCCCGAAGGGCACCAATGGATGCGTTTCCGAAAGATTCCAAGAACATGGCGCTGGGCGGCATCGGGCCTAATAACTCGGAGATGGATCTGGCCCTGTTTCACGGTCAAACATCCGAAGGCTACTTGGATTACTCGTCAAGTGGGACGAAGAAAGATGCAGTGCCTTTTGACCCAACCACGCGAATTGAGCCCATTCATGGTGCGGAGAGTATGGGTCTCGGCACCAGTACGTTCCTGGAGGGCACGCCGGCGAGCCGCGCCGCCATCGAGCGACGTCAGAGCGAGAATGAAGCGGAGATGGCGCAGAACGGTGGGCTGCAACGCAAGAAGAGTCTGGCGCAGAAGATCCGGGGCATCAACCGGTCTGCGTCTGCCCGAGTGACATCCCCGGAACCAGTCCGGACCAGTGCCGCAAGCTCTGGACCGACTAGCAGCAGCTCCTACAAGAACAATGACAAGAACCCCTTCTTCCAGGACTACGATGAGGAGTACGATAAGAAGGGGGCCAAGATCGAAGAGGCCGGACGCAGCCGGGCTTCCAGCAGCCCGAAGCGAACGGCTGGATTGGAACGGAGAATCACAGACGACCGACCCAGCGGCTCGGGTGGTGGAGAGGAGAAGAGTAACGGAGGTGGCTTCATCAGCCGGATGAAGAGTATGAGAAAGAGCCGTCCCGAGAGGCGGACTACATCTGATTAAATCTACCTCGAAGCGAGGATCGGTGATGGACATCCGTATGCCCTGCTACACGATCGCACGGCCTGGACTCGCGTATGCCGTGTACTTCGCACTGACCCGATGTGGTTCTTTGTATCTTCTGCTATTCCTGCTATTGTCCTGCCAAGGAATGCTGGGACTTTCGATTTTTTTTTGCTGCACTTTTTCACAGGTTTGGGCAGTATCAGCTGGTTTCTTCTTTTTACTCCCCTCTGGCGCATGGATCTATGGCGACTTCGCTTGATGCGAGAATGGTCGAGCACAAGGCAGATCATTGTTGGAATGGGATTCTGCAAGTCAATGGGCGATGGCATTATTTGTATAAGTTGGTCGTCTTATGACTGATAGGGTTTTCTGATTCCCAGCCAGAAGTTGTAGTTAGTAGTTTGTTTATTTGTATGTGTAGTCGTGCCCAGATTGTTCGTAGGATTTTAATACATTGATTGCACTTTTGTTCGATTCTATGATTTCGAGTATTGAATCAATTTTTCTTTAGACCAGACACACATGTTTTATATGAGGCAGGCAGTAATGGATGCGCACATACGCATCGGGATGTTTCTCCATCCAGCCGCTGCTTTGCTCCCGCTTTACCAAACAACCCCATCTTTCAACTTTAGGACTACATCTATCTACTCCCTATCTAACCCTTCCCTCGAGCATAAACAAGCTCCTACCTACAGAATTGAAATGAGGAGATTCAATTCACATTCGCTAAATAAATAAATCAGGATTGATTGATAATTTAGTTTCCACAGAATTTCAGGATTGGACGCGTTCAACGAACTTTCATTGGCTGATGTTATTTTTCATCACTCCAGTCGCTATGGAATTGATTGATCTTATCTAACGTGAACCATCAACAAAAAAGACAATATGTCTTCTTCTGAACACCCTGCTGCTACTCCTGCTGCTGCTGCTACTGCTGCTTCCTCAGGGGTATACGCTGCTCAACCTGCTTTTCCGCTCCTCGCTTCGTCTTTACTGTCTAGATATTGTCATCATCAGAATTATCACAATCGCAATCATCATCAAGAGGATGATCAGAAGGAGCAGAATGATCATGATAATGCTACTGCAACTATTCCTGCTACAAACGACGCCAAGCCAACGACGGCATGGAATCTCATGACGGATTTTGAAAAGGGTGTGAGGACTCGAGACGACAGCGACAGCTGCAGCCACATCTTCCGATGCGGCACCACGATCGGATTTTCCTGGCTGAAGAAGGAGGGGTGGTGGAATGCGCGTGGACTTCGATCGGTGGAGCAGGAGGATCAGTGTAGGGAGAGGGTTGGGGAGGTGCGTATTGCATTGCCTTTACGTTCGTTGTCCAGGTGTCCTCTCATCTCCTTCATTTGATTGTTGAAGTATATCTGCATATCTGCTGCTAACGCATTACGTCTTTTTTCTTTTATCACGACCAGCTACCTCGAAGACTCCTCGCCTCTCTCCTCCTAAGAAGTAAAGAGAGCAGTCGTTCATCTCCACAACCAAAAGCATTCATCATCCACCCGAGCAATTCCAGCACTTTTGCTCCAGAGACATTACTGCAGGATGTACTGAGTCTTGACCGTCGTCATCATGAACCTGCTGTTTCGTCATTACTATCTCGCGACGAGGCCATCACCCTCCTAGACGCCGTCCAGCTTCTTGCCGTGTATGACTTTCCCAGCGCTGTGCAGGCTATCAGCCAGGTGTCGGATGCGCTGCATGAACTACAGCAGGGACGACGAAAACACCCCTCGGGAGAAGAACAAGAAGAAGAGGAGGATGAACCCATCCTCCTCATCGTCGAAGGCCTAGACGCCCTAACAGAGAGCGTAATCCGCACCTCCAACCCCCTCCGCGGCAGCGCCCTCCTGATGCCTGCGCTGCGGACGCTAACGCATCTATCGCGGGCGTATGCGTCGTTTCTGTCCGTTTTGCTGGTCAATACCCTCGGACTGGGGGGAACAACATCAGCAGGAGCATATCAAAAACCGGCATCTGCTGATAATACTCCCCAGTCCGTTCCCATTACTGTTACAGAAGATCGAACCCGAGCATCGATACTAAATCCCGACGATGGCGGCTTACAGTCTATTTTCTTTCGCTCAGCATCAGCATCAGCAGGGTCATGGTCAAGAGCAGGAGCAGGAACAGGCTCACTCCTCCCAACCCTCCTATCGCGCACCCTCGACCAAGGCATCGACTCGCACCTCCTGCTTTCGTCGGTGAAAGGAAAGAGCGTTGTCGAAGTGATTAAGGATCGGACGGGTGATGGGGTTGGGAAGTGGTGTGTTTGGGGGTAGACCTCTCAGACACCATAATGAAAGCATATGAATTATTTGAGGAAACAGAAAGGAAGGATAAATGAACGCGGTTGACGATGATATAATATTATTATGTACACATAGAGTACAGTGCAATTACTACTAGGAAGTTTATCTCCAGACGAACCCACAGATCTAGATGATCTAGATGCCTAATTAAATTATATCTGAATCTGATATCTGATCTATTTATTCTATGAAGGTATGGATGGATAACATAACATGCATGATTGATTGACTTCATCCCTAACCAAACCCAACCAATAAATCAACCAGCCAACCAGCCAGAAGAAAAGACAGACCAACTCCACCAACTCCAACCCCATAATAAATAAATAGACATAATAGACATAATACAATATATTACACTCACTCAACTGTTTGCTGCTCAGACTCCCTCTCAGCCCACATACGCAAAACAGCCCGCTCAACGACTGCCTCGGCCTCGCGCTCGCACTTCCGTAGATCCTGCTGCACCATGCTCTCCTCGAACAAGACGTCTTGCTGGTGCACCTTCACCCACTGCTTGTGCCGCTCGCAGCGCTTCTTCAGACAGACCCCCCGCGCAAAGGCCTCGAAGTCGTGGTCGTCGCCATCATTGGCGTCTGCGTCAGCCATCTGGTGATCGCCGTCGGCGTCAGTGGCAGTGGCAGCACCATTGTCCACTGGCTCTGGCTCCAGATTTCCCTCTTGCAACGCCTTCTTCCCCGCTTCTGAGAGCCGCCACTCGTCGAACTCGTCGTCGTTCCACGACAGCCGCGAATCGAACCCGCAGATGTCCTTCCAGCCGCCCTTCGGGTCTGTCTGCTTCAGCCGCTCCAGCACGTTCTTTGCCCGCTGTCGCACCAGCGCGAGGAACTGGTTCCGCGCCCGTAGCATCTCCCTGCGATAGAGCAGGTCGTCGCGCTGCTTTCGGAGCTTCTGCAGTTTCGCCTCCTCGTCCAGGGAATATGTCAGGTTCGGAGGGTGGAAGTCCAGGCCCATCTTGTTACTGTGCGCATTGTTCTGTTGGTTGTTGCCATTGGCCTCCCCTGCTGGTGGCGGCGGAGGCGGCGGCGGAGGTGACACCAAGCGATCTCCCAACCTGCGAAATTCCTCTGCGGAAGAGACGCCCATGATGGCGGCCTTCAAGTCCCCCGCAGTCAAAACGCCGCCTCGGCTGCCGAGATCCTCGAGATTCTCCTTGTCATCCTCTTCCTCGTCGTTGGTGGCTGCTCCGTCCTCCATGTTAGAATCAACATCGCCCTCGACACTGTGGCTATCCCTGTGGTGATCCTTTGTCGTTCCGCGACGACCATTAGGACCAGACTGTTGGCCAGACGAAGAGCTCTTCAAATTCAGATGCTGGGTCATGCGTCGAAAGAATTCACGCCCGTGTTCGTCCGAACAATACTTGCTCGGGTTTTTCTTTCTCAGACGGGCCGGTTTCCTGCAGCCTTTTAATCGACACATTGGTTTCCATGTTGTCTTGCCCTTTCCTGCCGCCTGACAGTTTGGACCTAAGACATGTCAGCCCAGAATACGCTGTAAATAGAGGAAAATGAAGTGGGAAGATACTTACAAATATACTTGTCGATCAAGTCTGCGTCTTGCGGGTCAATATTCACACACTTCCCATGGAACCAGTCCTCACAACCACCATCACACCCGATCATCCATGTATGGTTGTCGGGCTTGCGACAGATGCAGAAAACCTCGTCTGCGTTCACATCGCTATCCTCTTCTGCTGCCTCTCCCTCCGGCGCGTTCTTGGCAGACTTCTTCCTACCACCTCTCTTATTTTCGGGCTTATTATCAGGGGCTGGAGACCCTGCCACAGAGGCAGATCCTTGTTTCTTGCCTGCAGGATCCTTGCTCGCCCGAGACGACGGCGTATTAGAACGACCATCGACACTATCAGCATCGAGGTTGTCCACTTTACGTTTCTTCGGCGCGGTCTTCTTGGTTGCCGTGCCTTTCTTCGTCGATGCTGACGACTTCCTTCCACCGGGTCCGAGCTTCGATGGAGCCGATGGCGACGATCTCTCGGAAGACGACGCCCGCGACATCGATCCACCCTTCTTAAGGTCGCTGATCTTTTTCGGCGTTGGGTGTTCATCGGGAAGGTCACTCCCGTCCAGCTGGCCGAGATGGGTAGTGACGCCCTCAGTAGAGCTCATGGGGACTTTATCTAGGCTTGTTGCTGATGGTTCGGTTTTCACTTTCGGTCCCAAGTCTTCTTGGCCGTCTGCTGCTGTAGGCTCTCTGATGCTTTCCAGTTCGTCATAAAGATCAGCCCATGCCTGCTCTTCTGCCGACTCTTCCCCAGGAGTCGCTAGGTAGGACCGTTCTGGTGTTCGCAGTTGACGATGGACGCGTTTTGCTCTGTTAATCCCGAAGAAACCGCTTCGACGCCAGCCCAGGATCCCCACTACTCGACCATTGTTGACTATAATATTGGATCGTGTCATATCATTGTGCACTAGACACAGGTTCTCCCCATCTTCCTTCTTCGCAAAGAGGATCTCTCGCTCGAGCTCTTGCATATCTGGTTGCGATACTGTGTTGAGACCTTGACAGACGTACGAAGGAGCATCGGGAGATTTATCGGCGGACGCAAGACGTTGTAGGATCTGGCGACACTGCAGCTTGAGATTCTGTCGCTCCTTCTCGGGTAGATATCTCCATGCCACCTCCAGGGACACGCCCGGTATTCGAGACTCCACCGTCACATTTTTCCCGTCAATGGTCCCACAGAAGAGTATCGTCGGCACGGCGACATTCAGGTCCTTCAGGACATCTTCTGCCTTCCTCGCTGCACATAGCTCGTTCGCATTCAGGAAAGAGTATCTCTCCGCAGCAGGCCCGTCCGACGCCTCCTGGTCTACCCGGATGATGACTTTGCCTGCGGCGAAGGCAGCCCTTGTCCCGAACTCGTTCAGAAAATTCTCGGGCGTACAATACTGCTCCAATACCTCCTTCCAGTAAGGTACTGACTCCGGCTCGGATCCGTACCAGTAATTGTAGCGAGGGGTGAAATCGTCAGGGCGGGGAGTGTAGCGACCGTAGTGCGGACTACGCGCGAGGTAGGGGTCATTCTCCGGTACCTTTTTGGGGTCTGCCTCGTAGGGATTGACTGCCATCTCCGTAGAAGTGATTGACATCCCACAGCGTCAATCTCCTAGAAGCGTAGAACCATCAACCTGTCAGCTTCTCTTGTTGTCACGCCCCTCGAACTAAGCACAAACACCGGTATCCGAGTGACTAACCCACAACCTGAGCCTCGAGATTATAAGGGTTTCTCCGACGCGGTGTTGCTTCGACGAAGGAGCATGATGTAAGGTGTTGGATGTTTCACTCGCGATTCATCGGTGAGGCCCGTGTCGACACGAGAGCTGAGCCGACGGCTGCTTATGGCGTCTGAGAGCGAAATTGCATTGATATTCCACTCATCCGTAAGGTGCACAAGAACCGAGATGTTGAAGAAACGATGATATTCTGCGTGGACAGGTTGACGTCAAAGCAGTCTCGGTGGGTATTGTGTCCAGTCAGACTGAGGCTTTCCGTCGAAACACGCTGGTTTGCTGACGAGTTTGCGCTTCCAATCACGTCCGAAGTAGTTTTTTGAAATGTCTGCAAAGAGTATGAAAAGGAGGTGTGCAATTCTAATGTCAAGGATCTGTCGCGTGCAGCTGGAAAAAGCGTGGCAGCGGAGTCGGAGTTCTGCCGCGACGGCGCGTTGGCAAGTGCGGGGACTTGAAAGTTGAACCCTTCCCACTCATTTCCTCGATACGGATATTTACTGCCTGCACCGACTTAATTAAGGTCGAACTTCCAGCTATGTCGAACACATAAGCATCATGTTTGATGCTGGATCTCTTCACTGCATATTGAGGAGTACGACAGCACTCGCCATGTCCTAACCAATATCCTACGAGCGGAAGGAAGAAAGGCAGTTTGTTACATGACGAGCTCAACAACCACACAAACTCTAGACTTTTGGTGTCTAAAACGTTTGGACGGAGATTATCGTCCGCTCTTGTGTATCAGTATTCAGTACAATGCTCTACAATCTGTACTCCGTAACTGCCAAGGACAGCTACTCTGCTGCCAGCATCCATCTAGTCTGTTGCTATATCCCATTGGCCTGGCAAAAAATTAAGAGATATTTAGTGTTGCAACGCTTTCGTCGTTCTTGCACAACAATTTGGCATCTCCTCTAGACTCCATGCTTAATCATTGATAAACTGCGGGGACTATAGGCTGCCATGCAGCAAGTGCATGTGATTGAGCAACCAACTCTAGAAGAATTCGGAGTCTCAGGATAATGGATTGATGACCTAGTTGGATCTGGTCAGCTCAATCTTCCGAGCAGGCGATCAGACTCTAGGGATGTGACATGGACTGCGCTGGATGTTGCATAGACTGATGTGTACGTCTAAACGCCCTATACAGGGTAGTTTCCCTCCATGTTTCTATCCGCAGTAGATAGCACACAATTAAGCAGGCGTATGTAGTGCCGACATCGCAGATGTACATCATGCAACTCCGAAATCTCATGTATGCAGGTTGACAGTTAGCCACCTACTGAATCGTGGTTCCAGTCTCTGTTCTCATTCTTGTTGCGGCTTGCATGAGACGTCTTGTCATTTGCTCCGACTCGAGTCCGTCAATGGACCACCACAGGGGTGCAGACTGCAGGGCAGCATATCACAGGCGCCAGTGTAGTCCTGTTTTAAATTCATTGATGCCACTGCACATCTTTCGATTTGAGTCACACTCTCTTTGCATTAGACTCGAGCAGCATGACTTGGTAGAGTTTTTTCGACGATAGCTTTTCTCCGTAGTGATTGGGAACTCCTGGCCTCTCAGGATTAATTATGCGCTATGTTTTGAAAACGTGTCGTCAGTATTCACATCTTTGGTATCTTTCATCTTGCAGACTCCGAACTCCCAATATTTTCTATTAACAGTATGTCACCGGCAAGGTCAATATACTAGGAACTGATAGCCGAACAGCTGCTCACCTGCAAGAGGAACATAACGCATACTTCAACGGATGGATATGCAACTGTTAATTATCACCGGCGATAAAATAATATTAGCTCTGAGTGTGTACCATCGTCAGTTAACACTGGAATCATACGATAATACGTGCCAAGCGACCAGGATCGAGACGGACGGTCTGGAGATATCTGCTGTAAAGGCCTAATTTCCGCCGTATATCCACCCAGAGGTTCTCTGTCAAAAGACCGGTGGCTTATCTGATTGTTTGGTTAGCTCAACTTAGTAGCAATTTGGACGGTTCCATTATTAGGCGTCGATTGATAAAGTAAAGCCACAATAATAAACCTGAAGTCCCAAAGTCCTAATGCTTACCTATCTTCTGGCAACCTGCATGAAGCGCCTGTCTGAATTTTTTTTCCGCTGGGCTAGTAGATCGTAGAACAATCGATCCTTAGCCTTCACAACGATGCCGTCATACGGCTGATCCTTGAGTCCAGGTCGTACCGTTGTAGTGGCAAGATGTCCGTGCATGTTGACATAAGATCTTAGTCTCTGACATTCAAAATCCTGTCATGTTTCGAACTTGTAGTCATGGCGAGTTAGCGCCATCCGATCTATTATTAGATTCATCTTTGGAGAATCAATCAAACCCTGCAAGTCTTGACCTGTTCAACGCACAGTATAATTCGCAGATCATTCAATCTTTATCCACATCCAACGGTCCCAATCTTGTAACGAATCCGGAGTACGGAGTACGGAGTAATCCTCCGTATGCTTGTGCTGATCTTCACCGCTTAAAGGTTATCAGCTCGTTCTCTAGCCTGGTCGAGGTCAGCCCCAAGTCGCATCGCCCTTCTTATTGGCCATCATTCTCCTCGACAGCCACGTTCGGGCGCCAGCAGAGACAGTCTCCAACTATTAGGGTATCGTGCTATGTGGCGCTGGCGTACGGCGTGAACTGCTTGAGTAGGATGATCGGAGGCGCCTCCCGCGACCCATGTTCCTGGCTAGATCTGTGGGGCTGTCAACTCCATTGAACCCCGTTTCAAGTGGATTATCATCAACAGCTCGCGGGCTAAGACGGTTTCATTTCTTTTCTTGACGTCGGAAGTATACAGAGTAGAGACTGTCACTGTGTCTGTCGACCATCTGGCGTTCTGACTGATTGATCCGCCGTTGCAGTCCTGGCCAGCAGGCTCCCAGGCAGTCTCCGCTCCTGAATCCGGTTGTCTCAATGCAAACAGTCAATGGCGTGACCGCACTGTGTGTAAAGTGTGAAAGATCATTATCTGCACCAGTCTTTCTGAGATCTAGCAAACATGTCGAACACAGACAAGTCTGGACAGAAGCGGTGGCAGTTCATCGACTCGTCCAAGGATAATGCGGACAATTTGACCCGAGTCAAGCGCCATGTCATGCAGGAGTATATGCGCCAGAAGCGTCTCGAAGCCCAGCGGCGAGAGGGCATGACAGAGAGCAGCGGTGATGATGGGCGGAAGTCACAGACCAGGAAGCGCCAAAGACCAAGGAGGACGCAGACAGCAAAGTCCTCCAGCTCGACGACAAGCGGGGAAACCAGCAGGCGAATTGCGGTGAAGAAAGAATCGCGCGAAGGCACGGAGGACGAGGCGGAGGAAGTCGTGCGGTTCAGTCTCTCCAAGGAAGCATCGCCGCTGCAGACGATGCTCAGTGCCGCTCGAACAGATCCATTCGACACGCTGCCACTGCGGCTGAGCCCAGAAGACCAGCATCTTTTTGATTTCTATGTGAACGAGATGCCCGCGTGCTCCTATGGAAGCCACTTTCGGACGAAGAAGGCGCACAACTGGTACACGGAGGTCTTTGTGCCCGAGGCGATGAAAGGCGCCCTCACTTTCGTCAACACGATTCTCGTCCACGCCGCAAACACGTGGGCCTGGGTGCACAACCAGACAGAGACCACGAGCACTCTGTTGCATCGACAGCGGGCAATCTCCATGCTGAAAAACCATATGAACAAGTTCCCCCATGATATCTCGGATAACGCCATCACTGCCTGCATGAGTGCCGCCGCGCTGGAGGACTTTGATCCTCGACCAGAACGCAAGAAGATCAGCTGGATACACATGCGACAGGCTCAACGGATGATTCGAGATCGAGGAGGACCAGCTGCGTTCGAGAACACGAAGCTGGCGATGCTGATCAACTGGCAGGACTACATCCTGGCGGGTTACGAGACCAACGGACCCAGCTTTTACTACGAGCACAACCCATCCTTCCCCCGACTAGCTGGGGACGTCATTCCTGCTCTCTCTTCTGCTGCGTCGTTTGTCTCCTCCTTGCCATCTCCACCAAATTCGACCTCTTCTGTCTCTCCTGGTCGCACTCGCACTCCATCTCCCTGTTCACGATCCGCCGTCCGCCACAGTCGTTTCCCACTCTTACCCGAGCAGGAAGTACGACTGCAGTGCGAGGAGTTCATCGACTTCCTCAACCGCTGCGAGCAGCTCGCACAGCGTCAAAGGGGGTCTCTTCCAAAGAGCAGTGCACCCACGCGCCACTCGGTTTTTCAGGAAGGCTCCATCCTGCACCGGATCCTCGCATCACCTCCGGGGCGACGCTTTACCGCGACAGGGAACCGGAAGCAGTTCATTGCACGCCTCGCGTCGGCGATGATGATCAATGCCGCCCTCTGGGACTACCGCTCGTCAATCCCACGGACAGAGGCCTTCCTGAAGAGTCTGGAGCAGAGGGTCCTGGACAGCGAAGTGGACATGAGCGGGTCCGTCGAGGCCCTTCTTCAGATCCTTCTCGCATGCAAAGACGGCTTCGACGAGGATGAATCATCCGTCAACAGTCCTTACTACTCACCTCCCGAGCTCCATCATGACGCTCCCGATTTTTCGCAGTATTCTGCAACGGCGACCTCGCCGTTCGCGAGACCTTGGTTTGTCGGCCGGATGCTGAAGATCGCGAAACGACTCAGTCTGGAGTCGTGGATGCACGTCAACAGTCTCCTCTTTTCGTGCTTGACGCTCCAGATCCAGCAGCCTGTCATGCCCTCCTGGGAGAGTGAGCTGCGGCGCGAGATTCTCGAAGCTCCGTTGACGAGCTACGTGATGCGTGCGTTGCAATAGAGGCCGTCTTTTTTTTGTTTCTTCTACTCTTGTGTTCCCTCTGTATTGTAGATACCACTATATATCCTTTTGTTTTTTTTTCTGGCGCATACGGCGATTAGATATTGTATTGACAGTTGCTGTTCATTTCTTTCCTTTCGGACTCGATCTATTCTATTCTTCTTTTTTTAATTCATTTACTATTACTATGATTATGATAGGGTCAGTTATTAGGGTATGGATATCCAGGAGACGGAGATCGAAATTGATGGACAGAGGTGTGAGGGCGTACAAAACGTACAGTACAAAATGCTTCTACCGCTACGTATTGTTTTCACTTTCTAATACAATGTCTACGCTTTATACGTCTTCTTTTTTTTGCCCCTTTTTATCTTTCCAGAAGTACGGAGTAAGTAAGCAGATGCGCGTAGAAGTGCAGTACTTCTATTCGTAACATACCTAATGTAGGTATCTACTGTATCTGTTCAACTTCGTCTTCGCTAAAAATAAAAATAAAAGTCTCTCGTACCTTGTAAATTGATTGATTGATTGATTCATTCATTCATTCACTGATTATTTATAGATACACCATCGATTATCAATCAATAGCTAAATAAAGATAATGAATAGAAAATATGACACGGAATCTCATGAAAAAGTCAAGAATTTCTCATTTCCCCGTGCAATAAATTGTAGTATATATAGTTGAATTTATTTATTTAAAGGTTGATCGTCCCGCATTTCCCGTCGTCATCTGTGGACTGTGTGGGAGAGTATCTATCTATCTCAACCGTGTTTGATGCGAATGGATCCGTTTCTGCCATCATCACCATCAGCATCACCATCATTGTTGTTTCCATTGTTGATGGCGTTGTTGATGGCAATGTCGTCGCTGTGGACATCGCCAAAAATCTCGCCCACGTCTTCGAGCGACCGGCCCACTGTTTCCGGGTACCAGAACCAGACGATAGCTGCACCGGCCCAGTTGAAGGCCGTGAAGCAGTAGAAGAAGCGATACCCCAGCCGGCTCAGGCCGATGGGCCCGCACTGCGCAAAGACGAGGTTGAGACTCCAGTTCGTGAAGGTCGAGAGGCTGGTGCCGCGGGCGCGGATGGCGGTGGGGAAGATCTCGGACGGATACACCCAGGAGATCAGACCTAAGGCCGTGAAGAACAGCGTGAAGACGAAAAACATGCTGATGGCGGCGCGGAGGGCGGCGGCGTTGGTGGACGAGTCTGGGTTGAAGTAGTGCGCCAGGGTGGCCTCGACGCAGAGGGTCGCGCCCATGCCCAGCATCGACGGGATCAGGAGCTTGCGCCGTCCGATCCGGTCGACGAACGCCATGAAGACCGTGTTCCAGAACACGGCCAGGGCGCCCCAGATGCCGATTATCATGAGCGAGGTGGACGTCGACAGGCCGAGGGTGGCGTAGATGCGCGGACCGTAGTACTGGATGACGTTTGTGCCGGAACACTGCGTGAAAGCCTGGATCCCGCATGCAAGCAGGACTCGTTGGCGCGAGCGAGGGTGCGCAAAAAGCTGTCGCCAGGATCGGGCAACCGTACGGCGTTCGACGTCGATAGTCTCACGGATCCGCAGGAATTCGTGCTCCACGAGATCCCTGTTCGACTCTGCACGGTTCAGATGCAGGCGAGTAAGAACGGAGCGGGCTGTCTCCTCTTTGCCATGCTCGATGAGCCAGCGAGGCGTCTCGGGGACGAAGAGAGTCCCACCGGAAATCAGAAGGGCTGGGATGACCTGGAAGGACAGCGGGAAGCGCCAGGAGAAAGAGTCCGTGTATAGCGAGCAGCCGTATCCAACCCATTGCTGAGATTATCAATATAAATAAGCGCCTAGCTCTATAGATACGGCTGCTTTATAATAAACTTACAGCCACCATGATTCCAACCCCGATCATCCACTGCTGCATCGATCCCAAAAGTCCTCGAATGCGTGGGGGAGCGACTTCAGACTGAAACGCATGTCAGGCAAATACCATGAATTATGGACAAGTCCAACTCACACAATACACTGGAATTGTCGCGGACATCATACCAACCGCCACGCCCGCGATGAAGCGGCCAGCTATGAGCATGGCCAGGGTGACGCAGCCTCCTTGCAGAGCTCCACCGAGAGTCGCCAGAAGGCCGCCCAGAAAGACAACGACCCGTCTTCCATAGGTGTCGGATATGAATGAAACTACAGCCGAACCGACAATTGCTCCGCCTATGATGAAGGTTGGCAGTGTCAGAAGCGTTGCACCTATTTCACTAGAAAGGGGACGAAAAAGCAGACCTGTATACGACGAGACGATTCCCCCCGTGGCAGCATCAGTCAAGGAGCCTCCAAACTTGGCGACGAAAGCAGGCTGGGCGATGCTGGACGAGATCACGCCGGAGTCATAGCCGAATAGAAACGAGCCCAGGGCAACATAGGCACAGCAGAAACTGACAAGGAGGTACGCCATTTGCAAGGCTATCGTTGAACGGTTAACCACAGATCACTAATAATCCAGACCAGATAAAATCAATGGCGGCATCGTTGATATATCGTCGGGTCACCTTCGACCGGCCGTAACAGTTAGTTAGGGAGAGGCAGCTGCATTTACTTGCGCGTTTGTTGCAACGAGAGAGAGGACTCGCTAAAGTCGAAGCGGGGAAGGATGGACGGCTGGAAAAAAAGAGAGAAAAAAAGGACGATGTTTCACATAACCCGTTTGTTGTACTGTACAACAATCAGGTAGAGATCTTCAGCCAAACGAACAGGGGTGGATGCAGATCAGCCAAATGAGATACGACGGGAACGAACGGTCCCGGTTTGCGACATGGATATCCCAGTCGCAGTCAGGGTGCAGAATCCATAGCTGAGAGCTGAATGGAGGTTGAGAAGGAAAGCGATGCAACTCGTCATTCTTCAGAGAGAAGACGCCTGCTTTCTTTTTAACCTGAAGTCCAGCATTCCCCTGAGGATGCTGTGCTGACAGCGGTGGGGAAGATCATGTCAAGCTTAACTTAAAATAAGAGCCGGCCCACATCAGATGTTCCTTAAATTCTCCTGACAGCACAAGACTTCTTGCTCCACAGTCAATGAATGACAGCTGTCAAATTAAATAGTTCGGATGATCAGTGAAAAGCATTAGATAAGAGTCTGATAAGCTTAGCTCGTACCCGGTATTAATACGAGGTCAAATCTACCTAATTATAGCGCAAGATTAATGTTATCTAGCTCCAATAAGTCTCCTAGGCTAACCCTTACATTCATCGAATGCTGCCTGGTGGCCTTCTTAGGTGTCCATCTTATTTTCCAAAGACAACCGACGGAGAAGCAGAAAAGCATGACCCAAAGATTGACCAGTCGACGCGGATTGGAGACGGAAGCATAAGAGTGAAAGTGAACTTCTACCCCAATGATCTCCGTCGCCCAGTTAGCTGTTCTCATTTGAGCGGCAGGGAATGAGAAACACCAAGTGGGAAGTGTGGAAACCTGGGGAGAATGATGATGCTTCAAGCAGCTTGGTTAGTCATCGTCCTAGAAACTACCGACCATGATTATGAAGATGGGAAACTGTTCATCAACAGCACCATCGAAAAGCAGGTAGCGGCGAAGGCCAGTGAATATTAGTAGTCCTCCTGGTCTACGCCGGCTAGGCCGGACACGAGGGGATCCTAAACGTCTGCTGTAAGTTGGTCTGGATGAGCAGCGTTCAATTCGAAGTGTGTCCTCTCGAACTTCATTTCCTGATTAGCACTCACTTACTTTGCAGGAACTTGCCTTGCGAATCTCTTGCGATACGATATCAGGTCATTTATCCAACTGTGTCTTCCCTCGTTCTATAGAATTCCTGAGACAATCAAATCCAATCCCCCTTACCGTTGAGGTAGGCAATACCCGTGCACTCTCAGAAAACTGCGCGTTGGGTCAGGTGAACTCTTGTATAATTCTGTCATAGGACTTCAGCGGGAAGCTTGCTTTTTATTTTTTTAATTTTCCCTGTTTATCTGGGTCTGAAAATCAGAGAGCTTTTCACATGACATAATCTTCAAGGCCGTGGTGAATACCGTGAGGAAATGAGGGCGGCTCCATTGACGAAGTCGTGGGACCTCTACAAAAGAAAAAAAGAAAAGAAAAAGCAGAAATAGTGTAGTATACAAGTGAGTCATTTACTACGCAGAAGCTGCATATACTTAGTATACTTATTAGTAATTAATACCATACCTAACAGCTTCTGCTCTACGGAGTAATAGGAATAATTTTGCCTCTTCTAGCTTCTTATTGTAAGCTTGATTCCGTCATAAATAAGGAAAACCTTAAGTAGTAAAACAGAGTGATTATCTTATCTAGAAACCGGTCTCGTTGCACAATTGATCTAGCAAATAAATTATTTCTTTAAATATAGTATAATACTTGCTTTCCAATACCGTAATTCACTATACAACTATTATGGTCTCTTTGACTCAGGTACCTATCCTAGCTTCATTATGTCATGTCATGTGGCGTGTACAATATGGAATGTGTTGATTGATAATGAAAGAAACCCCCGAACCCCACCCTGGATTTGATTCTCTTAAATCAACGTCTGCAAGACGGCCCGCAGCGGTCGCCATGTCCCACTTCCTTTCTATTATTATTCTCTGAACGATCTTCTTGGCTTTCAGGACAACGATCCAAAAATGGGAGTTACTCACATTGTCTTATTTCAATTCAAACCCGGCGTTAGCGCCGAAACTATGAAAGATGTATGTGCGTTAGAATCTGTCTATCTATCGATCGATCGATCGATCTAAAAGAGCAAACCATATTAATCAGGTTATCTCACAAGGTCTGTGCACGCATGCTCGCGCTGAAAGATCAATGCATCCACCCGTCATCGCAAAAACCTTATATCAAAGCTTCCAGCGGGGGTATAGACAACTCGATTGAGGGGATTCAGGTAATATTTTATTACAGCTGATATCTATCTGTTCCTGCCGTCTCTGTCTTTATATATTTTATGACCTCGCTAATTTGGAACAAGCACGGCATCACGCACGCATTCGTCGTGGAGTTTGAAAGTGCTGAAGATCGAGATTATTACGTCCAGAAGGACCCTGCGCATCGGGCTTTTGTGGAGAGCGTTGGAAGCGTTCTTGAAAAGGCTCAGGTTATTGATTTCACTCCGGGGGTGTTTTGAAGGAAATAAATCTTGGATCCAATGCAGAAAACTCGCTGTAGATAGACGAAGTAAGGAAATAACTGCAGCGATACGCTTTATGGGCTAGATTCCATCCAGACAGACAGACAAACAGACAACAAGGGTAATATCTGCCCATGGATTGTAATTACTCTCCGATATTATTTCTCTCACGTACGTATGCATGGTACTGTACATTCGCACCCCATGGAAAAGCTCCGGTAGTCAAGTGACCATACTCGACACGTAAATAATAACAATGATATTGACATCACAGTTGGCTGATATGCATCAAACCTGAGTCAGTTCCGAAGGGCGATTGTCTGAATCAAAGGAGTCAACGTTGACCTGTGCCTACGGCGAGGCTGCATTCCTTGTTTGTAATGTACTTGAGAATCTCAGTGAGACCTAAGATTCCCCCCCCCCTTCCCCCCCCCCCCTTGTCGATCCATCAACTGCATATCTCTACCCTTCAACACAGGTCTGAAGTGTTGAAGGTATCACGTCAACATCTGGTGTTCTCTACGGAGTACAGTATATTCTTGTTGTTTTCAATAATAGCTTTCTGTCAGTTGACCTCTGTATTGTATTACTAGTTGGAAAAAAAAACGACAGTCGAGGCAAAACTTCCTATACGCTGAGACATATGCCTCCGCCGATCTGCCCTGTATCGAGTTAGCTCCTCGCTATGACCTGCACCACCTGCAGTGTTAATCACATATCATTCTTCCTGCTTATGCAGTCGCCGCGTCTAGATTTAATTAACCGTTAGGAGCAGGTAAGACAAGAGACAAAAGATAAAAAAAAATTTCTTTTTGCCCCTTTTTCCTAGTTTCTTCTGTTGGGCTGGAAAAAAAAGGAACTTTTAAGTATTTATTCCATGAGTCCCTCGTATTATGGCGGCCAATAATAAGCATGCCCATTCTTTGCAGACGTCAGGCCGCTTGGCGGTGTTACGTATGAAACGGTTTTTATAGCGGCGAGTTCCCGTGACAGAATTTTCACTAGCGCGCCCCACAGAGTTCCATAAGGTTACTTCAGCCCCTTGGGCGGCGGTAATAGAATACGCCATGTACTCCGTAGTCTGCGTGCATAGTCCGTATTTTTATTTGGCCGCCCAGCCTCTGTCGCAATTCATTGCTTCGCGACCAGGCTTGGGAAGCGCTTATATTGCCATGGCACTAATGGCGCCAACCGTGTCGATCTTCCACAGCGTTGGACTAACGACATACGAAGTACGGAGTACGGAGTCGATACTCCGTAACCCTATGTAGGCTCCTACTCCGTCGTACTATCTGGCTCACGGCGAATGTCGTGTCCACTCTCCCATGTGGACTTTGCAGCAAGGTTGGTTCCACTGGGCACGGACTAAGCTTTTTGTGACGAGCCAGTCAGCAGCCGTCGGAAGGCATCGATCAGATAAGCCCCGACGATAGCACGCGCTTCTCTCCGAGCAACGCGCCCTTCTGATTCGCCCAGCTGGTTATATTACCAGGATACATTCTCAGCATCGAGGACACCTGCCCGTTGACCTTCCTGGGTCAGCCGCCGGTCAAGCCATGGATTATTAATATTACTTGACGATAACATGCAGCTGGTCAGCCCCGTTGCGAATTGGCCGTTTACTCGCCTGGACAGAGCGCAGGAAAAAGCTTGTTTTCCAGCGCAGGGCGGCCTACGTGATGACTCGACCGTTTTCGGACAAGTGAAAGCACTCGTCGGGTGTCTCGTCGATATCTGTACCCCAGACCCGGAGTGCCTTGTTTCTTCTTGGCAGTGCCATAGTGTCTCTTCAATGCTTAGAGAGAGGTATATTTGTGGTGCTAGTTGGGATGGCTGCGGTCGCTGTGGCGTTGGGTCCGGCCGGGCGCTTGTCCACCCCTGGATTGGAGGCTCGCTCTTGTCGCCGGGCTTCCCCTCCCCCTCCTGCCAGGCGTCGGAGTTAACACTGCTAAATTAATGCCTCAATGAGTCACGGTCGCGCGTCCATCGCTGGGCCTCGCTTAGGGTTCTCCTCTTCAATCGAGCACCGTCCGGCTCGATTGAAATTTATCGACCAGGGACACAGTCCTCTAGCCCTGCAGCTTCGGTATTCGTTCCGATGCCTGCGTCCTGTAGAGAGAGCGTCGGAGTTAAATGTGCTCCGTCCTCTGCAGCTTATCTCCCCGCCCTTCCCAGGAATTCGTCCCCGTGCATCCGCCACACACGACGGTGCGCGCTCTCTCGATCGAGTCTTGCGAGCGAGGCGACTGTCCGCTACGATCGCCGCGAGCGGATCTCGTTTTGCCCGATCCTTGGGCGCGCTGGATGCTCAGAGCGACTCGACCCTGGCGGCAGGGTCCTGCCAGATTCGGCACGGAGCGCTCTCCACTGGCCTGCTGGGCCCAGCGGGCACTAACTGACCAACTAGGAACTCTCCCAGGTCGCTCTTTCTGGTTCGCGGCCTCTCCAGACCTCGACCTGCTCTCCCAATCGAGACCATTCCCTTTTTCTCTCTTTCCTCTGCTCTCCCTGCCTCTTCTCTTTGTCCCCGCTGGACTTTGTTGCGTCCTGCCTCGCCCCGTCCTCGCTGTGTCTCTTCTCTTTCTCCTTGTGGCGCAGTTCTGACATCACGTTCCCGGGCGCAATTGCTCTCACCGCTTTGGCCGCTCGTCTGAATGAACTTTGTCCTGCGGTTCCACTGCTGCGGCCTGTGACGATTCGTCTCTTTTTTTTCCCCGATTCGAACTTCTTTCGTTCGTTTTTGTAGGTCTCTTGTTTTCTTTTGCTAGACGTCCTGAAACTCCCTTCGGTGCTTAATCGACGTCGTGTCGTGATCGCCGCTAGTTTTTACCCGAGAGAGCACGACAAAGACTGTGACTCTTGAGCTGCGCGCTTATATCGCGCCTAGGGCTGAGCCGTTATCAACCCCTCCGTCGTGTCGGACTATCCTATGCAAGTGATAGCTTCCTGCTGTCTCAAGAGTTCTCTATTACTGTGAAACGAAGCCGTTGCAGTGAGACATGATACCGTTCTAATCTACGCCCTGCACTGGTCTTCTGTATTTTCTTCCATGACTCTCTCTGGGCCCCGTTGTACTCTACCCCGCAATGGCTTCGCAGTCCAGCCCGATGCATTCGTCGCCCGGCGAGAACAATGAAGATGATTCAACCGCTTTATCGGAATCGCAATTTCATGCGCAAGAAGATGCGAGCGCAGCGGAGAACCAGGAAGACACTCCAGTGTCGGGCTCTCAGCAGGTAAAACAGCCTCCTCCCATGCAAAAGAGGAGAAGAGTGACTCGCGCATGCGATGAATGTCGTCGCAAGAAGATTAAATGTGACGGGAAGCAACCGTGTACCCACTGTACAGTATATAGCTATGGTAAGAGCTTCTTATCATGGAGCGAGCATCCATCTCTCTCGCTGACAATTTTGCTGGTAGAGTGTACATATGACCAGCCTTCCAACCGGCGGCGCAATCCGGCCCCCCAATATATCGAAGCATTGGAGAATCGTCTTCACAAGGCCGAGGCGCTTCTTAGAATTCTGGCTCCGGACATTAACCTCGACGACCCTCGTTTGGACCCGAATAACCCCGAGCAGCTCGCTGCGATGCTCAAGAGAGACAAGACTCAGGACCCGTTAGTCTCCAAACCTGGGACAGGGAGTTCGCAGCCTGATTCGAGTGCGGATGGTGGTGATGAATCCTTGTTGGAAACCATGGTGGAGAATTCTGGATCCCTGGACCTCGATGACCAAGGGCACTGGGATTATCACGGACACTCGTCAGGCGTCATATTTATGCAGCGGCTGCGAAAGCAGTTTGGCAATATGGTCATCCCCCCTCGTCCTGCGTCACGGTCGCGGCAGATATCGCAAGTCCTGGAGAGTCCCAAGTCCCAGTCGGAATCTCCGCAGGACTCCAACTCGAACTCGAACTCCTCCCTGCCCCCGACTCACGATCTGCCTTCAAAAGAGGTTGCCAGAAAACTCTGCCGCAATACCTTTGACCATGCCTGCGTGTTGATGCGCTTTGTTCACGAGCCCTCGTTCTTTGCTATGTTTGACCGCATATACGATACCCCCTGGGAGCAATTTACCAATGAAGAACACACTTTCCTACCTCTTCTCTATGTTGTCATTGCTGTTGGATGTCTCTTTTCAGACGACGTCGAGAGCACTCTCGATGTCGCAGGTTATGAAGGCGCCATAGGACAAGGGTAAGTTTCCCCCTCTTTCGTTCCAACGTGTTCGTGTATGTGTATATTGATGCCTTTTGCAGGTTTCACTACTTCAGGGCGGGGCGACATTTGCTCGATATCACCGACTGTCGTGACTTGACTTCTTTGCAAGCCATTTGCTTCATGGTTCTGTTCCTTCAGTCATCTGCAAAACTGAGCACCTGCTATTCGTACGTTGGCATCGCGCAGCGCGCGGCATTACGACTAGGCCTCCATCGCTCTGTTACCGCAAATTTCAACCCTGTTGAACAAGAACTGCGAAAGCGGATCTTTTGGGTTATTCGGAAAATGGATGTCTACGTCAGCACGCTCTTGGGGCTGCCCCAGATGGTGAGCGATGAAGACATCGACCAAGAATATCCATTGGAAATCGACGATGAGTTCATCACCCCGGAAGGGATCTTACCCATGCCACCTGGTCGAATCTCCTTGATGGCGGGTGCGAATGCACACGCTCGCCTGGTTGACATCATTGTCAAAGTGGTCAAATACATTTATCCGGTTAAAAATGCAAAACACAGGTCCAAGGGCGAGCACACCTACATGGTGAGCCATTCGAAAATCCGGGAGATCGAACGGGATCTTCAAGCCTGGATGGAAGCGTTGCCTCCCGCCCTGCGACATGGTGACGAGGTGTCCACCGAGTGGGAACGGTGAGTGGATCAAATCTGTATATAAAAATACGGGATTTTGCTGACTCTGCGATCATCAGCATGCGACAACTGCTCCGTATCAGCTACGCGCATGTCCAGATGTCCATGTATCGGCCCTTTTTGCATTATGTGTCGAACGGCTTTCAGTCGCAGGGGATCGATAAGCGGTCCTATGCATGTGCAGCAGCTTGCGTGAGCGTCGCCCGTAATACCGTCCATATCACTGCTGGGATGTACAAGAAAGGTCTCTTGAACGGTTCCTACTGGTTCACCATGTATACAACGTACTTTGCCATTTTGTCTCTCGTGTTCTTTGTTCTCGAGAACCCGGATTCGCCGTCAGCCAAGGATAGTGTGCTCAAGGACGCCTTGGAGGGCAAGAATACATTGGCAGGATTGGCCAAGAAGAGCATGGCTGCCGATCGATGCGCTCAGAGTCTCAACGTAAGTCGCCTCTTTTTTTTTTTCTTTTTCATTCATTGATCGTGACGATGAGCTAACCAGAATCGTGCAGTCTCTTTTCAAGCATCTCCCCGAAAAATTAAGAAGCCGCCAGAGCTCTTCTGCTCATCCCGTGAATCTGAAGAGACCGAATCCTTCGAATAATGTCACCAGGCCGAAGGGGCAACGGACGCCTTCGAGCGGCTCGCAATTTAGCATGCCACAACGTGCCCACACTTTCCCAGCGCAGTTGATGCAGTCGAGGGCGCCGGCAGAATCGGCCAAAACACCAGCGGCTGTTGATGACAACTGGGCATTCGATCCTCGATCCTTTGCCAAGGAAACCTCGACCGGAGTCTCGGGAGAACCTCAATCATCTCCATCCCCAGCATTTACGAGCGATCAAATCAATCAAACTTCAGGTTCTCCGTTGACAGCATCGCCTGGGCAACAGCCGTCTTCGACCCAGCCACTTGATGCCGCACAAAATATGCCGGATCTGATGCCTATCATGTTTCCATCGGGCGATCCTTTCGCGTACCCAACCCAGCCTATGTCCACCTTGGAAGATGGCCATTTCAAAAATGACCGTTCGGGCCCGTCCGCGCAGTTTCCCATGGACGCAACCACGCAAAGCGGCACGGCATCATCGACAGCGGGTAATGCCACCCTTCGGTCCTCCACGCCCGCTGTCGATACTTTCCCAAGTCTCCAAGGTTTCCCCAGCGAAATCAGAGTTTCGACGACGCTGCCGCCTCAATTTCAACATCTGAATCTGCAATCTCAAGTGCAGTCGCCGGCATCGCATTCTTCGACTCCGGCCAGCAATGAAATGATCCAAAGCCCCGACCTCGTCTCCCTTCCCAATCAGAATTTCATGTGGCAGGGCCTGAGCTTTGGGGGTCAGAACATGATGAATAACCAGCCGCAATCCCAACAGCAAGCGTCGGGCCCGAATGACGTGCGATTCGACGGTGTCAGTACGAATGGTATCAGCCCCATGGGAATGGCCTTGGACATGAATGTGAATTTCGACGACGTTTTCGGCAATGTTGGCATGAGCTCTGGCAATGGATACCCTGGGAATGATGACTGGAGTCAGTGGATGAATGTTGGAGTTTGAGAGTTCTGGTTTCATGCAGACCTCCACATTGTCACTGGCGTATGACGGCCGAACTTTTTAGTATCTATTCTTTTTCTTTTCCTTCGTCGATCTGGCTGTGTTGTTCTGCTATACTAATGTCCATGGAATGTGAAATGGACTTGGGACTGTGACGGTATACATACATACATAATTGCATGGAAAGCATATATTATGCCCCTTGCCCTGCCCTTTTTTTTTCTTTTCGCCTCCTTTGTGATCTAGTGACCATGATGTTATTCCTCCTGGCGTTTTGAGATGGGCACAAAAGCTGCAGAGATTGCGTTTTTTTTTTCCTTCTACACGGGCGGGTGGAAAGGGGAAACGGCGGTTCTGTGTATTTTCGTTGTTTCCGACAATATAGGGGTTGATACCAGCAGGATGCATGAGTGATGAGGGCCTGGATATACTGTATCTACTTCTAGCAATGTTAATATGGTTTAGATTGAAGCGTGGTCTAGCGTGGTCTGGCAGAGAGGAAGTTTGATATTTCATGTTCCGACGACATTAGCAGTGGATTGTCTGTAGCAGTGTCTGTTGATGATCTGATTCTAGATCGTCTCCACTTCGGACGGAGCTCTCCCGTGCCCGCAGACGCAATCGTGCCGCACAGCTCGGTCGGAGCGTCATAGCTCTTTGAACAGCAGTCTTTTCAAGGCTTCCACCTTTATCGCGATATCAATTGATTTAAGAGACTTGTGATGCAATCTTAGAGGCACCGAAGTCAACCAATTCCTCGCTTTTCTGTCCTGTGGACACCTCCTGCCGCGGCAGGCACTCGAGGCCAGACCATGCCGGCCCTTCCGGGAGCATCCTCGATCTTCACATGGATCTTGTACCTCGTGCCGCTGTACATCTTTGTTCTCTCCCCGCTATTGCGCACGATCTTCCCATCCGAGCGTGCAGATGGCTTGCTGGGCGATGACGACGACTACGATGACGGCCAGCTCGTGCCGGCGCTGAACACTACCGACGACAGCTTCATCAGCCCCGAAGACGATACGCCGCTCAATTGCCCTGCGGACGAGTACCGCGTGCATATCTTCTCCCGCACTCCGCTGGTGATTTATATTGAGAATTTCTTGAGTGATCAGGAGGCGGATCATCTAGTTGCTGTCAGGTATGTTGGGTCTTGCCGTGGCGTGGTCGCAGCATTGACAAGCCTTTTTTCTATTTTTTTTTCTAGTGAAGGGAAATATGTCCCCTCGATCGTCTACGATGGTGTCTCCGAGCGCGTCGACCCTTCCACACGGCTCTCCGACCGTGCTTTGCTCGAGCGTGACCATGTCGTGCGTTGTCTAGAGGAGCGAGCGCGATCCTTCCAGGGCTGGCGGCCCAACCTGTACATTGAGCGCATGTGGGCTCAGCGATACAACGTCTCGGGCCACTACCGGCATCACTACGACTGGACGGGCTCGTCGCGACACGCAGACCGCGTGAGCACGTTCATGGTGTATCTCAACGCGGACTGCACGGGAGGCGGCACGAATTTCCCGCGACTGCCCAAGCCCAAGGCCCCGAAGTGGTGTCGGTTTATCGAGTGCGATGGCGAAGACGAACACAGTCAGCACGGAGGACGAACGGACAGGAAACAACCCAAGCCGGAGGGTGTCACCTTTAAGCCCATCAAGGGGAATGCCATCTTCTGGGAGAATTTGCGCCCTGACGGGACCGGGTACCCGGAGACGTGGCACGCGGCCTTGCCAGTGGAGTCTGGGACAAAGGTTGGCCTGAACATCTGGAGCTGGTATCAACCGCCGGTTCGCAGGAAGAAAGGACGTGATTGAGGTCTTCTCGTATGGAATACGAGTCCATTCGCACGAAGCAGATTGACTGTCACTCGGAAAGCCACATGACAAGTATCCGGAGGAGGAACTACTTGTGCTGCCCAGCGGGGAAGAGAGCGAGCAACTGTCGAGTCGTTTACAGCCGCATCCCCTGGACTGGGCACTCTCAGTCCTATCATGATCCCAGACTTGAGGGAAACCTGGAAACTGCCGTCGTGCATCTAACAGACGCCACCTATCCTAGGTGTTTTAAATATATATATATTTGTATGGGTATCTATATGTGTATACGTGTATATAAGTACAAAGCTCAGCGCAGACAGGCAACTACTGTTGCATGTATAGAGAAGCAGAAGAAATGGCGATAAGACCATCGCATAGACAACAAAACAGTAAGCACTTCCTGCTGGAAGCTATCTGTATTCTGGAAGCCATCATAATCTTCATGAAGACTCCAATTATGGCGCTTCTCACCGGTTCTCCGAGTGTCGAAACATTGCAAACGTCGCTGGTCATTCTACTTATCTTCTTTCCCCCCGCAATATATTATTCGTCTTCTCCTTCCTCTCCTCCATCCTTCCCTTCTCCAACGAACAAACGCCCTTCGCCCATCCAACTCGACCAGGCTGAGTGAGCTTTTTTTTTGTCTGTTTGGCGCCCGCCGCTCGCCAAGAGATCCAGCTTCGATGGGATTTCTTGGACTGGCTTGGCTAACTTGGCCGCCGATCCCGCGCGAGCGGCCAGCGGCCAAGAAAAAATTCGCACGCAAGAGAAAAGCCAAGTAGCCAAGGCAAGGGAGAAGGGAAGTTAGAGAGGAGAGGGGGCCAAGAACGAAGAAGCGCGGGCAGGAACAAGCCCACGAGGAGCACGCAACACAACACGAGGTATTAATCAATTAATTAAAATTGATTAGCCTGTAACTGTCCCGAGAGGAGGAGGAGGAGGAGGAGGAGGAGGAGGAGGAGGAGGAGGAGGAGGAGGAGGAGGAGGAGAAGATC